TTGGAAAATATTTTTTTAAAAATTGGGATAATTTATCCCTGCAAGGCACAAGTGCCAACGTACACAAGTCAAGAGAGAGCCTCTATATTATTCAATTCAACATGCCTTTAAAAAACTCTTGTATATATAGTGGTGCAAGACAAAGGCTATTTTAAAGCCTTTTCACCTTCATTTTTCAAAATTTTGAGAATCAATTTCTTATTTACCCATTATTCGTTTTGAACGTGCAATATATTAATCTCTTCGTCCTACTACGAATAACCCGAATCCACTTTGACCCGACTAAAATTAGAAGTAGGTCTCACCTATATTTATACCACAAAATAGCCACTTACAATGCCATTTTTGCTATTTTTCCAACATTATTTGCAATATCCGGAAAGCAAACAATTGGCACTGAAGAAAGAATTGAAGATTCAACAATCAGCTAGGATAGCTCGGATCTGATTTGTGTTGATCCTACTCTATCTGTTTGTTTACCAGTCACATTCTTAATGAGCAAAACTGTACCAAGTTCAAGAATTTTCTTGGAATTTTTACCATAAAACATTAAAATTAGCATTAACCCAATTGAAAGGGAAACATAATCTACCAAAAGCAAAGTAGCTGGTCGAATTCCCTCCCAATTCCAGGAAGATTCTGTCGGTTGACCAAGTTCCAACAATAATTGTTGAAAATTTCATTTTATATTTGTATTAGTAGTTGGGCTGAGTGGTCGGAATTTGATCATCAAGTGAACTGACGAGGACAGTTGTTGGAAACTGCTGTAGTTGGGCTGCCTTAATCTTACCTTTCAAACAATGAATCATTGTTTTGCTTTTTTGGCTACCATGTACTTAGTAGGCAAATTATACCATGAACCAAGATACACTTTGAATTAAGGATCCTGACAATAAAATGATATTTAAATCATGTACCAGCAGTTAATATATTATGTATATTCAGTTAACAGATTATATACATGCGAATAAACTGAAGGTATATAGTATGTTAATTGTAATAGGTATATGATTTATTAACTAAAAATACATAATATGTTCACGTAATTTGAATGTCGTTTTGAATCAGGATTCGTAAGGTAAGGTGGACCCTGATACATGATATAACAGTTGCAATTGGTATGTACCCAACCAATAATGCCATTGAAAACAATTTCACAACCACACTTACTTGGGTTTAATTTGTTGGTTTATGTTATTCTCTACTTTCTTATATTCAATCATAATGTCACCACCATGTACCATTTTTCTATGTTAGTTTCACTCTATTTTCTGGTTAAGATTTAGAAATTAGAGTATATATCTATATTTGTTTATAGATTCTTGATCTGTACGATAGGTTAGTTATTGAATTGAAAGATGTTGAATTTAAGTTCAAAATTGTATTAATAGTGTTAGCTCTTAACATGCATGTGGTATTTAAAGTAACGTTGCATTTACTTCTTTAATTTATTAAGTAGTTGTACTGTCATAATTGGTTAGATGTTAAGCAAATAAACTTGTCTTAATTAATAAATTGGAGTATATATACCATTTGATTTTAAAATAATGTAAAAATAACAATTGTATTTGCTAGGTTCAGATTTTGTAGGCAAATTATTCTGTGGACTAGTCTAAAAGTACACAATTTATATATTGAATGTTCACAAATTTTATATACTAAATGTTTACAATTTCCATACTGAATATTCACAATTTGAATTTGAACATTTAGTATATAAATTATGAACATTCAATATAAAAATTGTGTATTTTAACCGAGATCCATGACATAACTGTCGGATTTTGTAGGTGTAGATTGGTGGCGTTAATAGGCCATGGAGACTAGATTAGCATATATACTGAGATAGACTTGGATTTGGCTAGCCTAGGATGTATGTGAGGAAGTGAAGTTTATTCTAAGCAACATGGAAATATGGTGGAAGTAAGAGAAGTAGTAGGCATTTTAACCCTTATCCAAATAAGGGTCCTTGGATTATAGGAACCTATTTAGAGTAAGAATAGGAGTAATTATTTACATGCAATTGTTTCTCAATCCTATAAATAGGGACATTGTTCCATGATTATGCAGACAATATCTCTCAATAATAAAACTCAAATTAGTCATCGAATTATGCACAAAAATACAATTATGGCTAATAGGGTATGCACCCCTGTAAAGGCAGCAACACGCTCGGTACACTTGTCGGGGATCCTTGGGATTCGGGACCAATCGGATTGACCGCCTCCTCGGCCGCTCCCCGCCGTCGGTCTGGCCCCGCCCTGCCCCGGTCGGTTTCGCTTGCCTGACCCCTCCACGCTCGGGCCCGATCGGTATGCCTTCAGCTCCGCGCCCCTGGTGGCCTTAGTTTGATATCGCCGCGTGGCGCGGCAATACACGGCCTCGACCGTGACCGGTGCATGCTTGCCACGTGTCGCCCATGTCGAAGGCCCGGGACATGTCCCCTCATTTCCCTATAAATAGTGCATTTGTTGCTACTTGGAAGAGACTTTTGGCATGAGATTGGACCGGAGCTTCTCAACCCACTGTTAGGAGCTTCGAGTTTCAATACCCAATCACTCCTACACACGGGTTACCCTCTACGTATACCCCGTATTTGCAATATCAATGGCATTCAACTTCAAAAAGAAAATGCAATTAACTCCTTGAACAAATTAAATTCATGCAATCAAATTAAAAATGACCGGAGTTCCAAGTAAAAATCTAATGCGAGGGTTAAAATTTTAAAAATTAATTTTTATGTTTTTAGTTAGTGATAATTGGAAAACTTTAAATAATAGATCATGTCTTTATATGTTACTAACTTATACTCCGTAATAAATAGTTAATTTAATAAATACTTTTCATAGATCATGTCTTTATATGTTATTAACTAATAGTAAATAGTTAATTTAATAAATACTTTTCTACAAACTATTATTGATGATCCTGTTACATGTAGTATCTGACAAACACTCACTTTGTTTTATTGTTATAAATTCTTATATTTTGGACTAGTTTTCAAATGTTTCTCTAAGTTAGAAATTTCTCTTAGAAATTTCTTCAGTATTAATTCTAAAATATTTTTCTTTTGAAAAAAAAAAAAAACAAAAACAAAAACAAAAAAAAAAACATAACTTTGATATAAACTGATATGATGTGAAACTCAGCTGTGTGTATGTGTCATTTAATTGTTAATTAGAAGGGGCATATAGAATATAAACTCTTAATCTACTTATCAGATGTTAAATATATTAATTCATGACTTATCCTAATCTAGGGATCAATTGCCTTTTATAATGAGAGTATGTAAACATACGGAGTACAATTCTAAAATACTATGGAAACAAAGCTATGCTGACCCAGTGACCCTAGAACGTAACTACTATACCTTTTTTTTGAACAAAAACGCTAAACAATCACATTACGAAATCAACAAACCAGCAATACAAACGGGTGGGGTAACTACTATACTTATTTAAATATATATGTTGGATCTCAGCACTGCACTCACTTTCCAGGGGTCACCCATTCCGAGATTGTCAGAAAAACCACAAATTAAAGCTTGCCGGAAGTCAAGCACACTTAATCACAGAGCTCTATGGTATCTGGTTGTCATATCCTACTCAAAACCAATTGGTGATAAGTAGGAGAACATTAACCATTTAACCACATCTCTCCATAGTAAGCCACATCACCACGTCTAGAATCGAGCATGGGCTGAACTCGGCCAACCCGACCGACGCCCAACAATATATTAATTACTTATCCTAATCTAGGGATTAATTGCCTTTTATGATGAGAGTATATAAGCATACAATTCTAGAATAATATGGAAACAAAGTTGTGCTAACTGCTAAGTGCTAACCCTAGCTAAAAGCATCAAGGAAAACATAATTATACTATTGATAGATAAAACTACAACCATCAATATTTTTTATATTATCACCATGTAATATGACAACAAAACTCTTTATGAGGACAACTCTAGCAAATCGGTTGGTCAAACATTTAACTTGATAAATACACTATTATAAATTTGACTCTCTACATTAATAATTGTCTACTGACCTTCTCGGTTTGAATCAGTCAACTATAAACAATCTAAATTAGTTTATTTCTTTATGATTCTTTGTAGGATAGGTTACAAGACGAACTTCACCTAGAGTGTACCTTAGCCGTTAGCATATATCCATAATGTACTATTTGTAACCAAGCATACAAGCATGGTCAACTTATCCTCTAGTACTAGAATAATAATATATACCATCAAATTAATATTGTAAATTAATTATAATTTCTTTGCATCGACCTACTATAACAACATATAATTATTAGGGACATACTGACATACAATAACTCTCACGTTAAGAGAACTAAATATTCTCAAATTAATAGACTAACACATATCCATAAATACACTGAATGTACGATACTAAATTTAATCTTATCAAAACTAAAAAGATGTCACTTTGTTTAAGTACTTCGTAATTGAATATAACTTGGTATAAGACATGATGTGTTAACTCGAATTAAATTAAAAGAAATTTAACCTATGTCATCTTATTGGGATATCTTATGGGTAACAAAAACAATTATGTTCTTTGCATTGGGCACATTGTAGCAATTTCTGATTTTGATGATCAAAATGATGATTAAGAAAAGAAAGAGATGCAATTATAAGGAGGTTAGGAGGTAAGTGAATAATAACTTAGCTTAGAAAGTAAATTAGAAGTGGGGTACCACAAATAGAAAAATATATATGTGACAACTAACTTTATGTAAGGTGCAAGAAATGATTGGGAGGGAATTACCTAATACTGTATTGAAGGATAATGGACGACGACGATGATGTTTTGTTGAAGTTCAAACCAAGACTGAGAAATGAGAAGAAGATGACACTTGTCACCTAACCAAGAAAAACGACATGGCAGCAGATCAGAGGCCCTTTAATTATATTTGGGCTGATATATGGCTTCATCTCCTATATATCCCCTTTATTTGCATTGTGCCCTCATTGCTTCATTGCGACAACCCAGAAAAACACACCACAACTACATACTATGATGGAGTGTTCTTGGTTTCGGATTGTCGTCCTCCTTGCCTGCTGCATGTTTCCGGCGATCGTCGAATGTCGGGTTCGACATTACAAGTTTGATGTAAGTATGAATTATAATTTCTCAACACTTTGTAATCTGGTAACATAATGTAACACAGACAAGTCATCAAGACACAACTTTTAATTTTCAATTTTTATTCCGTTTTTTACTCCCTATTTACATGACATGTTTTAATTCATAAACCTATTAAGGTGATGATGAACCTTCAATTCTGGTAAGTGATAAAACCTTACTTAGAGTGGTTGCAGTTTCTAGTATTTAATTATTCAGCTAGCTTGGAGTCAAAATTAAAATTTTCTAATTAGTTATAGTGGTTGATCTAAACTATTTCAACATACTTTTTTTTCCTCACGTGAATATTGGATGGAGTTTCTTTAAAGCTCAATAGGGATAGGTTTCAAGATATTTTTTAAAATAATATAATGGTTAGTTCTCAGTTTATATAGTAGCAAGTACAACAAATCAATTAAAGTATTATATAATTGAACTAACTAACAATTTTATTCGTTTAGGTGGTGATGAAGAACATGACTCGCGTGTGCTCATCCAAGCCTACGGTCACAGTCAATGGAAAGTTTCCAGGACCCACCATCTATGCTAGGGAAGATGATACAGTGCTCATTAGAGTTGTCAATTATGTTAAATACAACGTCTCCATTCACTGGTAATATAATTCAGTCACGTAACCCTTAATTAACTCATCATTTTAATTAATTTCATTTCCTACTAACTCTCACCTCTAGCTAGTTAGCTTAGTGATAAAGCTTCCTCTAGTTAAGTTAGTTGTCATTAACATATTTCCTACTTTATAATAACAGGCACGGTATTAGGCAACTTCGGACCGGTTGGGCAGATGGACCGGCATATATCACACAATGTCCAATTCGTCCGGGGCATAGTTATATGTACAATTTTACCATTACAGGTCAAAGGGGAACGCTATTATGGCATGCACATATTCTGTGGTTGAGGTCTACTGTCCATGGTGCCTTGGTTATATTGCCTAAGCTTGGTGTCCCTTACCCTTTCCCCAAACCCGACCACGAAGCTGTTGTAGTACTAGGTAAGCAAATATAAAAACTAACAATACTAAGAACAAGGGTATATATAGTTTGCAGAAATAATTAATTAATCATTTGGACAATTTGCAGCTGAGTGGTGGAAATCTGATACGGAAGCTGTGATCAATGAAGCATTGAAATCAGGTTTAGCCCCCAATGTTTCTGATGCTCATACCATCAATGGCCATCCCGGACCCGTCGCAAATTGTTCAACACAAGGTATTAGTACTAAACGATTCTAATTATAGTGTTGGATCTCAACTCTGCACTATACTTACTTCCCAGTAGTTATCTATCCCGGGATTGTTGAAAGTTTTAACCATAGAGTTCTATGGTACCTGCTTGTCATATTCTACTCAAAACATAAGTAGGTGGACATTAACCATTTAACCACGTCTCTCCATGGTGAGCCATCGGACCACGTCTCGAATCCAGCAGGGGCTGAACTCGGCCAACCAGACCGACGCCCAACATATAGTGACATTTTAACCTAATTATGTACAATTATAATAACGGGACAACTCCGGCCAGCCAAATTGGTTAGACTGATAAGCATAATGTTACAAGTTTGACTTCAATAACAGTTGTTTTTTTGGGTTATATATGGACAATCTAGGATAATATTGGGATCTGAATATGATTTATTACAGGTGGATATAGATTGAGTGTTGAAGCTGGGAAAAGGTACATGCTAAGAGTGATCAACGCTGCGCTCAATGAAGAGCTATTCTTCAAGATCGCCGGCCACAAGATGACGGTGGTGGAGGTTGATGCCACGTACGTAAAGCCCTTCAAGACTGACACGATCGTGATCGCCCCGGGGCAAACCACCAACGTCATCGTCACCGCCGACCAGGGCTCCGGCCAGTACATGGTGGCCGCCTCCCCCTTCATGGACGCTCCGGTCGCTGTTGACAACCAGACAGCCACCGCCACTCTCCACTATACCGGCACACTCGCCAGCGGCCCCACTACCCTCACTACCGCGCCGCCCATGAACGCCACCCCCGTGGCCAACAGCTTCGTAGACTCTCTGAGAAGTCTCAATTCGAAGCAATTCCCGGCGAACGTTCCCCAGACCGTGGACCACTCGCTCTTATTCACGGCCGGGCTCGGAATCAACCCGTGCCCGTCTTGCAAAGCCGGCAACGGGAGCCGGGTCGTCGCCAGTTTAAACAACGTCACCTTTGTCATGCCCACCACGGCTCTCTTGCAAGCCCATTTCTTCGGTATAAAGGGAGTGTTCACCACCGATTTCCCGGCGAATCCTCCGTTCGCTTTCAACTACACCGGCGCCGGTCCGGCCAACCTGCAGACTACGACGGGAACAAAGCTTTTCCGGCTGGCGTACAATTCAACGGTCCAGTTGGTTTTGCAGGACACCGGGATCATAGCCCCGGAAAACCATCCGATCCATTTGCATGGATTCAACTTCTTCGCCGTCGGAAAAGGGTTAGGAAATTTCAACCCCAAAACCGATCCTAAGAAGTTCAATCTCGTTGACCCAGTCGAGAGAAACACTATCGGAATTCCGGCAGGTGGATGGGTTGCTATAAGATTCCGTGCTGACAATCCAGGTACTGGTTATGGATTATAATATATATAAAATAATATATGTACAATTACTATGGTAAGGTCTTAGGCCATGAAGGCATGAATATAACAGATTAGTCTGGACAGCTCAGTTGGTTATAGAGGTGAAGTTTGAAAACAATGACTCACCAGTGACAACAGTGTGAGGGCCTGAGAATATAATCTCATTATCAATTTAAACTTTTAATTATGATTTATGACCAAACAAATATTCCAATTTTGTAACTTATACTCATCGAAATTATATTATTTACACTTTGCAGGAGTATGGTTCATGCATTGTCATCTTGAAGTGCACACAACATGGGGATTAAAGATGGCATTCCTTGTGGATAATGGAAAGGGTCCTAACGAAAGTCTTCTGCCACCACCTAAGGATCTACCCAAGTGTTAAAACAACCATATAACCGGAAAACTTACCAGTTTAATTTGTGAGAGGAACCAAACGTGGGAGGCCGGAGACGAGGAACAGACACAATACAGAAGTAAAGAGTGACAATTAATAAACGAGTGAGCATTTTTCTCAATTATAGATGCCGTATTCGTTTCTTGAGTGAAAGAAAAGTTTTGCTCAAGCAAATACAAAATAATTATAATTTTTCTTTGTTTGTTTGTAACTTTCATGTATCTTTGAATGAAATTCTTTTCTCAATTTCATAAATTTCTAATCTGTGTGTATACTTCATATTGGATCAGAACTTTTATTCCATCACTCCAATTATCATGTCAATTTGGCATACTATTTCATTAAAAAAAAAAAAAAAACAAAAAAAAACATCATTAATGACTATATATATTGAAATTGAATTGTTAAACTTTCAGACCAAAATGAAATTATTCATTTTTATGGTCAGATCGAGTTGAGATTCCTTCCAAATCATTTCTGAACATTCAATTCATCCAGTACAATAAACTATACCCAAGAGCCCAATACAAATCATCTTCTCCGTCTTTATTTTGGTTATAAGCTGAATATTGGGCCTAGTAACTTTATCAGAAGCTGAGGAATATGAAAGGCGACATGAAAAATTAGTGGCCCAATAATATAATAATAATAACAACAACAACAACAACAACACCAACAAATCTTTAAAACAATGCTATTTGTATTTTTAATACTAAATTTTATGTTATGTTACCTCATGTAGCTTTCTTCCTTCTTCCCAAAAAGGTTGAATCTCCAGCCTCAAAGGCCCTTCACACTCCGACTCGACATGTAAATCATGGTAACTTAATTGAACCATAGAGGCTAGACCTTTGCTTACTACGTACTCACTTTGAGAGGTTGCTCCCAATTCCTGGTCATTTTTCTCAAACTTCACCCCTATAACCAGTTGACCTCATGTAGCTTTAATTGTAGCAGAGTTTGATTTCTCAGTATATCAAGGATCAAGAATAAATTGAAATTGAAGGATTAAATTTCAACAAAGCCTTAATAATGTATATCAAGAAGATATTATTGGTAGTAGATGTTGAATTAAATTTTAATAAAGCCTTAATAATGTATATCAAGAAGATATTATTATTTCCAAAAGGTTGAACCCCAACCCTAAGGGCCCCCCACACCCTGACCCGACAGAACATCTGGGATGATGTAAATCATGATAACTCAACTGAACATGAATCAGAGAGGCTAGACATTTGCTTACTGCGCATACGAAACCCCCCTCATTTTGAGAGGTTGCTCCCACACTGCCACTAGTGAGATTTCATAATGAAATTGAAGGATTAAATTTCAACAAAGCATTAATAATGTATATCAAGAAGATATTATTGGTAGTAGATCATGAATTATGTATCCTAACATGGAGACATTGTCTTTATTCATGGGTAATGTCTCTTAATTACATTATGATAAAATCTTCTGACCACACTCACTTGTTGCCTTGTATTAGGAATATAATATGATTATATGCTACAATTACAACTCCATCTATGCTTTACTACGATCAACTTGGAATAGGACAACTTAAATCATATCACCCACCTTTATATACCCAGGCTAGCTCTTGCTCCCTTGGATTGATCTGACAAATATTTCTAATCCAATATCTCGAAACAATTCAACTAGACACTGCGCATTAATTTGAGTAACTTATGACTGAGGTAATCAATCTAACTGCAATCAATAAATATAAATAGGTATAACACCTCGAGGCAAGAAAAAAGTCTAGAAGAGAAAGTGAGGACTGAGGGAGTTGAATAGACTTTTTAACTATTTTAAATTTTTAAAAACAATTAGAGTGTTTACAAAGGCTCTGTTTGGCAAATCTAGCTGAAAAGCTATAAGCTAGGAGCTGAAAGTTGAAAAGCTATAAGCTCGAAGCTGAAAACTGAATAGCTGTTAAGCTATCTGTTATGATTGAAAGTGTTTGGTAAAATTAGTTTTTTGATAAGCTGATAAATGTAAAAAAAAAAAAAAAAAAAAAACTAAAAAGGACATCTTCATAAAATTTAAATTAGTTTGTTTACATATATATTAAAATTTAACATTTTGAAATAAAACTATTAGCATAATCATGATATAACATCTCATAATGAAGTAGCAATATTGTTGCAAATCTCATAATAATAATAATAATAATAATAATAATAATAATAATAATAATAATAATAATAATAATAATAATAATAATAATAATAATAATAATAATATAATAATAATAATAATAATAATAATAATAATAATAATAATAATAATAATAATAATTGCGGTGAAAGTTGCGGATAAAGGAGAAGAGAAAAAGGTTTTAATTGGAAAGGGTAAATTATGTCATTTCTTTAAAATAATAAGGATAAAGATGGAAAAAAAAGTTAGGAAGCTAGGAGCTTATTTTGAAACGCTAACTAAGGTAGCGTTTCAAAATAAGCTCTTATTTTAAGCTAGGAGCTTATTTTGGGAACATTACCAAACAGAACTTATAGCTTATTAATAGCTTAAAATAAGCTATAAGCTCCTAAATAAGCTTTGCCAAACAGAGCCAAAGCCCAAGTCTTTAATCTTACCATAAAGAGATTTTGTAGCAATAAGTTAAATGTGAGTGGGTGCAAATAGTAATAAGCTCAACAGAAATATAAAGAGTTTAGGGTAGAGAGAGATTGAGACAAAATTTTTATAATGGTTCGCGTTAACTCTACTTCACTCTCCTACTTAACGTAAGAAGTTTCAATAGTATTAGTTGAATACAAGTGAATCTGGCCCTTAGCTTTTCACACTAGTTGCAAAGCAAGCCAACTAGGTTATTTACTACACTTCCAGTTAGTAAACATTCGAATAGCTTTCCACACTAAGTTGCACGTTCTTCATTGCCTGACTATCTTCTTCAATGATCATCCACCAAGTTGCCTTGAAAGAAGTCCATCAAAGTCGTTGAGACAAGGAGTAGTGTGTAGTCTGCTGGAAGACTAAACTGGGCAAAAGCTATAAAGATTCTTAAAGCACTTTCAGAATGACTAGGTACTTCTTGAGTTTGCTCTTAGAAAATTTGTCAACTTTTATAATCTCTTAACTTCATAATTTCTTCATGCTTTAGGAGTGGCTCTTCATGTAGAGCTAGGAGCCTAGAAAATTGAATTTTCGAAATTTACTTGTTGGTGCCTTCTGAAATGGTAGATGTCCAAAAGCTTACATTTAATTTCCTCCTTTTTACAACACGCTATTAACTAGCGGATAAAAATCATTTCCTTTTGTGTAAAAGAAATGTTTCTGATTGGTGTAGGTCCAAAAAGCATGTTTGCTCGTAATCAAAAGATATTTTGTTGTCAAAGTGCCATTGAAAAGTGTGCGCAATAACTCTTTTCAAAAAATGACAAACGATATTCCTCGTATTGAAAGTATATTTGCTGGTAGACCTAGAATTTTCTACAAAAGGTCTATCGAATCCTAACTTAAGTACTTTTGATGATTCCAATCAAAGTTAGATGATATATAAGATATCTACCAGAAGATATTAACACTTGAATTAAAGGGCTACTGTTGGATTAAATCAAACAACAGAGTTGAGATTTGCCAGTCGGGTCTATCGAAGATATAAACCTATTGAACTGAAGCAAGATCTACTAGAATCCTAAGTGATCTACCAGATAATGTCTTCCGATGGTGAACAATGTAACAATTCATTATATATTGTAGTAACAGGTAACAAATAACAGGGGTTGTTTGGTTCACGGAATGTCAGATTATCTTAGGGAATGTTAGATTGCTGGGAATGTTAGATTACTGGGAATGTTAGATTCCTGTGTTTGGTTAAAATTGGGGTATGTAATATAATCATGTTTGATTTATGGTTATCTTTTATACACAGTATAATATCCTTAACATATTTTCATATATTTTAATAAATTTAAAAATTAAAATAAATAAATAAGATAACGGTATCATATATAATTACATGATTTTAAAATATTAACTAAAATCTTGAACTTGAGAAACAAAATTATTTTATATGCTAACATAACATAATAAAAATAAAAAAATATTTAATTACAAATATATATATATATATATATATAAAATAAACTAACATAACCAAGGTTATCTTACATTACCTAAGATTTTGAAGGGAATCACATTCCATTCAAAATCCTATGTGGAGGGAATGTGACATTCCTTGAGAATGTTAGATTCTCTAAGATAATATGAACCAAACACCGGAATGTGAGCTTTGGAATGTCACATTCCATGGGTTATTTTATATAACCTGAACCAAACGCCCCTTGTGATAAAACTTTCCTTCTCGATTGGCATGATTCTCAGCAACTATGGTCTAACCAGTAAGGTTCTAGTGCCAATGTCTCTTCCAAAGAAGAAGAAACAAATTCCATAAAGCAAAAAAAAACAAAACATCCACTACTGCTACGACTTAACCTCTTATGAATTTAGATCTCACTTTAGTTTTCGTATAAACATCCCAGCAAACTTTATATGATGTCGCTATGTGAGACTGTTGAAGGTGACTCACCAACAGTTCATTAATCATACGATTTAGACCACCCAAATAACCATATTAGCCATCCTAGTGTATATTTGTGGATAGTGAACAAAAATTTGAACTTTACAAAGGACAAGCTTTGAATCGTTATATCGTGGATCAAAGTTTATCATGCACATTATGAACCATATTCAAATTATGTACCTGTTGTAATTGACAATATTATATATTTGCAGATAACATATTATATACATCCAGTTTATTTACATATACATATGAGGTATTATACATTAATTCAAGGGAATAATATATAAATTAAACTGTAAACAACTAATTAAAAACTATAATTGAAATAAGAACAAGCTACCTGAACCACCATATGTTGAACTAAGTAATGGTCTTGGGTCTTTTTTTTTTTCTCCCAAAAAAAAAAAAAAAGTAATGGTCTTGGGTTGGTGTAGATGAGAAGCATATGCAAGCAATTTAATGGCGTTAGGAGCTGGACATGATCTCACCCATCTAACAATACGCACCCTTTAGGGAAAGATGACAACCAAAGCATCTTTCTATTTATGGAAAGTCAAGCCTTTTTTTTTTTTTTTTATTAATACTACAACTCACTCCCCACCCCCCACCCCCCTCTCAATTTAACATTTGACACTAAGTCGTGGTTCATGGTATTACGGATCCGACTATATAATATTTCGAAACTTTCAAGGTGCTTGGAGATGCCACATTTTATGTTTGCTAGCATTGCATATTTTACTTTTCTTATATATACCTATATAAGAGAGAAAAATCACTAAATACAGGACATGATACTTTATAAATAATAATATTTTGTATCGAAATAAGTGATGTGGATAGAAGATATTATTCAAAAAAAAAAAAAAAAAAAGAAGTGGATAGAACTTAATTCTTATACTTAAATATTTTTGTATAGTTTTGTGAACTATTAATAAGAATCAATAAAGAGTTATACACAACACAGCACAATCTTCTGCGTTCTTGATCTTCTTTGAAATGATTTTAGACATCTTTTAATTACTGAATATATGTAGATATAGGCATATAGCACGATTTTAATTAATGTACGTAAATTTATTTCTTGTGTGCTCTTCTTATATGAAAAAATTAATCTAGTCATCAGCACTTTATCTGTTAATTGGGATAGTCTAGTGTGAACGGAGATTAGTCTGAGTATGATACGGACTTAAAGATATCTCTTACAATTAGGATTTGTTTAGGACACCTCGTAATCTAATTAGAAAAAATTAATTTCTTATGTGCTCCCAAGTATTAAAAAATACTGAGTATATTGTAACAATTTAATATGAGTTTATTCAATTAATTCAAAATCAATTAAGTTATAATAGTTAATACATATTTGTTATCTTATATATAGGAAATCACTTCAAACATTAAATTAAAAAAAAAAAGAAAATGGAGAAATCCTCTACTCCGTTTTCCAAATAAATAAAAGAAAAGAAAAAAGTGAGTAAAAGAATAATGATAAAACAGATCATTGAACAGGTTAAAGTGGAGCCCACCACTAATCTCTATTTAATTATTTATTTTGTTTCATCAACCCCATTTTTATTTAATGAAAGTTCAAATTATTGTAATGTTTCAACTTTCAACAACCCAAAGCAATACTTCTTAAATTTTTAAATACGGAGTAACTAAAAATATATATATATTTGAATAAAATAATACGAATAATCTGACTTTGAAGGATCATATCATATGTTGCTATGAACACATCCTCTGCTAAATTCAAACTTCGTACATTTACGTACGCTAAATCCCTGCTAATCATCTGTAATTAATCAATTAATTATTCGTTAATTGCACTTCCAACTAATTAAACAAAACCATATAATTAACAGTAGTTTGTGGTAATAAATAACTTCACGCATGGTGCAATATAATCCATCTGAGTGATGAATCCGAGGACAACATTTTTGGTCCCGAGGCATTAAAAAAATGCTCAAAACACATGGGGTGATAACATCAATCTATCATTCTTTAATTCACCTAAAATAGATTAAATTAAAGAAGTTGATTGTTCATCAAGCCTACCTAGGAATGGCTTGACCAATGACCATTCAACCGGATCGGAGCCAGGAGGGTGTCTAGATTGGAGGAGTTTGAATAGTGACTATAGAAAAATTTTCAAGTCTTAAACTAACTTTGATGAGTTCTTTTGGAGAATTATTAATGCAAATAAGGTTTATAGATTATTTCAGATTAATCAGTTCAGAAATTATGAATATTTTACTAGTCATTATTATAGTAAATGTGACAATAGGTAAACAAAATATAAAACAGCAAAAACAATAGAAGCGTTAAGAAAAACAAAAACAAAAAAGATTAGGAATTTGGTAACGCAGAGAGACCGGAGAAATCTCTGCCAGATTTGTGAGGCTCACAACCTAGTGACACTCAATCCACTAGCCACCGAATTTATAAGTACAGAAAGATAATACCAAGAAAAATCTCATTTCTTGTAAGGACCCAATCTTGAACTTCGATCTTGAAATTTGAAAACGAAAGATCCACCAACGTTTCAAGATTCCACCTTGGTCTTACTGCCACAAGTCCCTTTGGGTAAGTTGCTCTAATCGCCTAAGTGTGTTGTAGCCAATATAGAATATCACAAGTATCCAATCAAAGCACCCAAAAAAAGATAGACTTGTGTGTGAGAGAAATAAGATGTAGAACTCTAAATTTGCTCCATAGATCTTTTCTAAAATTTTCTCTATTTCTCTGTAAGTATAGATCTCCATGTAATTCCTCTCCCCATTTGATTTTGAGAGAAAGTCTTCTATTTGTAGTATGTCAAGCGCTTACCACTTACGCCGAAGCTTCTATGTGTAATATGTTAGTATCAAGGTTACCATTTACGCCAAAAGTTATAACTAGTAGCGAATGCGCAACTTTATTTCTTTATAGACTGTCATCACATTGTTCGAGACACTGGGTGCTTGACTTGGCCCTAAGCCCTTTACCGCCTCCGCCCAACAATCCCCTGTCACCGGGTGCTAGACTTGACCTTTATCGGCATCCGCCCAACATAGTAAGCTAAGTAGGTTCGTGGATGTTAGATAACCAATCAAAAGCTTTTTTTGATAACCACTCACCAACTTGTAAATATATATAACCTCTAACAACATGAAAACCACCACTTCAATTGGTTTCAACACTCATTCAAACCACATTGTTGATGTTGTACCATTTACTATCATACCTTAATTTGTTACAGTTGACTTTCTGACACATTATTCTGTTACAACAATTAAAAAAAATACTAATGCATTTGGAAAAAAATACATTAACAGTGACAAATCGGGATTGTAAAATCGCTTCAATTACACTTCTCTTATCAGATCTTTACTTCTGTTGCAATTGAAGTAGTGATTTCAACTGCAGTTCACCTCAACACTCCTTCAAAGAGTGGTTGGAGAAAATTAAATGCACTTTAATTTGAACCAATAAAGTCAACCATCTCATGCATTATTCCAATTATTCCATATATTTTTCAGTGCTTAGATAGATGATTGTTAACAGATTGAATTGAATGCTTCTTCCTTCATCAAAAGATGGTTTAATATAATTTATATAAGAAGAATGGATATATAAATGATTCATCATCAGATCACATCCTTAACAACATTGAGGTAGGCTTGAGAAAGTTAGATAAATTATATTGTTAAGGAAAAGGACGTTTAACAGGGAAGAATGAAGTCTAATTAATTATACTTTTGTTTGTTTGCAAGTTATGGATAGACGTGTTTTGCAGCTGTGAGATAAATACACACACTTTTCCCTTCTTTCTCCTTCTTCTCCTCCTTTGTCTTTCTCCCATTATCAGTGATGTAAAACTCGGCCGCCTAGCCGCCTAGGCGCCCGCCTAGGCGCTAGGCGGCCACTTACCTTGGAGTTTTGGCCTATAGGCGGCCAAAACTCGGTCGGCCGCCTAGGCGGCCTGGGCGGCCGCTAGGCGGCCTAGGCGGTCAAACTCGGCCGAGTCGGTCAACTCGGCCAACTCGGCCGAGTCGATCGATTTCGTCCGATTTTGACCGTTTTTGACCAATTTTGACCGATTTTGTCTGATTTTGACTGATTTTGACCGATGTCGTCTTTCATTAATTATTGATTTTAATATTATTATGACATTATGACTTATAAATTATCATTATTTCATTTATTTAGATGTGTTATTTGAGTGAACGTTGAAAACAACCTCATTATAATTGTCGAACTACAAGTCTGTCACTATTTTTTTTAATTTTTTTGGTGCCCGCCTAGCCCCGCCTAGAATCCGCCTAGGCGCCGCCTAGACCGCCTAGGCGCTAGGCGCTGCCCGGCCGCCCGACTAGCGCCTAGCGCCTACTGCAACCTTGCCCATTATGTTATATATTCTCTCTATCTGATCTGCCATTTTTCCTGGTTGGGTATCAGAATTTCAATCATATACCATTCTTCTACACCTCAACTTTTTGCATCAAATTAGACATAATAATGGACAAAATATTTTACTTTTTACAAGTTATTTGTAAGAAAGTGGGATAAATATAATGATATAATGTCTAGTATAATAGTAACCAACCATCCCAAGAGATTAAATAAGTAAATTAAATGCACCCTGAACATAGTTCAATTAATTAACTAATTTAAAGATCAGAAAAGTTAAGAGCTTTGTTTTGCTGGCAGACGAAGAGTCTAAGGAATTGGTGATACTACGGGTATCAGCGTGTATAGACTATTGAAACACATTCTGTGATTTGTTTTTCACTAAGACTTAAAAGATAAGAGTAGGTAAAGGTCCTCGGATATGGATATACAATCTTTTGAAGGGTGCAGGATTTGATTCTTACAAAGAGCAGGTATGGAATTGCTCCTATATATTGCAGACATACTATATAAACACTTCGAAAACTTGTAAACAGTATTGAAAAAGACGCTAGATGCCCCCTGAGTGCCCAGGGACGCCTAGCGCCTAGTCGGGCGCCGCCTAACGCTTAGACGTCGATTTTTGCAACATTGCTTGTAAATAATTTAGGCATATTTCATGATTTATTTTTTTGTTATGATTATAAGATAGAGATAAGTGAGAATTCTTGAAATTGGGGGTTACATGGAAGGTGTAAATGTCAGTAGAAACATTTCCTAGGTGAAGGTTAGCAGAATTATTTGTTTGCACTTCCAAAAATGCCCATGTAAATCTACATAGAGTGACAGATTGTCTGTCCTCTTGGGCTTTTGATTGGGCAGCTATTTCTCTCTCTAGATTCTATATACGGAGTTTAGAAGTTTTCCTTGAGCCGCAGTCCCCACGAAAAATCATTCTAGCCAATAACAACTCAACACCTCTGATCTCTCTGTCCCTCTCCCTCAATTGCTTTCTGCCATTTCAGATCTCTCTCTCTCTGTCTCTCATAAGTACAGTATAAAGACCAAGCAAAGTAAAAGCTTTACTTCTTTATTAAGCTCAATCACTGCCCCTAATTTCTGCTTCTCTTTAAATCCCACACACTTTTACTCAGATCTCTCCCCCTCTGCTGTCTGTTTTCTATAGGATAGCTTTTGTATTTCCATTTCTGCAGCAAACTATAAGTAATCAGAGTCTTGCCCAGTGAGTTTGAACTCAGAAGCCTTACCAAGATCTGCTTTTTTTCAACAGTTTCTTGAATTTTTTTCCTTGGGGTTGGGAAAGTTGGGTGATCTTTTCTGGATTCCTCACCTCATATTTATGTCAAAAGAAGTATTCATATTCCTATTCCTATTCCTGTTCTTTTTCCTTCAAATGCCTTGTTGATATATTCTGGTCAGACCATTAACCATAGAAATTAGAAACCTCCGCTTTCATTATCCCCTCCCCTCCCCACCCCACTATTCATTTATATATGTATATGTATATATATATACATCCCCAGAGGTGTAATGAACAGTGAAGCATGAGCCAAGAAATGGGAATTCTCTCATCTGAAACATATCTCAGTGACTCGAACTGGCTGTTCGATGAGACGAAGGCGGCGAAATGGACGGCAGAAGAGAACAAGAGGTTTGAGGATGCGCTGGCCTTGTTTGATAAAGATACCCCAGATCGGTGGCACAATGTGGCAGCCATGATACCTGGAAAGACTGTGAATGATGTGATGAGACAGTATAGGGAATTGGTGGCGGATGTTAGTGATATAGAGGCAGGGCTAATACCCATTCCTGCAGGGTATGCAACCACTCATTCTTTCACATTGGAGTGGGTGGATAGCCATGGCCATGGCGGCGCCGCCTATGATGCCTACACCCAGTTCTATGCTCCACCCGGGAAGCGCACCAATTCCGGCCGCTCTTCTGATCATGAAAGGAAAAAGGGTGTTCCCTGGACTGAGGAAGAACACAGGTGATCTCATATCATCATTTCAATAACATTATGTTATAACTATTAAGAAGCAACTTTATTTCCTTATACTTGCATAGCAACCCATTAGCCTTTGCCTAACAATCCCCCAGTCACCTGGTACTGAATTTGACCGTTCACACTTTTGCCCAACAATCCCCTAGTCTTTCAGCCTCCACCCAGCAATCTCCTAGTCACCTGGTGGTGCTGAACTTGGCCCTTAAGGCCTCTGCCCAACACATTAGATAGTCTAAATCTTGCAATAATAATTCAGTGTTTTTAAGTTTTTTTTTTTTTTTTTTTTTTTTTTTTTTTTTTTTTTTTTCTGGCAACTTTTCAGACAATTTCTGCTGGGGCTGAAGAAGTATGGGAAAGGAGACTGGAGGAATATATCTCGCAATTTTGTGACATCCAGAACTCCAACTCAAGTTGCCAGTCATGCCCAGAAATACTTTATCAGGCAGCTTTCAGGAGGGAAAGATAAGAGGAGATCAAGCATACACGATATCACAACAGTTAATCTGTCAGAAACCACCAAGTCTCCTTCCCCAGACAATAACAATAGTTGTTCCTCAGATAAACCTGCAGCTCAACTTATAACCACTCCTCCTTTGTCAAATAATCATGGAGGAGTGAGCATTACATTCGATTCGCAATATGGCAGCTTGATAACTGCCGCTACTGCAACTTTCCAAGGGACATCATCGTATGGACTAAATCTGCATGAACATAATAATATGCAGTACAACAACAACAACAACATTAATCTGCATGGTCTGCAGTTTCAGATGCAACCAGAATGACTACTTCATCGTCATCAAACCGGGCAGAGGCCGGCCTAATTCAATCAGAGGTATATATATATAGATGTGTGATGTGTGTCACTGTCTGTAATAGTACATATAATTCAGTTTAATGGCCTTATAATGTAATATGTTCATCCCAAACTGATGACAACCAAACACAAGAGCTCCAACTGTTAAAAACTCAAATCTTTAAGTTCACTGATCTGCAAAATGACAGTATGGGCATTTTAGTATTTATTTAAATACCAAGCTCTTTTCTTTATACAAATGCATCAGTAGTTGGTAGTTCACTTTTTATACAAAAAAAAAAAAAAAGTTAAAAAATTTTAAAAAGAAAAAGAAGAAAGTTTTTTCAAGACCTAAAAGCCACTGAAATTGTAGTGTACCTATCTTCATGACATGTAAAAATGTATAGCAAAAAGAAAAAAAAAAAATTCCCATATTATAGAGATACCCAAATGGGGTAGTAATATTCCTGGTGCATGGGAGATGATTATATATGAGGTTGGTATATTAAAAAGCACAGTGGCCACCTTCCTGATCAAGCAGAAGTGGGATTTAGATTCCAGTAATCTAGAGAGATCAGATAAAATAGTCAAGCTATGGGGTTATAGTCAAAGAATAGGTATCCAAGATTAGTGAAGATCCACTGAAAACACTTGGATACATTATCATGATCAAAGAATGAAGAATCATTATCACAACATGTTTTTATGAATCACTTTTGTCCAGCATCCATATATATAAATATATATATATATATCGGGACAACCTCAACCAAGTTAGTCAGACTGTTCTTGATTAGTTTGAGCTGATCAGTTATGAGCAATCTAGCTTGCTGTCTAGGGGGTGATAATCTTCTTGGTTTGAGCTGATCAGTTATTGGCAACCTAGCTTACTGGCTACACATTCTTGGGTAGTCACTGCGAGTTTCCCTCAGCTCGCTATATATATATATAAATCCAACTAAAGCACCAATGAGATCTTAATTGTATACTAAAATGAAATGATTTTAATCCACTTCCAATCATAAGTCCACACATGAAGAAGTGAGAATGATTGTTGTGTTGTTAAGGATACGGTTACTTTTGTGTCTTCTCACCAAAGAGCTCTTGGCTGCCATTAGCTAATTGGTGCAATTACCTTGAAGATTTGGAGTCATAAGTACCATGGAAATCATGGTCCCAAAAAACATAATGTTTTAGGTCCCAGCCCACAGTGCCCTGCAGAGTCCTAATAAGAACTTTTTTTCCCAGTAAATAACAAAACTGCCCCACTCTTCCTTTTTGATGAAAAGAAGCACCTTTTTGCAAGTTGCACAGAAAGCACTTTGTCACTTTATTCTACTCTGATGGAGACCTCTTAATAAGAGTATATGAAGGCCATAATGCCATATTATATTGGTCTCACAGTCTGCAAATATATGTGTTTTTATACTCATTTAACAAGATTCTGAACCCTTTGCTTCAGAATGATATCAAAAACAGTGCACTATCTAGTAATGCACACCACCTAATAAAGTACAATGAAGTGTTGCCCCGCAAGCTAGTTCAAGTAGTACATCATCTGACCTAAAGTCACTATTCTAACGGTAGGGTGGGGGTTTGACTCAACTTCCAGTAACAAAATCTTAGAGTTAGGGCTCCCCAGGCTAGACTTTGGGTCATTGGGTTCCCTAAGTTCGGAAAAGTGTGGACTGACTGAGAGGTTGTTTGGGTGACTTGCGATTTACCTCCTCTAACGACTATTAGGAAGGGGTTTTGGGAGCTTAGAATAAAGGAAATGACAAAATAAAGCTAAAAGGAGTCAAAGCATGTGCATAGTTTATTTTGGAAATAAATAAATATATTGTGTAGTTTAGGCCATAGAAATGCAAGAACTGGTTGAGTTCATTGGAAAGTAGAAAGAAGACAGAAAGTGGAGAACTTGAGATATATATATTATGATATATAATCATCAGTCCAAGAACACATATAAATTGCAGAATTAAGTCCAAACAAGAAGAAAAAATGAGGCAAAACAACAACATGGCAGAGTAATGATCCCACACAAGTTAAGAGCCCCATGCCATATATAATAAATGTGTGGCTGTGAGGTATTCCATCAAGAATTATTATTTAAAGATTATATACGTAGCTGTCAGGAAATACCAAAAGCCGTACAATGTGCTGTGATTGGTAGATCTTAGCTGGAAATGCAAGGTTCCACTTGTCCTGTCTGCCTTCTGTTGGAACAACCTTTGAACAAAATCTGTAAACTCCTCAGTCCTCACAAATCAAATACACATATATTTTACCAAATTGGTCATACTATTAGATTGATAATCATAAGATTTTAAGTTTGACTTCCAACCAGCTATATAAGTACGGTTTACTTCTTTGTAATCCTTTGCCGGTTAGGTCACAAGACAGGATTTACCTAGTGACAGTGGATTCCCTCGTCACTCAAAATACATTAAAAAGCTTAACCCTATCTTTTTTTGTTGGGTGGAGGCCGGTGAAGGGCCAAAGTCCAACACAAGGTGACTAGGGGATTGTTAGGCGAAGGCTTGAAAGACCAAGTCCAGCACCCTACGGCCCTACCTCTTGAAAACGTGACGGAAGTCCAACACAAGGTGACTAGGGGATTGTTAGGCGGACGCTTGAAAGGGCAAGTCCAGCACCCTACCTCTTGAAAATGTAGGGTATAAAAAAATAAAGTTGCTTCTTCGCTACAAGCTATAGCTTTTGGCATAGCGTGGTAAGCGCTTGATTCTAATCATGGTATCAGAGCCAGGTTACGAGACTTTGCTTGATCCTAACATGTTCCATACACCATCACATGATACACTGAATTTTTTTTGCTGTCATGAATGCTTGGTTTGGAGTATGCTGGTAGTTGCAGGCATAAAAATGGTGCAGTAGGTAGCTTACCTCGTATGAATTGAAGTAACACCTCTTACCTAATTCTAGAATCATGGTATGTACTATAAAACACAGCGTTTGCTGGTTAACTCGACCATGCAGACAGGGAAAATCATTGTTGACACTGATTGAAATACTATGAAAATACCGACCACCAAGAAAGCTAGCCAACAAGAAAATTGATGGCAGATGGGTGTGTAAAAGTTGACAGAAAATTTAAAAAGATGCCTGTGTCGATGCTTTATGAGTCAAGAAAGGCACTTTCATATTGTGTTCCGTATATATAAAAAATCAAAATGAACATATATATATGACTTCATGGTGACCTGAAAGCTAAAAGAAAAGGTTGCATCATGGAGCAAGAATGACAATTATATTTGATTATAAAGCACTAAACAACATTGGCATTGGGTATTCTGGGATGGATTATAGTAACTTCAGTTGAAGATCACTACGGTTTAAGCAGAAGAAAACGAAAACGTTTAAAATACTCCCAGTTGGAGGGTTGCAGGTAGTAAGGACAAACAGAAGATGATGAAGGGGCAGGGGCCAGGGAATGCTGGATTTCATTGTCCTTTAGAATTAGTAGTAGTCCAAAATGCAGAGAATAAAGGTCCATTAGATTCTTAGCCGCCACTAATAAATAAACTATGTTAATGGAAATTTTGGTTAGATCAGATCAAATGAACAATCTACTCTTTTGTAAAACATTACCTCAGCCTTGAATCATGTTTTTTGGTGTGTGGGAGATTATCCTAATGCAAGGTTAAATTAGAAAAGTTTTCTAGTTCAAGCAATATAAATCACTGAAACCACAAGCATAACTCACAATGAGAGCATGGACCCATTATTTGGCCATGTTTAGGAACATAATTAGCTTATCAATTAATTTTGACTTTTTTGATCATTATTAGTTGTTTGATTTAGTTTTTGTTCGAATACTACTGATTCTATTACAATGCAATATATATTCATAACTACTTTATCAACCTATTGAGTTACAAAGAGCCAATATCGGCTCAACTTAGGCTCGATCCTACAACCTCCCTTATTAGTTGTTTGATTTAGTTAAACAACTAATATAAATGTTTGACTAATTAGCTTTTTGTAACAGTTTATTGCTCTACAACGCTCAAATTCAAAAAGATGTTCAAAGCAGCTTTTTCAATTAGATTTTTGAAAAAATCATTTTGCATGTAATTAGCTATCCGTTAACAACTAATTTACCAAACATGTTTCTACAATCAGCTAATGCTATCAACCAGTCAAACCACTAACCCATCAGCTAACAGCTATTTACCAAATATCTCCATAGTGTCTGTTTAACCAAGTCAAACAGCTAATAATGATCAAACAAGTCAAAATTGGCTGATAAGCTAACTATGTTACTAAACATGACCATACTATAATTCAAGTTTAATATGAGTCATTAAGTCATTGTAATTGGCTTGTAGTCCATTGGTATCCGATTGGCCCTTTATGTGGGAAAGTGTAAGTTCGAGCCTTGGTGAAAGCGTAGATAGTATATGTGGGTGTTCGTAATTTACAACCTCCCAATACTCTACCAAGTCAAGATGTGAAAAATCCTTGGAGTTGGGAATTCAACCTTTTGGAAAAGTTTAATATGAGATAGTGTTATATAAATAAATAGATCAATTTTGTCTGATCTTTGTGACATAACATACAATACTCTTTATTGTGGTCCATCATTAATTTTATCATTTTGATAACTGTCAATGGAATTGTTCCATGCTGGTCCCTGCATTAAAGAATTCGAAACCATTGTCCTAAACGAACAATTAATTAAGCAGAACAGCTCTTTAAAATATTTAACTCGGCATTTCTTCTAAAGAACAAAGCTGCCTACAAGTAAAGCAATGATTAAGTTAGTTTAACTCATTGGCATGGGCGCATGGCATAGTATAATATACTCTCTATCAATTTTTACGTCTTACTTACTATTGGTCAAATCAACTATTTCTTCTTTATTTATTTTTTATTTTAGTATTTTTTTACTTATTTTTAAATATATTTTTTATATTTAATAGTATTTTAGTGTAGTTTTTAAATATCTAAATTTTGTATACTAATACTAAACATAATATTATGAAAAATTGAATTAAAAATATTTTCTATCAAAACATGTTTGTTGTTTATATAGTGTGAATCCAATCCACTTTCTTCGACAAAAGTTGTGTAGACCATGGTCCAAAACGACGTCGTTTTAATGTTTAAAAAATAAATAATAATAAAAATTCTTGCTCCGCGCATGTGTTAGAATAATGGACATTCTGGAGTAAAATAATGTATTTTATGAGTTAGAATAATGTACTTTATGTGTTAAAATAATGTATTTTATGAATTAGAATAATGTATGATATACTTTATGTGTTAGAATAATAAAATTTTTAGGGTAAAATAATATATTTTATGAGTCAGAATAATGTACTTTATGTGTTAGAATAATGTATTTTATAAGTTAGAACAATAAATTTTATGTGTTTTTTGACTGTGATCCACACAATAATGATTGGCTTTCTCCACTTTTGCACCTTATGATCTTGAATTTTATACCTTGCCATACTTTGGGCCCCAATTGTTTTTTCCATTTTTTCACTTTTATCACATCCCTTTAACTTTTCGCATTGTCCCACTTCTGATGGAGCGTTATGCTGTGCACGATGCAAGGTGCACACGGAATTGGATTCATAATTTTTATATTGTAGATTCATAATTTCTAAACTGTAGATTCATAATTTATATACTATAAATTCATAATTTCTAAACTGTATAGTTATCAAATTATGAACATATAGTTCAGTGATTTGTGAATACAAAGTTCAACAATTGGGATATTAACATTGAAAATTACGAACATAGAGTTTTGTAATTGTGAATATAGAGTTCAATAATTATGAATCTATAGTATAGAAATTATGAATCTATAGAATAGAAATTATGAATATATAGTATAAAAATTATGGATTCAATTTCGTATGCACCATGGATGGTGCACACGATTGCACAGCATAATTTGCCACTTCTGATCCATCCCTCTAACATTTGTACCTCAACCTAGAGATGACCACGATTCAGTTTGAACCGTAGGTTCGAACCAGAATCGTGACTGTGCAAACCGGAACCAAACCGGAACCGTCTGTACGGTTCCGATTCCGGTTAAGGTTTGTAAAATCTTAGAACCGGAACCGACGGTTCCGATTCCAAATCGAAAAAAATTAAATATTATAGTGTATTTTTTTTTTTTTAATAATTCCAGTTAGAACCGGCGATTCCAACCAGAATCGCCAATTCTGAACCAGAACCAGAACCTTACTATAAGGTTCCGGTTCCGATTTCGCCATCCCCGGAACCGTGGTCACCCCTGCTCAACCCCCATAACTCTACTTCTCAAATCAATTCACACTCCTAACTTTGTTTTCTTCCCATCTAGGCCCAAAGATCGTGCCCGTGAGTTTTGATTATTCTCTGGACCCAATTAACTCTTGGAACACCACTTTTTGGCCCAATTAACTTTGGGTTGAGGCCTCATTCCTCCATCAATCATTAAAAAAGGTTAAAGTTTTGTACAAGATTGAACGAAAAAGATCAAAATGACAAAAACATGCCAAAGAAATATAAACTATCTGTGAAGACAATGGAGAAAAACCAAGTACATACTCTATAACAATAATTCTACTCTCCACTACAACAAAAACCCAAAAAACTATACCAGATTAGACCATTCACTATTTCACTTCAATGTGCCATGCATTTACAACAAAAATAATATCCACAAACTCATGTACTGACCATTAACCTAAAGAGACTTCATATAAGATGTTCATTTTAGCACTCAAAACTCATTAAACCACCTCTAAACTTAGTCAATGAGACCAATGGATTTATCTTTCATGTGTAGTTTGTGAGTTGTTGCAAGGTGAGGAACCAGACTTTTCTAGTCGGGTCTAATCCGATTAACTTTGAACTGGTTAGTGGCCACCTCTTTATCGAAAACCAAGATTCTCAAAACTATATTTCCAATCAAATGATCCAAATTCCAATCTTTGTGACACTGAGCTTACAATGGCTAATCCGGAGTATAATTTACATCAATTCAATACAATACAATGCAATCAATAGCAAGACCACAAAGAAAAAATTCCAAGAATGGCATCATCACTTGTATTGGGTTTCTGGTGCCCGGAAAAAGCACTTAAATAGCCATTGGAATGGCCTAAGCAACAGAGCTCTCTTTTTTCTCCAGAACCAGATTGCAGAGCTGTAATGTTCATTGCGAATCCTTCTCGTCGCTGCCCTCCAGTCATACTTCTCCACCTCCTCGCGTGCAGCTTTTCCCATTGTTTCTCGCAATTCAGGGCTCCACAGAAGAGGCTCCAGTTTATTCAAACAGTCATCAAGATCCCCGGGATTGTACAAGTACCCGATCTTGCCTTGCTGGTCTTCCGGAATAATTTCTGGGATTCCCCCTGCACGAGCAGCCACCACGGGGAGTCCAGACGACATGGCCTCTAGAACAACAAGTCCTAGCGTCTCGGACTCTGAAGGCATGACAAAAACATCTCCACTGGCGTATGCCTGAGAAAGATCTTCCCCAAGTAGCATACCAGTAAACACTGCAGGCATGCCAGAGAACATCTTCTCCAGCTCCTCTCTATAACGATTAAATGGAAAAAGTAATCACTTTGCAAATCGACAGTTACTGGAAATCCTAACAATCGTCATCTAACGTCTATTGTAGCATTACTTTAAAAAGCGAAAAATAATGGCAGTCAAAATTTTTTGTTGTTTATCAGCTGAACTGTTTATCACTGCAATTTGGCCTTTTGGTGCAAGAAATTATTGTCCTAAGAAACTTTGTTTAGTAATTATCAAAGTTTCTGCAATTCTGAGAAATCCAGAAAGGCTTTCAGATGTCATGCAACTCACCTATATGGTCCATCCCCAATAAAAGCAATCCGAGTGTCTGGAAGCCTATCCATAACCCTGTTTTTAGGAATCAAAAATGTCAATGCTGCAGTTGAGTTACAGCCTGAAATGAAGATTTAAACTCCAAATTTATAGAAAACGGGCATTATAGTATCAGGTTTGTGCTCCTCGGTGACCAATACCTCTTATTAGCTAAGAAAATACGTAGCCAACTAAACTCAATGTTTATAATTTCACCACGCGTTTAAGGTTATAATAAGCAATTGTTAACGCTCAACTAAAATAGCATAGTACCTTCTAAGGAAATCCAAATTCTTCTCAACCCCAAGTCGTCCAACATGGATTATCAATGGCTTGTCAGGTTCCCCGTTGCTAATTATGAGAAACAAAACAAAAACGAAAAAGTAAATGGTTCAACTGTCATACTAAAAGCAACTAATGCATGAAGAAAAATTCAATAGTATACAGAAAACATCAATACCTAAGTCTCAATCTCATTTCACGTGAGCAATGTCGGGGATGGAAGCTCTCGGAATCAACCCCTTTGTCCCATAAACGGATTCTGCTAGCTGCAAAGGAAGATAGAAATTAGTAAGAAGATCATGATAGTCAATACAGTTCCATTAAAGTTCTTAGCTCTCACCTTCTGTTACCTTGTGAGCTTCCAGATCTTTTGCAATAGCGGAAGATGGCACAAGTGTAAGATCAGCTGCCCTGTGAAGAAATTCTGGCAGAGAATAAATAAACATTCAATTATTATCAAAGAAATGAAGGTGTCAAATCCAAAGTGAAGATTACAGGATATTAGATGTTTTCACATACTTATAATTAACCACATAGGTTGGACCAGCCAACTAAAGGTGTATCTTGGAATGTATCTGCAGAGAAAGGACTAATCAATGTCACGTATGGAAGCTACTAAAACTCTTCCATGTGAAAATATAATTAGAACGAAGGAAAGGTTAACATACACCGGAACGTGTGTGTGATACGACATGACAATGGGGGTGCACGAGAGTTTCGCAATGATGAGAGCACCAAATACCTACAAACCAATGGAAAATGTCATAATACAAAAAGGATGTAAATGGCTGTTAGCTGATAGCTGTAAGCTGATTGGGTTAATTAGAAGGTATAACTAGTTGATAACATTAGCTGATTGTAGAAAGGTGTTTGGTAAATTAGCTGTTAGCTGATAGCTGTTTGATATAATTTCTTTTGTCAAAAAGCTAATTGAAAAAGTTGTTTTGAATAGCTTTTTGAATTTTAGCATTTTGGAGTACAAAAAAAAATACAAAAACACCCTAATAAGCAAATCGCAAAGTACCACTTCAAAAACAGTATTAGAAAATGAGCAAAGGAAAACTCACCATGATACCAGGGGAAGTGGAATGTATAATGTCAGGCTTAAATTTGACAACTTCAGAGATTATTCTAGGGCTGAGGGCAAGCGAAAGAGGCACGTTACGGTACAAGGGGCAGGGGAAGCTGGATATAAATAAAAACCTATTAGAAGATTGAAATATTTCAAGAAGTCGATGGTTTATAATATAACTGATGAAACATAAGTACATAAATATTCAGTAAACAAGCATATGAATCAAGCACTTAAACCTCCACGATCCTACTAGCTTTGCTCCATAGAATTCTTCAGGCAACCCTGCATGTGTTGTCACAACCATTACCTGCATCACGTATTCAACAAGCCATTTTCTTGTTTAAGAAATTAGAATTGAATTCCTAATCAAGAAACCACTATCCGTTTAGCAGGAAGTAGAATTAAATCATGAAATGGGCTATCACTTATGAGAAATAGCAGTAAAATGAGAGATAGAGTGTACCTCATCCCCCATTTCGCGTAGGTATTTAATGAAATTCTGGAATCGATTCTTATAACCAGATACATAACTGCACATTTTTTCCAAGAAAATAAGTGGTTAGTTTAATCAACAAATGCCTAAGTGTTCTTCCCAGAACTCAGAAGTTTGTTCTCAACATCAGAACCATCATGCAAGCCTTCACATTATTTATAATTTTCTTAGCACAATGAGATGAAGCAAACACAGTTCAATAATGAAAATCTGCACCTACATTTGTTAAGTTTATGCAATGGCACAATAATAAGTTGTGAGACCGTCTATAATACTTTTTAGTTAAAATATATGTTTAATATAATTACATGTGAGACGGTCTAACACAAGACTTATACTCATATAGTTCCAAAACTATGCCATTGCATTAAATCAAAACCTTCCCTCATCCAAGAGGAGAATACCAGATTAACTGGAAGATGACAAATGTACTACAATTGATGTTGGACATGTAAAGTAAATGTAGTTATATGAAGGGGAGAAACATGTTTTTTAAAGGACACATCCAAGAAAACTCCAGCTAAATCACAACCCCTCATTACTTTTTTTATCTTTTATTTTAATGTCAAATGGATCATAAAATAATCCATGGTTCAAATTCAATTCATATATACACTAATACACCTTAAACTGCATAATTTATATCATCATCAAAGTCAGCTCACAAAACAAATTTTTTAAAAAAATGAAGGAAAAAAGATCAACAGAAATAAGCACTCACGAGAAAGGAGAAGGCTCTACAAAGAGAGCAATACGCCTAGGCCTTGAACTCATATCAGCTTCAAGCAAAGGAGAAGGGCCTTCCTCCTGTTCATCCATATGCTCTGTAATGGTCACCTTGCCCTCATCAAAGGGTCTCTCTTTCTAGCTTCTACCTCCCCTTTACGCTTCTCCCACTTTAAAGACTCAGTCTTTACGCTTAAAAAGCCCGACCACTCTTGTTCTTGAAGCAGAAAAGCAAGAAACTTCAAGAAGGGTACACATGAAGAAGAAGAGCAGGTGGAGAAGGTAGATGGAGAAGTAAAACTGTATCAATCTCAGTTTGAGTATGAAGCAGCTTTAAATTTCCAGATTAAGGGTTCCATTCAAAAAAAAAAATTCCTGGGTTCATCTTAAAGAAAGAAAAAAAAAAAAAAAAAAAAAAAAGAAATCTCACCTTCTTTCTCACTTCTAAGTTCTAACACCTGTCCAAATCATGGTTTTAAAACGCTAAGCATATACTTGTTTCCTTGTCATACTCATCACATCATTGACCAATATTATTGATGTTATAACTTTTATGATTACATTTAAAATAATCAATTTGTTACCAAAGTCAATTATCAGAGCAATGATAATAACGGTGAAATCTCAATCTCACTATTCTAACAAATTATTATCTTTTTGTGATTGAAATAATGAACGTTTCAATTACTTCAATTGTTTCTTTATATGTATTTTTTTTAATGTACAATGATATTAAATTTTGAAAATCACAAGGTCTTATTTGAGTAATTGAGTTCTCTAACCAATTAATCAACTTTTTTTTTTTTTGAATGCAACCAATTAATCAACTTAAATTTACAAATAATTCATTATTTAAAGAGTCAAAACATTACATTCTTTTTTTAGAATTTGAGATTTAATTTTTAAATCAATTAAAATATATTATCCAAATCATTACAATGTCACAAATTTTCAACCAAGGGTAAATGTGTATAGTGAAACATCTGATATGTAGCTGTCTGACAATAGTGTCTGTTCCACTGGTGTTGGGCTTTAGTTTGACCGGAAGACCATATAGGCAAGAAACAATCATTATTGTATGGACTATGGTCCACACAAATTGTATGGACCATATTTTGTATAGCGTCAAATAATGTAAATTCAGTACAAAAATAATGCACTTTTAGTATATTAAAAATGTACATTGTATTCAGGAGATGTACATTATTTGTGTATTGAGTGTACACTATATTGTATAATGTACATGCAGTACACATATTGTTGGAACCATTGGTAGAAAATAAATAATAATCAAATAAAATATAACTATTATTTTCTGGAAAGAAGGGAAGAAAAGATGAAGAAAATTGGCTAGTGTTTGGTGTTGGGTTTTTGCAAGAGTCAAGTGAGCACTCTTTCCTTAAAACCTTATTTGCCACCTCCCAAAGATGCTAGGAGCGTTGTGGCCTAGGCTTCTCAGGATAAAACTTGCTATGATTCTACTGTTTGAGCATTCAAACAAAGAATCCGACGAGCAAGACAAGGTTTTGAACACAGTAGGCTTAGAAAGAGAAGGAGTAGAAGCAGAATTTTGACGCTTGAAAACTCTAAGTTTCGTGTAGAGTGCTTGTGCTCTTGTGTGTAAAAATATGCTTCTCACTGCCTCTCTTATATAGGGGTGAAGGAGCCAATAGCTTTTAATAAGGCACCCCCCACTACACCTGGTAACAGCGACCGTTACCATGGGTTTCAATTCAAAAATAAAGATTGAAATTAATTCAAAGAATTAATTCCGTAACAGTAAGAATTGAACACCCAACGGTAAGTCACAGAAAGCATTCGTGTAGGCCGAAACTTGTAGTTCCAAGTTGCCATCGCCGAAACTGGGCATCTAGTGGCATTGTGTTGGAAAAATGTTCCAAAGTTTGGCATAACAAAAGAGCTCTTGTATATAACGGGGGAAAATCTTCATTCCAAACCAGTGTGGGACAAAAACTCACTTTTTCCCTACATTTTTCAACTCAAATGGGTCTACTTTGAGAATCAATATCTCATTCACTCATTATCTGTTTTGAGCGTACAATATATCAATCTCTTCGTCTCACTACGAAGAATCCGAATCAACTTTGACCCGACCCAAATCGGAAGTGGACCCCACTGATAATTGTACCACAAAATAGCCACTTAACATGTTATTTTATGCAATTTTAAGCTATTTTTTTCAACACATATAATGTACATTTAATATATTAAAAATGTATTTTTTGTTATAATCCACACAGCATTGTGTGGACCATGGTCCACACAATAATTTGCCAGCAAGAAAAGTAATATATGTATTTTCAATTTTACTCATAATTTTTATTCTTTATTCTTAAATCTTTTATGTAGACAATTTTTTCTAGAGCTACTACAAGATAAAAAATATTGTATTCATGCTTGCCATATCAAGTAGTATAATTAATAGAATGAAGAATTTGAGAGTCTGTATAGTAAAACACTATAATGAGCAATGAACAATAGAATTATAGAAACTCCAAACTTTTTTAGAGCTTTAAGCAACGATATTTGAATGAAAAAATGAGTAATTTTTTCTTCTAAATTTACTTTCGATAACTTCTGAATGTGATAGTAAAAGAATATATTTTATTAAGGAAAAATCACCATATAAAAAATGCACAGGAAAATTATGTTATTATAAATATAAATAAAAAATAGAAAAATTAAAATATTTTAAATTATTTAATATAATAATATTTTTGAACTTTCATTGGTCAAGTATTTATTATTTTTATAGAATACAAAATTACAATTAAAATTAAAATTAAAATTATAATTTTGTATGGTTAATATAATCTCTTTTTTTTTTTTTTGAAAATGGTTAATATAATCTCTAATTATGTGCATATTCAAATAAATTTATAAAGGGAATTTACATAATTACATTGATTTATTCTTAATTGTATTTCATCTATATTATAATTTTCACAATACGAATAATAACTAAGATAATTACATTTGGAAAGCAAATTTAAATTTTTGTATGTGTAAATTTAAACTCTAATTGAACACATTTTTTATATGATTATATAATATATAGCTATTTTATTTTTCAAAAGTATATTTTTTATATGATTATATAATATATAGCTATTTTATTTTTTAAATGTTGTGCTTTTTTTTTTTTCACAATACGAATAATAACTAAGATAATTACATTTGAAAAGCAAATTTCAAATTTTGTATGTGTAAATTTAAACTCTAATTGAACACATTTTTTATATGATTATATAATATATATAGCTATTTTATTTTTCAAAAGTATATTTTTTATATGATTATATAATATATAGCTATTTTATTTTTTAAATGTTGTGTTTTTTTTTTTTTATAATAAAGGATGTTGTGGCATTAATTGTAACATTAATTATTCCCAAACCATATAGCTTTATTATATAAAGGATTTTTGGTGAACATAAGGGGTGTGAGCATATATCCATTAATGTGTATTCAACTATTAGCTTAGGCTTTTAGTTGAGATGGAGCACATGCTTCAATTTGGTATCAGAGCCAGACCAAAGATCATGGGTTCGCATCTCAATGCCACTCGTAAGCGACTACGGTTTACCGGTCGTATTCGCATCTCAATGCCACTCGTAAGCGACTACGGTACCAAATTACAATTTGACCTCTCTAATAGAGAAGCCTAAGTCAATTAAACCTGAACCACATAAAATAACTATATACTATATAGAAAATAATAACACTCACTAACAAGGGGGACATAAAATAACTATATACTATATAGAAAATAATAACACTCACTAACAAGGGGGACAGGCCCCCGCTCTATGAAAGAGACCTCTCTAATAGAGAAGCCTAAGTCAATTAAACCTGAACCACATAAAATAACTATATACTATATAGAAAATAATAACACTCACTAACAAGGGGGACAGAGTCGTTCTAGAGGAGCCCCCTCAAACAATCCAGCGAATCGTCTAAGACCGTTGTACCCATCTCGACATCTTGCCCCAAATTTGCAAGCTAATGGGTACATTTATTGTCTTCCCTCATAACGTGGACCATTTTTACAACCTTGAATTTCCCAAGAAATCGTTTGCAGTCAAGAGCAATAATGTTTGAGCCCTAGCCACCCATGGCGTCCTTGTGCATTAAAGTGACCATAGCTTCGTTGTCCAACTCGAACACCACCTTCTCCTAGCCAATTTGAATAGCTAGTTTCAGACCTTCCCTTGATCCTCATAGCTCAACCAAAAAACTAGAGGTGATCCCAATATTCACCGTGACTTCTCTTTTTATTAAGTATTATAGAGCTATCCCACCATAAGTTTAAAAAAATTAACTAAATATTGTATTAAAAATAAATATTATGATGTAAAATTTAAGCCCAAAATATAATAAACTTGTGAATAATAGATGGAGCTATTTGATACTTTTCACTTTATTTATTTATTTATTTATTTTGTCTATTAGGAAATATCTTTTATCCAAATGTTATCAGAAATCCAAAACCGAAAAGAAGAGAAGCAATGAGGATCATGGTGGTGCAGCAAGGGCTTCTGCCGAGGAGTCTTTGCCGTCATGCTGCTTCTCCATCTTCCTTTTCCATTCCCAAAACCCACACTGCAAAACCCAATTTGCTCACCATCTCTGCAACACTCGCCTCTCTAAGCGATAGGCAGCTCAAGAATGAGCAGCGAATGGCATTGGAAAGAAATTCCAAAAAATCTACCGGATGGGTACCAGTAGAAATCAAAGTACTAATTTTTAGTTTCCTTATGTGCCCATTTTCCTATAATTGCATTGTCAATTGTGTGTGTGTTCTTTTGCTGAACTAGTGGAAAAAAAAAATCTGTCAGTTGTTTGTTTGAATGCTGCCATATTTAGACTTATTAGAGCTTATAATTCTTGAATGGGATATAATCTTGGGGCATATTTAGATTTATTACATTTATATGCTGCTTTGTGTGCCTTTTAGAGTAGAAAACTAATGTGAGTGAACTGGAAAAAAGAGTACAAGGAATGCCATTGCTTGATCTTTTCATGAGTCACACAAATGTAACTCACTGGAATTAACATTTGGCATTTGGTTAGGCAAATTTTATAAATTTCGATTGAAGCATGAATAGAGTTCTTCATATTGAATTCTGCATGTTTTAGATGCCATTGCTTGTTTTGCTTATATTGTTCGAGTTTTGGATCGTGTCTAATCAATTTGTGTTTTTGGCTACTTAAGGTGGACCTTATTCTCCTGTTTAGTCACCCTTGACAAAGTGGTTCTTTGCACATTTGCCTATATTTAGTCTTATATAGCCTTAAGCCATTAATTCTTTTCAACGAGGATCATGATTTATGTATGTTATGTATCATATTTGGTCTGATTCGTTGAAGCTTGGTTCAAGGATTATTAGATAGTTAACAAGAGATCAAATCATTTCAACTCAAATTGTAGATTTAATTTAGCAACTATTATTATAAGTCTAATGTTCTTCCCATTTCAATTCTAATTTATTACTCTTAGCATGTAGTTAGCTTATTCAGTAGTCTAAAATCTGAAGATTGAAATTCTGCAGAGAAGTAAAACTTGTCATCCAATTCCTTTATTTGCTTGGATTTCAAATATAAAATATTGTTGAATAATAATAGTGAACAATTAATCTGTTCCTCATCAAAATTTTTATGTGGCAGACAATATTTCCATTTATGTTACGCCCAGCAACACTGATTGTTGCTAATGCATTGATGATAGTTACACCTCTAGAAGCGCTGGCCGAAACGTGTGAAGTAGAAAAATCTGGTTTTAGCATGCCCTTGCTGCTCTTTGTATCCCTAATCGGGGCCACAGTTGGAGGTAAGGATGAAAGGTGCTTCAAAATTTGTTCTTTCTGACAGTATCTTTCTGGGATTTTTTTTTTCTTTTTTTGACAAATAACAAATTGTTCTAGATTGCTGGGGATTTCCTTGATTTCTTATACTTTTGTGTTTGCAGGGCTACTTGCACGCCAGAGGAAAGGAGAACTGAAGCGGCTGAATGATCAGCTGCTTCAGATCAATGCAGCATTAAAAAGGCAAGCAAAAATTGAATCTTATGCACCTAGCTTGAGTTACGCTCCAGCTGGTGCAAGAATACCAGAAAGCGAAGTGATTGTTGATCCGAGGAAAGAGCAGCTGATATCTTGTCTTAGAAGCGGGAAGAGTTTCTTGAGAAACCAAGGCCCAAAGCAAGCATTTTCGGAGTTCAAGAAAGCCCTTGATCTTGCCAAAGATCTTAAAGATTCAATAGAGGAGAAGAAGGCTGCGAGGGGTTTAGGTGCATCACTGCAAAGGCAGGGAAAGTATCGGGAAGCCATCAAATACCATTCTATGGTTCTCGACATTTCAGAACGAGAGAAAGAGGACTCTGGGAGTACCGAAGCTTATGGAGCAATAGCTGACTGCTATACCGAGCTTGGTGATCTGGAACGAGCTGCAAAGTACTACGATCAATATATTTCGAGGTTACAGTCAGATTGAGCGGTTTTCTTCTCTTTTTCCTCTTGGTAGTATAATGTTAATTTGTTAGTTGGCTGGAATTCTAAAATCCCCCAGAAAACTAATCTTTGTTTTCTATGGTCTGCTTTTCGTTTGCCTCCCACACTTGTCTGAGTTAATTAATGATGTTTGCCAAAGTCTAAAAGAGAACTCTTTTTCTTTGTTTATTGTCATTATCCAAATCAAAAGCTTATTAATGGTTTGTGGGTGGTGGCTCTAATTGTATTCCCTGTTTGTTTGAAACCCTGGATTAGGCACATTAACCCTGGATTAGGGACATTAAGCTTGGGATAAGAATTGAATTGGTTTCAGGATACTTGACTAAAGAGTAGCTCACAAAATTGCCTTCATTATATTATCTCAATCTTTTTTTTTTTTTTTTTTTTTTTTTTTCTGAAGTGCCCAGATTTCTATTTAAAAGATATTTCCGTGATTCCTCTCTCATGCTTAGATCCCCCTCCCCCACAAATCCATTGCCTACCACATTTTCATGTTTAGGGTTTCCTATAATACAAACATTGTTGTTGTTCTTATTGTTTACCTAGTATAATATGAAGTACTAATATTGAGTATTTATTATTATACATCGTAGGCTCTTAAAAAGACTCAAATTGAAAATATAATATCTTTATCTCACTATTCAAAAGATGTGTCAAAATAATATTGGAATATTGAACACCTCTTATAATAGTCGCCCCGTGACATTAAATTTCCATTATAATATCAAATGTTGAAACTGAAATGATAGTTTTCGATCAGTAGATAAAACCAAATTTGAGATCAATCTATCAGAAATCAGAATATGAAAGTACCTTTATTTTTTGTTGTCATTAGTTCACAATACGTACGAAGGTTGACTGCAAATAGTTGAATAAGGAATTCCATTTTATTTTATTCAATATTTGAATCATATATATTGTTCTTTAATATTATAATATTATTATATACCAGCAGCATATTTATCAGGAACCACGTCAGCATAGAATTTCTTTGTTTGCATTCAAAATCTATTGTATGAAATCCAATATCAAACCTCAAAACATGTGTTACATATTACTTGGTCTTTCTCCGTGTAATGTGATTCTTTTTCATGCGTATTTAATTTTTCCGTGTAACGTGATTCTTTTTCATGCATATTTCCCGAGATTTTTAATAATTCAAAATTGTCTACTACATACTCCACTTCTTTACAACCGATATCTCTAATAATTCAAAATTCATATGGAGTAGTTACATACTTCTTCACAAAGAAACATTTTAGTCAAGTGGTGCATGCTTTTAAAGAAATCATTAATAGATTCTACTTTAAATTATAATTCAAAATGACTATGTATTTACAAGTCAATTTTTCAACAATCATATCATGTTAGCCTGCTAATTAAAAAAATAAAAATAAAAAGGAAAATTTTTCTCAAAGAAAGGAGGAAGATGCAAAATTGAGAATCCATGGATAAGATTTGAGAATATATGATTGTTTCTCAAGTGAGAAAGAGGAAAATGCTGTTCTAAAGAAGAAGAAAAAAAAATTCTAACTTTAATGTATGTATAATGATTTGTATTTAGATGAAAATCAATTTGGTTATTATTACCCATAATGAAGATGGAAATGATGCATGTATGTTAATGCATGTGTTATGTGTATGGTTGAATAAGAGAGCAATATATATAATTTGTAAAATATGTTTATAATCATAAGTTTTCACTTCAAGCTAATGAGATAAGGACATGCGTGCCATGTTATAGAATTTATGTATTAGAATATATAGAAAGCCTTACATATTAATTTAATTTAATAATAAATGTTTAAAAAACATACTTATGCGTGAATTAAAATAAGAAACAAAAAGTTGATTAGTTGTTTAGAAAATATCTAATAATTTGTAAGAATTAATTTCATTTTCAATTCCTTGACCAGTTGACTATGGTGATTCTTTTTTATTATTTGTTATTCTTGATGAGTATTTTGACAACTTCGGGTCTTTCTGAATCAACCAAATTAAATTAAAAAAAAAAAAATTACTCTCATATGAAGAATGGTGAATATGACAATATTTCGAACTGAGCTTCGTCTTGAAAAAAATAAAATAAAAATTGAGAGATTAAAAATGATATGATAAAAAAAATATCGCAAATACCATATGATGGCCTTGTCATAAATGCAAAACATATATACATAGAGATGAATGAAAAGGGGAGTCCAAAGAAATGTGATATGAGAATATATAGAATGAAAGATGGGTGGCATGAAAATTGAAAAGGGGAGAGGGGTAGGGCAAGAGAGGGAACATTTTCTCTAAAGCAAAATAAAGCTGATGAAGAGAAGAGAATCATCATTTCTTGTCTCTTTATTCACCATATACTCTTCTACTCTTTCTACCATCTTCATCAATTCACTCTCCTCCCACTTTTTCCCCATTCCTCACACACCTTTTTCCTTTTTGACCAAAACCCTATTTTTGTTTTCTTTCTTGATTTTTGTAACACAATTTCCTACCTGGCCTGCCTGTTGTTGTTCATACTCAGCTAGCTTGTCCTCTATTCTCACAATTTTTCTTCACACATCACCATCTATATATGTGTTTTCAAATTTCAACAAGAAAAAAAAAAACATTTTTTAAAAAATGAATAATTTGAATTGATTAATGATGTGAAAATGATATTTCTTCAACTTTTGAAGAAAAATAGGGCAATGGATATTCTCTTTTTTTTTTTTATGCAACCTTATGATTGCCTTCCATGCACGTTTGGTCCATCTTGAACAAATCAAATTCAATCATGTCTATATACACACACACATGTCAAGTTTGTTTATACATCCCTATGAGATTGTTAACTTATGCTAGGTGTACATCTAACTAAAACACAATTTTCTTCACAAAATTGTAGCATGAAACAATATTTTGCAACATTGTATAATACAACGTACGTTTTTAAAGTTAAACTGTCGATAAGGATTAAATTAAATGAATAAGTAACATTAAGCAAGGAGATGACCCAAAGGGTTAGCTTAAGTGGCAACGGAGTTTCTTTGTGGGGATGATCCTAGGAATAACTAGGTTTGATTCTTACAAGTGACAATTCTCTTTGGACTAGCTCCCATGTCTTTGCATCCTAAAAAAATTTATATTTTTTATGTACAGAATTATATAGTAAAATACATATAAATTCAAACGGGATTAAACGGACGGTTCTCCCAACTTATAGAAGGTGCACGATATAATTTGCCCCGTAAAATGGTCACTCCTAATCTAGCAAATAAAGTATATTACATAATTTAGGGATTACTCGCATTGGACGTTCCCAAACTAGCTAGATTGGGTCAGGTAAATTTAATAATACTAATACTGGCATTGCATCCTTCATTCTCCATTCGGGGTCTATTCTAAAGAGAATCCAATATTTTTTTGGGTGTGAATAATATTTTTTTAAAAAAATTAAAATACCATCTATCAAAGTATGTATCATTCTACAAAGGACCAAAAGAATGTATTGATTTAGTCTTGTTGTAAATACTAGTGTACAAGTATTTAGATGTTTATATGTCACACCTTGTTTTGTGTGACTGTGTTAGACTCAATGAATGAACGGGTCAACTGGCTAGCTTACCGATGGGTAAGGGTGACAATAATGTTAAGGTGACTTCTGCTTTAGACACTAAGGTATATCGCTGAATCAGGCCTCCTAACCCAATTAAGTTTGAGGACTTGTCGCCAGTCTTGGATTTGATTATGAAGGAGCTGAGACCGATGCAATTTGAAGGGTACAATTGGTCGGGAGCTATTGTCGTTTCCATAATGAGCACATGGGAGGGCGAAACCAATATGACACGTATGAGGGGTAAGGCTAGTCTGCGTGCTAAGAGGAGCCTCAGGATACCGTATGAGCGTGTAGGCCCGTGATATATAAGCTAATTGAAGCATATCCAACTATTTATCTCTTTCATCCATTTTCAAACAGGACCTTTAAGTTTAGAGTTAAAACTTATATATAATTTTAAAAACTAAATTTGGAATGCAATGATTTAAAAGTTTGGGCATAATTTTTGGGGGTTTTAAACTTATATATCATTTTAAAAACTAAATTTGGAATTCAATGATTTAAAAAGTTTGGGCATAATTTTTGGGGATTTTGTTAGTTGTAAGTTGTAACCCCTTTCTTGTGTTTAACTGTTTTGGTTTATAAATTTGATTTAAAATAGAAAACGGAATATTTATTATATATACTACTGCTTTAAACTCTTGTACGGAACTGGTCAACGGTCAACCCATTTGAAATAGGGAATTTAATTCTATTTCCCACTTTTTTTAAAAAAAGAATCCGGTCAAGAAATGCTATTAAGACAACTTTTTTATTGAATATTTTACCCAAAGCAATAAATGTTTTAATTTTTATTAGTGGTTCATTGACTGACTTTATTACAAAAGAATAAAATGAATTGATAACAATTAAAAAGAAATTGAAATAAAAAATTTTAAAATTTTAATTACAATAATGTGCGGTGTGCATATTCTATGCTTTTTTGAATCATACTTATATTTATGAAATTATTTGTTCTTTTAATTTTTTTATTAAAGCATAAAATATAACTTTATAAAATACACAAAATCACATAATTCTCGTGTTTTAACTCAAAAGAAAAAAAAAATCAATAAATTAACCAGGGACAGTGTGAGAGCAACCTCTCAAAGTGAGGGGAGTTCTTTGTGCGCAGTGAGCACAGGTCTAGCCTCTGTGGTTCATGTTCAGTTGAATTACTATGATTTACATCCTCCCAAATGCTCTGTCGAGTCGGGATGTGAGGGCCCTTAGAGTTGGGGTTCAGCCTTTTGGAAGAATAAATCATTTTATTGTGATTAGCCCGTTAATAGTCTGACTAACTTTACTAAATTATCCCGACAATCAATTTCATTCTTCCAAAAGGTTGAACTCTAAGGCCACCCTCACCCCGACCCGACATAGCATTTGTCATTCAATTCCATAAATTTGAAGTTGGTAAGACATTCCTTCTCCTTCTTTCCCTCTCATCAATTTTCAATAAATACCTCCTTTCATCATTTCACCTTCCTCTCTTCTCCATATTACAATTACTCTGCCTGCCACCCCCTACCCCTCCCTCCACTCCATTGCAACAAGATTCTAGAAAATGAACAAGAGAGTGCTTTTCAGCCCAGAAGGCGAATACGAAAGAGCAGTAAAAGTTGGGAGAAACAAGAAGAGGGTGACAACACCGGTGTGGAGCTTCAAACTCTCCGAGAAGTCTTCACTGTTTATGGCGGCCAGATTTGTCAAGAACTTGGGAGCGAAGATGTCGAAAGCCGTCCGTTTGATGTCGAGTTCTAATAGGAAGAGAGCGTCGTGTAAAGTTTCTTCTGCTAGTTTGGTAAGGACGAGGTCTTATGCAGAAACGCTGGTTGATTCTCAGAGAGCTGAGGCTATTGAGGATTGCATTGAGTTCTTGAACTCTTCTTCGTCTTTGCCCAGATCAAGCTCGGTTTCCAGTTCTTTTTAAGGTTAGTTTCTTGATATAGAGTGAAACCTTTTATGTAAATTTAGCCCCACCAAAAAAAAAAAAAAAAAAAAAGTAGAGAAGAAAGAACAGGAGAGAGAGAGAGAGAGAGAGAGAGAGTAGTTTGTTGATTCGTTGATTTAGTGTTTTGATGTAAGAAATTTTACACAGAGATTTGTTGTTCTTGGCATGGGTAGTTTAGAAGCAGGGCAGTAGGAGAGAGACTCTTGTTTTTTGGACCAATGCCTGTCTTCATTGGCAGAGCTCCAGTGTGGATTTTCTACTATTTTGTTTTCTTCAACGACTCTCTTTCGTTATTCCTGCAGAATTCCATCTCGACTTCATATAATTTGTCTGTTACAATTTTTTTTTATGATACTGTATTTGTCTATAGTCAATAGTTATGATGAATGTATTTAAAGAAAAAGAAGCCATATCCAATGAGGGTACCAAAACACCATTTTGGTGTAAAAATCTGGTGCAAGCTTTGTCCAAGGAAGACACCAAATTCTACACCAAAATGGTGTAAATGAATAGTGGTATACCAAATATTAACACTATTCATTTACACCATTTTGGTGTAAAACTTTTTTTTAAAAAAAATTTCCAATTGTTTATTTTTTAGAAGTTTATATTATTAAAAATAAATTATAAATATTTAAAGATCTCATTGATACTAATACATTTAAAACGAAATCAATATTGACTATAAAATAATTGAAAATTAAAATACAGAAAAACAAACTTCATTTTAAATATTACTATTTATATCAAAATTATATTTTATATTAAAATAATTAAAGTAAACGAAATTAAAGTTTTAAATTATAAGAATACAAATTATTTTAATGTAAAATAGAATTCGGTGTAAATGGATCATTATGGATGAAATAAAGCTTGATGCAGAATTTGGTATAAATAAATTGGAGATAAAAAAAAATTTAGCATAAGAATATACTGAAAATATTCTTTTGGGGTTTTGGTGTTTTGAATTGGAGATGGCCTAAATGAACCTGAGATTGCACACTATAGGCAGGTCTACCATTACTTTATCACACTAAACAGCCCAGACAAATGAAACCAGAATATCAGTGCAACATTTGTAAAAAATTAAAAAAATAAAAATAAAAAATTAAAAACACTTTCAAAGTGTGCACTGATTCTCTTTCAGTCTTTCCTGTTGGATTTAAAGGTTAACAAGTACAAAGAATCAGTAGTTACCAAAATTTCAAAACCTTATAAATGGTACACCAGAAAAAAGACTCATCCAACTCAACTATTACAAACAAAAGCCTTCTTTTGGTTTCTAAATGACTCATCCATGCCCTGTGGTTTCTAAATTAGTATATGAAACTATTTGTGGATACAACACTTAGGGGCCAAGGGAAAGCTTCTCGAGATCCCGGACACCCTGACTTTGAGCTTTCTTCATTTCGAGAGCTCTCTTGTAAGGCGGTGCAATTGGAGGTTGTACAGGATCTAAGCTCTGATAAGTTCCATCTGCACTTTTTGGAAGGGGATATGAGCGGTCAGAGTCATACCCGCTGAGGTCCCCACAAGCCAAGAATGGGATATACACCTTATTTGGTCCTTCCAGCCATCCACTACTACAATCTGCCATGTAACAAATGAAATTTCACAACTTGACATAATGTGCAAAAGTACTTTTCTAGCCGCTGAATTTTGGGCCATAATTGACTTATCAAGCAGGGAATCAAATCAACAGTTGAAAAGTAAGACAAAAGAAAGAAGCTGACAACAGCGCGATAAAGAACAATCAGTAAAAGAAACAAAGTGCATCGGAAAAGTGGAAACTGAGAAATGATGAAAGTATTAATCCTGGAAAGAATAGAGGGGGGTATGGGAGCAGCAGTTACCTAGATCCTCTACACCAGATGGACTTCCAACCTTCTCAAGGAGACGATACAGGTCTTTCTCATTAAATCCTTCAGGAGGAGAATAGTTCTCACAGACTGCAAATGCTTCTGCACTTGATACAACATATGGCTTAGCTACAAATCTAAATCATTTTCTCCGAATAGCATTTGATATTCCCCTTTCATTTGGACAAATTGGACTACGTACCAGAATACAGCAAATCTAAAATTTTCTACCTTGCCATTGACAAGTATTACATCTCTTTGATTTTAAGACAATGATCCCAGTATCAATGATTTATTAGGTTTCTGTGTTGTGATGGCCACAAAATTTTGGAGGGTGGATTCTTTCTTATTTAAATAAATGATTACAAAATCTATTTAATAAAGTATTAAAAACAGCTTTTTAGGCTTATCTTGATACAACTGTGAGGCTATGGGCAATCACAGATTCACATGGCCACAGGCCACCTCTATAATAGAGGCTTTATTATGGCAAATTCTACACAAAAATGGGTAAAGGAGTTGCTACTTACCTATACTTGAATTACGACTGCTTTTGGGCTTAGCAAAAGTAACTTCAGTGAAAAAAAGTTTTAGCTGCATTAAAAAGCAATGCATGAGAAACTACACTAGTAAGATACAGTAATGCTGAACTAACAAAAATGAGGATATATACGTCAGACTAGTTGTACAATCTTATACAAAAACTCATCTAAGAGGATATAAATGTAAGCAACTAACCTGACAATAAAGAAGGCTTGTATCTTTCCCTCGAAAAATTTTTGCTATGAACTTTCCACCACTTTTTAGTATGTGAGTAACTATTGTCAAACCCTGCAAGGCCATTTGAGTGACAAAGATGTTGGTCAAGAGAAAAAGTCAATAACAAAGATAGATAGATACATACACATTATACACATATATACACACACACACACACATGGAGAGAGAGGCACTAACTGCCAATATGAGTTGGGACTGAACAAATTCATCCATATCATGGAGTCCGGTAACTGCAAGATAAAGAGTTAGACAAAGGCTATCAGGATCACAACCAATAGAAATGCTAACAACTTACAGTAAATGAAGTTTTAACACTTACCATCAGGTGCACCATCACAAACAACCAGGTCAGCTTTGCATCCATCAAAATGTCTAATTACCTGATGAGAGAATAAGATAAATGATGTTCACAAACCAGTAGCAAAGTTAGCATTAACACTTATCCTATTTAATTATGTCAGAGCACCATATCCCACCCAAACCCTCAAAACAAAAACATTTATGAAAGAAAGCAGGGTAAAAGCCCATACCACTTCAGCCGTTCTAGCATTTGTTATATCACCCTGTACTTGAATCACACCTTCAATTGGAGCCATGGGCTGCAAATCAATGGCTACAATAAGTGGGAGATCATTGTCCCTGGCAAATGATAGCAAAAGGGAAAACCATAGCTTATATAAGACTTTAGGCAGCAAGGATCAAATTACATTATTTATAAAAATCGGTAGCGTAACATATAAACAAATTGGTATAAGTATGTGTGACGGGATAAGCACCCACAAGCTTCTATGCCAGTTATTAAAGAAAATTAAAAAAGAAAAAAAAAGTTTAAAAAAAAAAAAAAACAGATAACATAAATATAAAAAAATAAAAAAGATGAAATCAATGCACTTACGTTGAATCTGGGGACAGCTTTGCTGGGAGATATAATTTCCGGCTCAAAACCTATATATATAAAAAAGATAAGTTCAAATGTTTAATAGATTCAGTCCCACCTACAGTGGAAACAATAGCATTTTAGGGTTTTGAGTTTTGACAATAAAATAGTCTCCAAGGTCCAAGTTCTTAGTAAGATGGATAACTTAAAGAAGACACAAATCAGCAATGGAAAGAATACTTTCTAGTAATGTTAGATACCTGACTCCAGCTACCAGGAGCTGCACACAAGTCCACGACACGTTTCACCCCTGCAAATATATATCATATAGTCCATTTCAAGAAATCAAGATAAACATTTGCTAAAAATCTTAATTGGGGACATTATAATGAAATGAAAACTTGCCATCTTCATATAGTTTTCAAATATAATAACACATAACCAACTTCATGAGACCAAATAACGAATAATTGAGACTAGACAAGGAAAACACTTTCTTGAAATCTGAATTGGGAACATAGGACAAACGAAAGCTTGCTAGCATTGCCATATACATATGCATTAAGTTACAACAACTATTTCAGTTTTTCTTCATATACATTGTCCAATGATAAAAATTCCCTAATCTTCCTCTAAAAGGGCAATAGTGTCTTAATAGTCCAGATTGTGGTTAACACATTCTTGAACTGCATCTCAAATAAAAAACACCAGTGAACAATATATTATTAATTTCACTTCATAAGGAATTAAAATCTGTCAACTTTTTGCAAGATTTTGAAACAAACACCTTCAAATATGTTAAACTCCTCATCAATCTGAAGGAGTTTAAAGGCACTCCTTGCACGCCACCCTTCCTCTTTAGCTTTCCGATAATAAATATCCTGTAAAGTTCATTTAGTTACAAAAAGTTGGCATACGGTGGAAAAAAAAAAAAACATGTCAGATCAAAATATATTTGAGCAGACAAAACAGTGTACCCTTTTATCCCTTGAAGCTTTTCCCATATCCCCAACTTCTGTAAGTCTGCTAACAAGTGAAGGTGAACCCCTAATTCAATCCTGTTCAATAACAATTTAAAGTGAATTTTATAAATCATATCATGTATCATATATAAAAATACATAAAGCTCAAAGAGAGAAAGTGAAAATCTATTTTGCAACATTTGTGCACAAGTGGCACAATCGCACCACATTGGGCACCAGTGGCATCAAATTTAATCTGGCTATAATTAAGCACACATTGCAACAACTTTATATCATGTAGTCCATCAGCAATTCAGCATTATAGATTTAACACAATCACATTTCATCTAGCTGTAATTATCCCCAGTTCTCATCAACAACTCAAATGGATCTAGAAATACTTCCAATATGATAATACACGCAAAACTGTCAAGATTTTCTTGGCTTATTCAGTTATTGAATACAATCTACACTAATTAATGGATTGAGTATTGAATAGGGAAAGATGAAATCTATTACGGGATACTCAACAAATTGAGAAATGCTAAAACTTAAGTCAGTTCTCCAAAAACATTGGAGAGAATAAATGAAACAAAAACAAAAGTTTATGTATATATGCATGTGGGTATGAGGGCAATAAGCCAGTTGGTTGAAAATTTTAAAATTAAAATTCTGAACTTCTAATTTTAACAAAAATTAGCACATTTACATTAATAAAAATAAATTTAAACAGCATTCAATCAATTTAAATCTCACTAAAGAAATTGTATAAAAAAAAAAAAAAAAAAAAGCAATAAATTAGAACAAGCAAACTCAATAATATATATCGATACTCACTGGTTGCGTACTTAGCATCAAACTTTCAGAAAATTGGGCAAAATCAAAATTGTTGCAATATATATACTCACAGTCACACACACGACTAAACTCACTGGTTTAGAGGTTCGCCTGTTCGGTTGCTGAAGCACGTCAGACACAAAGGGAGCGACGACGACGACTGTCGGGCACGCTGTTCGACTGTTCCCAGCAGAGAGGGAGCGACCGGCGAATCGGATTGCTGAAGTCTGAAAGAGGCAACGAGGCTGAGGGCTAGTCGGCTTGAGGCAACGATGGACGAGGGTTTGGGTTTTTTTTGGAAATTTTTGTTTTGTTTTATTTTTTTAAGGGTTAATTTCACCCAATTTTTGTTTTGTTTTATTTTTTTAAGGGTTAATTTCACCCGTTTACTTGTTTGGTAATTTTAAATTTAATTCTAGATTATCATTTTTGTCATTTAATTTCTCATGTTATTATTTTTTAGACACTTTTAATTATTTTTATGACTTTTTTTTATTTGTAGTAAAGATATTTTTTTTATTTTTTTTATTTCAACCGATTTAATTGGTTTAGGACTTTATTATAAACCAGTTGAAAAATATGATTACTAAAAATCAGAGGTTACCTAAAGTTATAAACCAATTAAATCGATTAAAATTAAAAAATAATAAAAGAAAAATATGAAGAAACAAAAATACTCTTATTAAAAATATAAAAAGTCATGAAAATGACTAAAAGTGTCTAAAGAACAATAGTCTGGGATTAAATTTAAGAAGAAAAAAATGACCGTTGTGCAATGAGTTTCAACATAAGAAGAGAATTATAATTTGAAATTTCTATTTTATCCATCTATTATTAAATTATTTTTAAGTTTTTCGCATACGGAATATTAACTCTAGAGACCAAACTCGCCACTTCACTCATAACTGATGGACTAAACTTGAATATAGTAATAACTTAGGGACTGAACCAGAACTTGGTTATAATTCAGAGACTAAAATGTAATTTTCCCACCAATTATATTTATGTCAAGTTTATGTAAAGTTACAATCCCTATGAACAACAAAGATCAGAGTGCTATAAAGTGTAACTTCAACCTATATATCCACATGTAAGGATTTTTATTTGATTTCTTATAGAGCTTCGTGATCAAGGGGCAACTGGATAAGCAATATTTGTGTACTATTAGAGATTAGTTAAGAAAATAAGTGCTATTTATATTTCAGTACTTAATCAATCAAATTTAAGATTTAAAAAGAACAAATACGTGCAAACAAATTAAAATGAGGTAACAAATTATTTTCCGCTGTGTTACTCAAATTACCTTTAAATTCATATCTACTTAAGCTAATATATAAAAAGTCTTTAAAAAAGGTTTTAAACTTTATATAAGTATATTCACCTCTTTTCCGTTTAGACTTGTACCCCTTACCCATCAAAACAAATAAACAAACAACAACAGACACGTGTGTGTCTAACATTCTTAAAACCAATTAATTATCTAAATAAGTTGATGGATTCTATTAATTAAAGGTGGAAATGTGAATGTTGCTAATGATGCACACATAAATGTTGGTACACCGTACACTGCTAATTGGTGGCAAAGTTAGAAATAATATTTAGGGTGTACGTGTTTGTATGGTTCAGACATGCGAATGGTTCAGACATGGGAATCAGAATGTGAATCAAATATGTATTTGTCAATGGTAATGAATTTTGGTGAAAGTATTTTGCATGTTTGGTAGTAGAGATAGAATTGGAATGATTATCACTATTGTTGTTTGGTTATGTATGATCGGAATAAAGGTTTAAAAATACAAGAACAAAAAATCTAAGACAATTTATTCTAATATAAAAACATCCAAAGCACCAATATGACCAACAAAAAAAGGAATAAGGGTCAAATAGGTCATTCAATTGCGCACCCAATTACAATTAGGCCATCGAACTAAAAAAAAATACAATTAGGTCCCTGAACTACGCAAACTCATGCAATTCAATCCAAAATCGACCTGTTTACCTGTAAAGACGGTTACCGAATTTAAAAATATTTTTTTTTTAATAATTTTAAATAAAAAAACTATAATTAAAATTTAAAAAAAAAAAAAAAACATATGTCGTCTTCGCCGAAGACGAACGGAGACGGAGGGATCTTCGTCTCAGGCCGTCTCCATGGCCGGGGAGACGGCCCAAGACGAAACCGCCACTTTGTCTCCGCCGGAGACGAAGTGGCAGGCAACTCTTGGGCCTTCTCCTCGGCCATGGAGACAGCCTGAGACGAAGGTGGCTTCGTCTCAGGCCATCTCCATGGCCGAGGAGATGGCCCAAGACGAAGCCAGCCCTTCATCTCCGCCGAAGACGAAGAAGAAGACTTCGTCTCCGGCGGAGACGAAGGGTTTTCTGTTTTTTTAATTTTAATTTTAATTTTAAATTATAAAAAAAATATTTTTAAATTCGGTAACCGCCTTTACAGGTAAACAAGTTAGTTTAGATTGAATTGCACGATTTTGCGTCATTCAGGGACCCAAATGCATTCTTTTTTAGTTCGATGACCCAATTGCAATGTGGTGCGCAGTTAAGTGATCTATTTAACCCTTATTCCACAAAAAAAAAAAAAAATAATAATAATCTAAAAGCATTATTCCAAACTTAAAAATTAAATTACCAATTAAGGAATGAGTTTTCTAATTAAAGAGGTAATCAAATCTCATAATAGTATTGTAAAAACTTGTCAATCAAACAATAACAATGACTTTAATTTTCTTTCATGATAACTAAACCTATGAAGTAAACACATCCTTAATTTACATGAACGCAATAAATTCTGTTTCATTTTTTTTTTTTTTTAAATAAGAAATGCTTCATCGAATTTTGGTTTTACGAATTGGTGTATTAGTGAATGTTGCCACGCGACACATGCCTATTGAACTTTGTTCCACTTTTTTCTTTTTTGACTTTTTAAATTTAAGAAATGGTAGAATCCAAGTAAAGAATAAATAATTGCTAGCAACTCAAGTAAGACATCGTGCTACATGAAAAACATATATGCTTCATTAATTAATGTACAACCACTACCATTATCATCACCACCACCACCACCGTTTCACAACACTAGCCACCATCACATAATCACTTTATAACAAATAATATATTCATTTCCAAGAAAATGAACCAAATAAAAAATATATAATTTCATAATTTTCAAGCGAAACAAAAAAGATAATTTTCTTACCTTCATTCAAACAATAGAAAATTAAATTATTTTTTTTTTAAATGAATCATTTTCTTAAAATTATTTTATAAAAAATATTTTCTAAGTTTTCAAATGGGAAATATAAAATAATGTCATTTTGAACTAGGATTCACGGTATAATATGCCAGTTGCAGTTAATGTGCTATTTTTATTATCTCAATCTCAATTCTCAATTAGCAAAAACTATAATTATTTCCATTGCATTACCAAAAAAAACATACAAATAATTAACATGACAAAAATAATATCTTTGCAGGAAACATTAAAGCAACAATGCCACCCCGACCTCGTCCCACAAAGGCCTATTTGGTAAATTTGTTAGCATATCAGTACATTTTGACTTAGGTAACCACTATTAACTATTTGGTTTGGTTAAACAATTAATATGAGTGTTTCATTAATTAACTTTTTGTAATAATTTATTGCTCTCAAATGCTAAAATTCAAAAAGCTACTCAATCAATTTAAGAGAAATTAAAGTCATTTTGTATACAATAACAATTAATTTACCAAACACTTTTCAACAATCAACTAGTCAAATTCACTAATCAAATCAGTTAGCAGTCATTCACCAAACACAGAAAGCTTTTTCAATGGAGTTTACCTTCAATGATTTCACACTCTTACATTTTAAAAAATAATTATCAAGTACACACACCCTCACAACATGACAACGGGTTTTCTCTTCACCCAAAAAAAAAAAAAAATCACTCGACAAACATTAAAATCCATAGGCCGTCTGGCACTCTGGAAGGCGAGGCGGCTTATAACAAAAACAACCCACCATCATCAACTAGCAGGAGCAGCATCCAGTTTTACCCGGCCGGGGTTGTTGAGGAGCGTCGCCGGCGGCCTTCTTGATCTTGAGAGCCTTCTTTAGCTTTCTGGTGTAGCAAATCGCTGCAATAACGTAATAAACGGTATTGATGCTACTTAGAACAGCAAGAACCCAATAGTAATTCTCCAGCCGACCATCAGTCACTTCTTTCTGTATCCAGCTTTTCCCAGTCACACTCTTGCTGATTTTGGCCACCGCCAAAACCGACACCACACTGCCTATAAATCCCAGACCCATCACGAAGTTGGTGAACTGGAGAATGTAGTTTTGCATGGACTGATCTTCTTCCGAGGCGGCTTTCCCTTGAATCCCCTCGGATGATTTATAGAGAGGGCCATAGTTTAGGAAGAAATCGTTGACGCTTTCTTGGAGGAATGCATCGATGCCGATAACGAAAACGAACTGAGGGACCAGCCAGAATTTGCTGTCGTGGTGCAGATATTTCTTCATTGTGTCCTTTCGTCTTATGTTTTCCACCACCGCCGCCGCCAAGCAACATAGTACGGCGTTGAGCATCGCTATTCCGATGCCGAACAGCGCCGCCATCTTCTTTATACCCAGCTTATCGGCGTCGACTCCTTTGAAGTATTTTCTCGTTATCATATCGCACAAATCGAAGAATTTCTTTATCAAGGTGTAGCTAAAACCGTAGCAGTGTTTGAGGATGAACTTGGCGGCGTTGGCTAGGAGTAAAAGGACGCCGAGAGGGACGGTGTAGACCCCGGCGTCGGGCTTCATTCTGTCGGCCTGCTCGACGAAGAAGGTGTTTCCGATGGAGGAAACCACCCCGCACATTATGAACGACGGCCACACCATGGCGGTTTGGTTGAACATTTCACAGAAATTTATTTTATCGTCACTCTTTGGTGGTGGTGTCTCATCATCATCATTATTATTATTATTATTATAAACTAAAAACCAGTTTGCGATCGCCAATGCGAACGTGGCCGCAAACCCATAGATCGCAACAATCCCAAACCGAGCACTCCAATGTTGCGGCAGAAGCCAACTGGAGACTCCGGAGATCACCACTCTCATCAAATTATTAGCCAGACTTCTTCTCGTCCAAAAACCCTTGTCTTTCTCCTCGTTCACACCTTGTTCGTCCAGGAATGGATCAAGAGAAACGGCGTGACCTGCCATGCCCACGCCTGTTAGCACCAATGATATGTAGAACGTAGCCTTTTGCGCTGGGCCGTAACATTCCGGCCGGTCCTCGCCGCAGTTACCGGCCATGTTGTCCAGCACCGCCGGCTTTGACATGTATAGAAACGCCAAACCCTGCCCATAGTATTTCAAAATAATTTTCAGATTATGTGCTTGCAATTGACATAATATGTAACTGCACTTATGTGCCTTCACATAACATATTAACTACTGATACATAAAATAGTAATTATAGACACATAAGCTATTAATTAATGAGAAAATGGTCAAATAGGCCCTTAAACTTTACCTCAAAGGTCAATTAGCCCTCTAAACTTTACAAAAGTGCAATTAATCCCTCAAACATGTCAAATTGAGTCAATGAAGCCCAAAAATTGATAATTGACATGTTATTATAGGTCATTTCAATTCTGGCGACAGATTTCGGCGACCGACGAGGAATTCCAGCCACTGGCGAAAAAATCCCGTCACCAACGACAAAATCCAGCCATCCGGTCATCTTCTGGAAAAGACGACCGAACAGCCGCCTTCTCCAATGGATCTGGCCGTTCTTCTCCATTGGAGAAGGCAGCTGTCCGGTCGTCTTCTTCATTGGAAGACGACCGGACGGCTAGATTTTGTCGTCGGTGACCAGATTTTTTCGCCGGTCGCCAGAATACGTGGCCAGTCGCCGAAATCCGTTGCCGGAATTGAAACGACCTGTAATAGCAGGCCATTTACCGGTTTTTGGGCTTCATTGACTCAATTTGACATGTTTGAGGGTTTAATTGCACTTTTGTAAAGTTTATATGTGGCTAATTGACCTTTGAGGTAAAGTTTAGGGGTCTATTTGACCAGTTTCTCTTAATTAATTACATGTACAAAATATTAACTGCATACGCATGATATATTAACGATATATATATTATGTGTTTTTAGTTAATCTATTCTGTACGTGCAGTTATGTATATGTAGTTACCATTTTATGTGTTTGTTTTCAATTTATTTACAGATACATTGCACGCACGGGAGACGTATAGTTTTTGGGCTAGGGTAACAATTGACTCTGCGCGTGTATTACTCTTTAAGTAAAAATAAACATTGTACTTACAATGCTGTATACTATACTGGAGTAGAGGAGCATCCGGTAGTTACCAATTTTGTCCGCCATGAAAGCACCGTATAAGCTCAAAAGTTTACTGAAACCAGTCCAAATGTTTATAATTCCAGCTGCATGTGCGAACCCTAGTCTCCACGCATCGGTCAAGTAAGCCATCAGCAGAAACAAAGCGTATTCAGCAGCTATATTAAACCATTTCACATGTGATGCTGCATGCCATACAAAATTAAGTGAACAGGATTAGTTGCATGTGTTAACACTTGTATCAAAAACTACATTTAAATTATGTATATGCAGTTAATATATTATGTATGTTCAATTAATAAATTATATATATACCTATTGTAGTATATTTTCATAGCTATTTTCTCAGCCTACCAGGCTCAAATCATTAGCCTATATTAATGACATTACTTGTCATTTTTAAAAAATTATAACAATACATGAAAATTAAAATTGAAATTACCCATAGTCCACAATATCAAATTCCTCAGGCAGTTTTGCCCCATCACTTTGTCAGGTTCACTCCCGGCCTGCATGCAACCAAACAAAATCACACATGAAAAATGCTAACAATTTGCAGTGAATTAATTGTGTGTGTGGAATGAGAAATGGAACAAAAATATATATCAACCTTTAAGATCAGAGAGTCTCTATCTCAACCTAGAGAAACCTGAGAAGCTCGATCAGTGGAGATTGCATCCACTGCATGCACAATATAATGCTGGAATATATATAAAAAGTAAAGTGGCATCCAATGTGGAAAAGACAGGTTTAAAAGCAATATTACTTAATTGGATGGGGGTACATATTTCCACAACCGGCCTTAAACTTTTTTAAAGTGAAATAAATTAATGGCAGAAGCCAAGTAAAGAACAAAAAGTTGCTAGCAACTCAAGTAAGAGATCATACTTTATATATATGTGTGAAAAACATGCTTCATTAACTTGATGTACAAGCTTAAATGAAGTTATCTTTTCCTACTTTTCTATGCCATATTGCCATAAAAAGGAAATAATCATGTATTGGATCCAGCAAATATGGCAATAATATTTAAGTAATTTTATATAAACTTAACTAATTACTATACCATGCAACCCTACAAGCGACAAAGAGTATTATATATAAAGTAAAAATAGTTGCAAATTAAACTTTAACTTATCTACAAGTACTACTATACATATTTATAAAGTCAAAGTAGTTTATCAATCTTACTATCAAAAAGTGAAATTCCTTACCTTTAGGTTCTCACATTTTGGCCCGATCGGTAGGACAATAGTTATATCATGAATCAGGGTCCACCTTGCAAGGACGATCTGGGTTATATTCATAAATTTCAGTGTTGTAAAAATTGTGCCTAGGCGTCGGCGCCGATTAGGCACTAGGCAGTCGGCCTCCTAGGCGCTCTAGACATCCGCCTAGGCGTTCTAGGCACCCTAAGCGGTCTCCAGACGCCTAGTGATTTTTCAACATTGGTAAATTTTGAACTCTATATTCACAATAAACAAAGCTTGGTGTTTATAAACACTATACTAAAGTAATGATTTTATGTACCTAATTAAGGTATATTTAATAGTATTTATAGCATTTAAGTTTAACTTTATACACATATGAAATAAATAGGAATAAGGATCAAATTAGCCATCGAACGTAACGTGAAAATGTAATTAGGCCACTTAACTAAAAAAAAAGTGCAACTAGACCATTCAACATTGTAAAATCATGCAATTTGTCCCAAGTGACATGCAGTTGCAGGTTACCAACAGGTAATTAGTTAAAAATTTTTTTTTTTTTAAAAAAAAAGGGTCTCTGATCGTCTTCATGGATCTGGAGACGAAAGACAGCTATGGACATAAGGATGGCAATTCTACCCGCACCCAATGGGTTCCCCGCATCCCCGCCCCTACGGGTTTTAAAATACCCACACAATTTGGGTAATGGGTGTGGGGAGGTATCCCCGCCCCGCACCCGCACTTATATATATATTGTTATTAGTATTCATTTATTATATAAGTTTATGTATATTTTATAATTAAAAATGCATAATGAATTGAACTTCTTAGTTTTTTATTAACTAAAATTGAATAAGAACAACACAAATAATATAATGAGTAAACGCTTAATTCAATTTATACTACCAACACAATTTTAGTTCCAAATAAGGATTAACTTTAATGGCTCTTTTTTAATTTTAGAGTCATGTTCAAACTTATAAAAAATCCACGTGATAATTAGAATTGTATTATAAAATTTTTATTAGATTTAAGTGTAATATTAATAATTAGAATTGCGGGTTGGGTATTACTCGAACCCACACCCGCAAAATTCCCGCGTGGCGGGTATGGGGTAGGAATTTCATTACCCGCGTGGGTGCGGGTGCGGGTGCGGGGAGTGGGTTGGGAATGCGGGGGTGGGGGCGGGGCGGGGGATATATCTCCGCACCCACCCCGCCCCATTGCCATCCCTATATGGACACAATGCCAACAACGAGAGAGCGAGAGACGGACGCTGACTGTCATGGAGAGAGCTGAGAGAGGTCACCGGCCGGAAGCACCACTGCTTCGCCACCATCGAACTCTCCGGCTTCTCTCCCACCCAAAACACCGCCATCAATGTTATCACCCCGAGCCGAGCCGGAGATCGGAGTAGCACCACCGCCATGGCCGAACATCCTACTGCCGATGCCATCGTCATTCACCTCGCGGTCGCCGCCCACCGTCCGCCGTCGCAACGCCAGCCAATCGATGATTTGCAGAACACCCAAAGCTTCGTTGTTGTGTTTCTCCGAGTTCCGTCGCCGCCGCTGCTCCTGGTCGTAACGCTGTCTGTCGCTAGGAGGCTGGGGAGCGGAGAAGCCCAGTCTTGCCGCCGTTGTCCCCTCTTTTGCTTCCAGACCCACGAAGACGAGACAGTCTCCAACCGGTCGGAGACCCTGTTTCTTTTTTCTCACTTTTTTTTCTTTTGTTTTAAAATAATTTTTAATTTCTTTTTAAAATTTTTAATTAATTACTTGCTGGTAACCGACCACTGCACGTCACTTGGGACAAATTGCATGATTTTACAATGTTGAATGGTCTAATTGCATTTTTTTTAATTGAGGGTCGTCCCAATTGTATTTTCACATTACTTATAACCGTTGCAGTAGATGTGTTATTTTAATTATCTCAAATAGCAATAACTACTTTATTTCCAATGCATTACCAAAAAAGAGGAAGAAAAAAACAATACAAACATGACAAAAATAATAACTTGCAGGAAACATTAAAGCAACAATGCCACTCCAACGCTTAAAAAAAAAAAAAAAAAAAAAAAAAAAAAAAAAAAAAAACAAAGATTTATCAGGTCCATTGTACACACCCTCACAAAATGACAACCGATTTTCTCTCAACGAAAAAATAAAAAATAAAAAATCACTCAACAAACATTAAAATCCATCGGCCGTCTGGCACTCTGGCAGGCGAGGCCAGCACCATATATCAACTAGCAGGAGCAGCATCCAGTTTTATCCGTGTTTTTGTTGGGAGCATTCTTTAGCTTTGTGGTGTAGCAAATGGCTGCAATAACGTAATAAACGATATTGATGCTACTTAGAACAACAAGAACCCAATAGTACTTCTCCAGCTGACAATCACTCACTTCTTTCTTTATCCAGCTTTTCCCAGTCACACTCTTGCTGATTTTGGCCACCGCCAAAACCGAAACCACACTGCCTATAAATCCCAGACCCATCACGAAGTTGGTTAACTGGATACTGTACCTTTTCAAGGACTGATCTTTCAAGGCGGATTTCCCCTCAGGTGATGATGATTCATAGTTTTTGAAGAAATCTTTGGCGCTTACTTCCAGGAATGCATCGATGCCGATAAGAAAAACGAACTGAGGTACCAGCCAAAATATGCTATCGTGGTGCAGATATTTCTTCATAGTGTTCTTTCGCCAGCTTACATTTTCCACCACCGCCGCCGCCAAGCAACACGCTACGGCGTTGAGCATTGCCATTCCGATGCCGAACAGCGCCGCCATCTTATTTATACCAGGCTTATATTTTTCATCTCCTAGTATGTATTTTGCTATCTTTTCGCACAAATCGAAGAAGATTTTGATTAAGGTGTAGCTAAAACCAAAGCAGCAGTATTTGAGGATGAACTTGGCGGCCTTGGCGAGGAGTAAAAGGACGGCGATAGGGACTGTGTAACCCCCGGCGGTGGGCTTCATTCTGTCGGCCTGCTCCACGAAGAAGGTGTTTCCGATGGAGGAAACCACCCCACACATTATGAACGATGGCCACACCACGGCGGTTTGGTTGAACATTTCACAGAAATTTATTTTACTATCTTCTACTTCTCCCAATTTTTGTTTTTTATTATCGTCACTCTTTGGTGTTGGCTCATTATAAATTAAAAACCAGTTTGCAATCGCCAATGCGAACGTGGCCGCAAACCCATAGATCGCAACAATCCCAAACCTAGTACTCCAACGTCGTTGCGGCAGAAGCCAACTGGAGACTCCGTTGATCACCGCTCTCATCAAATAATTACCCACACTACTTTTACTCGGCGGCCAAAAACTCCCGCTTTTCTTCCCGTTCACACCTTGTTCGTCCAGGAATGGTTCAAGAGAAACGGCGTGACCTGCCATGCCCACGCTTGTTAGCACCAATGATATGTAGAACATAGCCTTTTGCGCTGGGCCGTAGCATTCCGGCCGGTCCTGGCCGCAGTTACCGGCCATGTTTTCCAGCACCGGCGGCGTTGACATGTATAGAAACGCCAAACCCTGCCCATAGTATATTTTTTTTTGAAAGGAGCCGGCATATATTAGAGATAAGGGATAGTATCCCAGTACATAGCAGTAGTGTAATCAAAAGCTGTACTAAATTACTTGCCCTAGGAACAAATTTAATAAAACATGCAATAATCAAAGTGAGTAGGAAGAAACTTGCAACTATCTATGGCATAGCCAACATACGAACGCACTGGTCCAGTGGTGCCCATAGTATTTAATTTGTCCAAAAAATTATGTGTTTGCAGTTGTTAATATATATATATATATATATATATATATATATATATATATATATATATATATATTAACAATATATTATGTGAGTGCAGTTAACCTATTTTGTACCTGCAGTTACATATTTGTAGTTACCATTTTATGAGTCTGTAATTAAGATGTATTGTGTCTTCAATTTATTTATAGACACATTACACATACATATATTGGAAACACATAATTTTTAGATTAAGATTCATAATACACTATGAACCCTGATCCATGGGCGCAAGTATTAAGTAATAAAAATAAATATTGTACTTACAATGCTGTATACTATACTGGAATAGAGGAGTATCCAGTAGTTACCACCAATTTTGTCCGCCATGAAAGCACCGCATAAGCACAAAAGTTTACTGAGGCCAATCCAAATGTTTATAATTCCAGCTGCATGTGCGAAGCCTAGTCCCCACGCATCGGTCAAGTAAGCCATCAGCAGAAACAATCCGTACTCTGCAGCTATATTGAACCATTTCACATGTGATGCTGCATCACATACAAAATTAATTAGTTGCATGTGTTAACACTTGTATCAAATGGTATATTATACCATGGAACAAGTCCAACTTGCATTATATTCTTGATGTTGATCCAAAACTACATTTAAATTATGTATATGCAGTTAATATATTATGTATCTTCAATTAATAAATTATATATCTGATCTATTACAATTAACGTATCTTCAGTTTATTCACAAGTAATTGAATGTTCATAATATATTAATGGCAGGTACATAACTTGAATGTCACAGTGCAAGGTGAATCATGCTACATGGTATAATTTGCCTAACCCAATCAGTGGTTACCTATCCAACTGCATATTATTATTAATCCCCCATCATATTTTATGTCACTACAATTATTTTTAATTCAGTTTTTTATAATATTAAGTTTAATATTAATATATAAAATTTATATATTTAGAAACTACGCACATTAAAACTACTACTAAACACACAAAATTAAATTTAAAAATAATTAAAAATTATAATAGAAAATAAACAAAGAAAATAAAAAGTTGATTTGACTAATGAATAGTAACATGACACAAAGAGGTCGGGAGTATAGTCAATTACAGACTGCCTAGCCCCAATCCCACCCAAACTCAACTTGTTTACTATAGGGCTCACACTAGAGCTGAGTTGGTCTATCAGTCTATGTTAATAAGAGTTCTAATGTACTCTCAAATCTTATTTCCTAAATTGTACTCTATGATGTGGCGGTCACGGATAAGCTAATTTGTTCATGTGGGTTCCATGCCTGCAAGTGTATCAAGATTTTGTGTATGAAGTAAAATTTTAAAGTAAAAAATAAGAATACACATAATATTTTCCTATTAATAACATTACTCACCATTTTTAGGAAATTAAAATAAGTATAGTTATAACAATACATGAATATTAAAATTGAAATTACCCAGAATCCACAATATCAAAGTCGGGCGGTTGGAAGAATTACTTTGCTCCATCTCTTTGTCAGGTTCACTCTCGGCCTGCAAGCTACCAAACAAAATCACACATGAAAAATCCTAACAATTTGCAGTGAATTAATTGTGTGTGTGGAATGAGAAATGGAACAAAAAATATATATCAACCTTTAAGATCAGAGAGTCTCTATCTCAACCTGAGAAGCTCGATCAGTGGAGATTGCATCCACTGCATGCACAATGCTGGAATATATATATATATAAAAAGTAAAAGTGGCATTTGGAAGAAGACAGGTTTAAAAGCAATATAATACTTCATTGGATGGGGGAACATATTTCAACAACCTTAAACTTTTTTAAAGTGAAATAAAACAATGGCAGAAGCCAAGTAAAGAACAAAAAGTTGCTAGCAACTCAAGTAAGAGATCATATTATATATGTCAAAAACATGCTTCATTAACTTGATGTACAAGCTAAAAGGGGAATTACAGCCTCCTCTGAGACTAGAACCCACAACTGCCCATCTGTTCATGGTCAATACAGGCTGAGACTAGAACCCAAAACCACTCACCTGGAGGAGCAACTTAGTGCCATTAAATCAGACCACAATGTCATTGGCATGTTAACAAAATCTTTAATGGTTTATAATTACAAATTGTATTTTTATTTTTATATTATTTACTAACAAGCTCTACATGTGTAATGCAAATGTACTAAAATTGTCACCTTGTGAAGTTATTGAGTTTTCCAGCTACCAAATTTGGCATTAAAAAAAATTAAAAATGATAGAAAGAAGCCAAGTTAAGAACAAATAATTGCTAGCAACTCAAATAAGAGATCACGATCGAGGTGGCTGCTATGTGAAAAAACATAATACTTCATCCGTCACTTTTAAGTATTACCACAAGTCCATAAGTACGTACTCTAATGATAAAAAAATTTGAATGATAGAGTGTAATGATGTATTATGTAATTAATTATCAGTCTAATGACGAGATCAAACGTTATGATTTAATAATTAATCAATTACAACATGTCAATCCAACCATAATTTTTATTAATAATAGAATAATTCTATCATTTTAAATTTTTACTGGTAAATTATAGAACCAATAGAACCAATGTACAAATTAAATTCTCACAGCCCTTTACGATAACCCAAGAATCCTCGGCCAATCCGCACAAAAATGCTAACGTAGTTCAGAAGTGTCAACCTACTTCGACTAGCTTTCCTATAGTTCCTTGATACCTCGGATTATATTCTTTCCCCAATTAGCAATAATATCGGCATGATTCATATATAATAACCCAAATATATCACAAATCATTGCTGGAAATCTTTCATTTTCTGACCACATTTCCGACCACCTAGAAAATTGGTCGAAAAAATGAATTTTTTTTCACTTTTCCGTCGAAAGGTTACGGTGGACGGAAATAGGTCGGAATTTCCGACCACCCTTACTTAGTGGTCGGAAGAACGACTACAAAGTAATGGTGATCAGAAATTTCTTTTGGTTGTTTAAATTTTTAAAATTTCTTATTTATTATTTCCGACCATCTTCAAAGGTGGTCGGAATTTTTTTTTTTTTTTTTTTTTTTTTTTCATTCATGTCATCCCATGGTATGACGATCACATAATTTATCATTTTATCATTAATTATTTTACGCATACTCTTTTTTTTTTTATGTTTTGATTTTAACTTGCATTTCTTCAATTGATCACGACACAGAGTTTAATGGTAGTATGTTAAAATGTCGTAATATTCAATATAAACAATCAATTTCACATACCTTTGTGCAAATTAGATACTTCAAAACTATCTATTAATAGTACATAACAAGAAAAATATACAAAGATAATGATTTTTTACAACATCTTTTATGCAAAAGACAATATATAGTTTTGTCGAAAATCGTTGTCTTTCTTTGATTTTTTTAAAAAACAATTATTTATTTATCCGTTGTTGTTCGTATTTTATCTTTAAACATACATTGAATACATAATACATTTACAAAAATTTGATGTCTTTGTGTATTTTTTAAATGACAATGATTATTTTAACTCTTGTCATTTTTTAGAAATAGAAAAATTAGAGATATAGAGAAATGAATAAATGATGTAAACCAACCCCAGCTTATACACTGCTCTCAGCACTCACTCCCTTTACTGTTTAGACACTCACTTCCTTCGCAGCTGTCACTCCCTTCGCTACCGCCAACACCTCCTTGTACCTCCTAGGTATTTCCCATTTCCAGATCTATATTATGCTGCCATTCCGGCCAATCCAGCCGGTGCATCTCTCATAGGGCTTCACTGTTGGAGTCGCCTAAGACTCGTCTACCTTCGTCGCCGAACAGATCATATAGGGGGCGCGGTGCAACTTTTTGATTTCCTAGCTCTGACCATCGCAATCGGTAATTTTCTCCCTCTTCTACTAAGTCAAACCATTTTCCTCTTATTTTCGTTTTGTCTGCCCCTGCTGCAATATGATATATTTGTTAAAAGTTTTTTCCCCTGATTATTTGAAGTATAGTTATGTTGGCTTTTGATATTTTCGATGAGGATTACTAATCTGATTAGCAAGCTGGGAGATAGTTTTATTTTGGATTGAATATGCTATTAGGGTTTTATAGTTGATTTTCTGGTTTCAAAGGTTTGTTTGTATATATGATGTGCTTTGGTTTTTAAGTTGAATGGTTATATGTGCAGCAGAAGAAACACAGGCATTCAGGGTTCTCCTAGCTAGGCAAGATTATACATTTTTATTGATACATACATTTTTATGTATTTACTTTTCTGGATTGAATTTTACTTTGACAGATAAGATGTTTATGTAGTTTATGCCTAAAGAATCGTTTGCATTTCTGTATAAATATGTGGTATTATATGTTATAATATATGCTAGATATCTTTGTGAGGTATGGTTATATGGTGTTTCTAGTCCTGTGAACTATTCAATGTGCTTTATTGGAAGGATTTAGTTTTGAAAACTTGGTTTATTGCTAAGAATTTAGTCTTACTAACCTTGTCTATTCACATATCAAAGTTGTGGTCTGTAAACATGCTCTTTCACTCTTGTTACAATAATGTATTACTTTTATTTGCAGTTAAATAGATCATGTGGTTCTATCTCTGTTTTTTACTCCAAAAATAGATGGTCTTAAACAAGCACAATACAAGGACGTTGACAAACATTATTTTGATCAGCTAGTCCAGCTTAAGGTAAATCTTTAAAATTTTAGGTGAGGTATTTAACATGTTAGTCATTGTTTGTCTCATTATTATATGTATGTAGTTGTATAATAAACTTATATGTTCTTTGACAGACAACTGAGATGGAAAACAACGACCTGGATAGATACTGCGTACAATTACATCTCATTATATCTTGTTTTGCTGGCCTAGCTATAATCTTTTTCAATAATGTGCAGATTATTGACACATCAATTGATTCTCTCTTGTTTCTGTTGTTGCTGCAACATCAAACAATGCATATGGTAGTTATTAATTTACCTTCTCACTCTGTTTGATATTCTGTTTTTTATATATATATATATATATATATATATATATATAATATATAATTTTTTGGTAAAAAATTAAATTCGTGATTCAGTAGTTTGTTGATAGAGATACTATTATGAAACTGTTTATTGTTATTTTTTCTTGAAATTTTTTGCTCTAGGGGATTGTAGATATCTAATGAAGTGATAAATTGAATGATAATTAGCTTTCTTTTTTTAAAAAAATCTAATTTGAATTTGCAGATTACTCAAATGGGCATGCATCGACAGTTAGCTCTGTTATTGTTTCAAACTTGAAAACTGGTGTCAGAAAAGGAGCATGGGACAAAGTAGAGGTACTTACAAATTATTTTAAATTTGTGAAGTACTGAAGTGTAATACCGGCATTCAAGGCTGCTGCTGAGAGTCTGCTAATTACCTCTGATCTGTCACCAGCAGATTTAGTAAGTTCAGGGATGTACTTTCATTATGTTTACGAGTTAGGGGTGGCCCAATCTGATTGGTTGCTTCTTTTCTTGAACTAGAGCCAATATGGAATACTTTAAGGATCTTGCAAATGCTTAAGAACCAAAGGTATATGTTCTGCATTTGCTCATTTTCGGAACTTTCTGTTTGATCATTAAGTGCTTCTACTTGCCTAATTATGCAGTCCATGTGATGAAAATTCTTACATGTTTGAGGGACAGTTTATGGTGATTGCTTGTGCAGACTCTCGGGTTTGTCCCTCAGTTGTCTTGGGATTTCAACATGAGAAGCATTTGTAATCCGCAACATCGTAAATCTGGTGCCTTCCTTCTTATGAGGTAACTATTATGTTCTGAATGATGATTACTAACCATGCACCACTTTCTAATCTATTGCTACATCTCTAGTGGAATAATACGCATCCAAGATATTATATATGAATATAGATTTGCTGTTAATGCAGACTGGTCATGTTGTTCTTGTTGTTATTGTTTTTTACTTTTTTTTTTAATAAATAAACATATAAGGTGCTCAAAATTTTGTGATTCACTCTTCAATAATAACACTGAAGTGATTGTCGTTGTCCTTACTTTTGATGAAGCATAATAGTAGATTAGTTTAGCAAATTTTACAGTAATTTTTTATCCATTTAGACATGCAATGAGAATTCAAGATCTTCTCAACCAATGCTTTATTTTATACATCACATTGGTGCTAATTTTTAGCACGGTTTAATGTCTCCACAAGGTTAGTCATCCTACACGTTTTGGTTAAGTACATAGATAAGTCATTTTTCTACCAAAATCATGTAAAAAAGGCCAGATTATAAACATTCTTAATTCTTGATATCACTTCTAATTTGTTGCAAGTTGGTAGTTCAACTTTGAGTGCTCCTTTTTCCTTTTTCTCCCTTCTTAATCCAAATGTTTTCCACTTATTCATTTTAATTGAAAATTTTCAGTTGTTTAATGGCTGCCATAGCATGCGTTGTTGGATTACATTATGGGCACATTCTTGTTCATGTCAAGGTAAGATGCACTCTGCTCCATGGGGAGCTATGTGTCTCACTTACAAAGGCAAAGCTTTATAACTAACTTGAAAGCTTTGGATTGTACTTCTTCACTTGGTCAGAAGTTACAGAAGGCTAAAGTTACCCAAAATGTATACAATCTCTGCCACATTAGTCTCAAGGATTTTTCTGTCCAAGGTCAGTTATTGTTCAGGATACCAATTTCACTCTTGTTTAAGACGTGAAGCTATTTACCGAATGCTAATGTGGTAATTTGTGGTTATGTTACATGGTTCATTCTGGATATCTCCGAACAACTTCTCCGGTTGCACCAAATGGTAATTTTCCTATTATACTTGTTAATCTACATCTCATCAGTTACCTTTATATTGGTTCAGCTTTAGTGCATAGGTTTTCAGGTTTAACTTGAGCATTTCCCTTCATTGTTATTTATTTACCTATCTTTAAATGGAAGACAAAAATAAATAGTACTCTGTAACATAAAACAAGGTAAGGTGTTCTGTCCTCCTCCTCCCATGTACTTTCATTTCGGACATAAATAAAACGCCAAATTGACTACCATCCAGAGTATGGTGTTTCTATGCTTTTTTAAAGAAAAAATGAAAGAATAATTTAATTTTTCCTTTCTTTTCAGTTTACTAATATAATTATTTGAATGGAATTTATGCTTTTGGTAATTAAATCCTATCATTATTTTCTTCAACTTGCAGAGATAGAGCTGGTGGATACACTAGATTGTTAAGAACAAGAATACGTGTTGGTGATGCTGTACCTATGGTTCCTATATTGAATGCGATATTTACCTTATTTGCATTTAGTTCAAGGACCGATTATAGCTTTTGTTTATTTTGAATATAAACTGTAAAGAAAATATATAGCAAAAAGTTACATTGGAAAAGGCTATCATCTAAAATATTCATGAAAGAATTGTGTTCAAGTGTACGAAATTTGTATATGTTTTTCAGCAAATATATATATATATATATATTTCATTACAGAGGAATCCTCTGTAGTGAAATGAATTTTTTTTATTGATTGCGTCCAGTTTTCCGACCACCAAAGTGGTCGAAATTTCCGACCCCCAATAGTCGGAAAATCTGAACCCACCTAACTAATATCTTGGCCTTTTTTTCCGACGGTTTCAAAAAAGTGGTTACTCTTTCCGACCACTCTCTCTGTTTGTCGAAAATAGCGTGGGGAATTTTTCCGAACACCCAAATTGGTCGGAAAAGAGATCAGAACAAGTGTTTCCGACCTATTTAAGGCCATTTCCGACCACTTTTTGGTGGTCGGAAAATGGCAAATTTCCAGCAGTGAATTTTGGTTATAAATAATTGAAAGGTGGTCCGCACCCAGCATCCGCCCAAGGGAGAGCCGGTGCGGCGGCTACAAAATAAATGTATATGTTTCTTGGATTTCTTTCCCAATTATAAAGGTTTAAATGGTGACAATTATAAGCAGTTATTTCTTCTCCCGAAAGGTTGAATCTCCTAACTTCAATGGTCCCTCACATCCTGACCTGAGAGAGCATGTGCAAGGATATAAATTACGGTAACTCAATGGCTCCACATATAGGGTCAAATGCTAATGCGCACAAGAGATTTGTCCATTTTAATTTGGACATAATTTCACACAGTCAAATTTTTGCATCTAGGTCTAAGGTGTGTGATTTTTGTGCTTAAAGTGTATAGTTTTTGCGCTTAAGGTGCGTGGTTTTTGTGCTTAAGGTGCGTTGTTTATGTGCTTAATGTGAGTAGTACTTGTTGAAACTTAAGGTGCGTCAACCTAAAGCTTAAGGTGCGTGATTTGTATGCTTAAGGTGCGCGAGTTGTTGAAACTTAAGGTGCGCAATTTTAAAACTTTAGGCGTGTGGTTAGTGTTCTTAAGGTGCATGGTTTGTGTACTTAAAATGTGTGGTTTGTCTACTTAAGGTGCGTCGGTCTAAAGCCTTAGGTGCACGTGATTTTTGTTCTAAAGGTGCTTTGTTTGTGTGCTTAAGGTGTGTGGTTTGTGTAGTTAAGGTGATCAGGTGCATTTGTTGCTTCCCTTGCGGATGTGCGGTGGATTATGTGCATGAGATTTGTACATAATGTGCGTGAGTGTTGTGCTTAATGTGCCTGAGATTTGTACTTAATATGCGTGAATGTGTAAAATGCAGCAGAAAATATTGATGTCACCTTCTTCCCCATTCCCAGTAGCCATTTGTCCCCTCCTTGATGATGATGATGCGGAGGCGAGCTATGGTGGTTAAGGATTATGTGAATAATACAACAGAAATCCACACTTAGCTACTGTGCAAATTTTACTGTGCGTGCGTCATTTATATAAACATTCAACTGCACTGAACGTAGCTGATAATCCAGAATCCATGGCCAAATTGAAGGAAGAAGTAACAAGAAGCTTGGGCATTAATGCGCGTGAGTTTCTGTTCTGCTTCCTTCTGAGCTCGTAATTCTGAAATACTCACGCACATTAAGCACAAATCTCACGCACATTAAACACAATACTTAGGCACATTAAGTACAAAACTCACGCATATTAACATGACGCACATTAAGTACAAATCTTAGGCACATTAAGTATAAACCTCACTCACATTAATCCACCGCACATCCGCACAGGAAACAACAAATGCACCTGATCCCTTCCCTATATATATATATATATATATATATATATATATATATATAAGAGCCCAAGAGAGTTAGGCCTATAATGGGTAGAAAAAATGGCGGTCACAGATTTTAATCAAATGAATGGTTCAGATTAATTAAAAGATTGATCAGATTTAAATTTTACACTAAAATTTCTTAAAATACCCACACACCGTTACTAATTCTGTTAAAATTTTAAGAATTGCCGTTAGTTCACCGTTAACTTACTCATTGATTTCAATAAAAAAAAAAAGGTCTTAGGTTCGAACCTCATCTCAATCAAAGTTGGCATAATTAGTACTCTATTTTACTCTTCTTAAATTATATAAATAATAATTTAGTAGTTACAACAAAAAATAATACATATGCATTTCTTTAATTTAGAATTATGTGTCCACAATGCCTTTATTCAAAAAAAATAAAAATATATTCATTATCAATCAATTAAATAAGAGAAATAATTTTATTAGTTATATTGTCTTTATTTTTCTTCAATATAAAAATTCTTTATATTCAAATTTATTAATTGATTATATTCGCTACATTATCCTTATAATGTCTTTATTCAGTAAAAAAAATTTATTAATTATCAATAAATTAATTAAAAGAAATATTTTCATTAGTTATATTGTCTTTATTTTTCTCAAATGTAAATTTTTACATTCAAATTCATCAATTGATTATATTCACTACATTATCTATTATCTTTTTTGTGCACTATTTTTCTAATTAAATATCAAAGTTATAATACAAAATAATGCTATATATTTATTTACCAAGTATTTTATTAATACCATGAAAAAATTTAAAAAATATAATTAATAAAGCCAACCATATTAACTACTTGAGAGATTTTGTGACAAAGAGAGTATTCAAATCACACAACAAATTGAAGTGAGAACTACCTCGCAATGTCCTTGTTTGACAATCAGTAATTAGGGGTTAGCGTTAGCGGATTATACTAGCGGATTTGACCAGCGAATTTATTTAATTATTAACATTGGGTAGAAAAAATGACCGCCAAATTATTAAATCAAATGAATGGTTCATATTGTTCAGGTTTTAACTTTTTTCTTTTAAGATTTTCTAATTTATCCTTAATTATATGATTATCCATTTAATTTTTCTGTTAATTCACCGTTAGTCTAATTCTAATATTAAAGTCTTAATAGAACTTAACCACAAATCCTAATGTCGGAATCTCCTCAAACAATATTAGTATATATTTAATATTTTATGCCCTAATTTTTATTTGTTCTCCCTTATGTTCCGTATTTGGTTTCAACCATACCTATACAATTATTTTATTGACAATTATAATCAATCTTGACTATATTATCTTGCATTTGTAAACTTAGAATTACCTATTTAACCCGCACCGGCTTAGCTCAATGGTTTAGTGGGTAGTATTTGGGAGAAGAGACGAAGGTTTGAACCTCGGCGGCGGCAGTGCGGGAATTATGTCCAAAGTGGGCAGATTCCTTGTGCGTATCAGCATTTGGCCCTCTCTACTGAACCATTGAGTCACCATGATTTACAACTTCCCACAATGCTCTGTCGGGTCGGAGTGTGGGGGGCCCTTGGGATTGGGGACTCAACATTTGGGAGAAGAATTACCTATTTAAATACGCAAATTCAACCTTCAATTATCTATGCATGAACAATTTCAATATAATCCTGTCTTAATATACTTTAAAGTACTTATTTTTAAAAAAAAAGCATTGGACATTATCTCAATCGCGCAATGCGCGTAAAAAACTAGTATATATATATATATATATATATATATATATATATATATATATATATATATATATATATATATATATATATATATATATATATTCCTTCCTATTCTAAATAAAACACTTTTATTTTAAATTTTAAAATAATAATATTTTTAAATAATTAAATAATAAGTTATATAAGTTAATTTAATTTATAGTAATGACTTTTTAAAATAGTGGAGTATTATACCATGAATTATGATCCACTTTTCAGGTACACTAAATTAATTTTTTTTTTTTCAATTTAAGTTTAGTTTTTTATACAAATAAAAATAGTTTATAAAAATTTATTATTAAAGAGTTATAATTAAAATATTTTAAATAACACCTATATTGATATTTTTATTTTTATTTTTAAAATTAACAAACAGATATATTAAATTACTATATTATGTTCATTTTTAGTAGGGATGTCAATTACAATCCACCCCGTGGATATTCACCCGAATCCACCCCGCATGCCGTATGGATTGTTTTTTTGGGTGGTAGTGGGTGGTGGATCGGGGGTGGGAGCGTTATGCTGTGCATCCGTATGCACCATGCAGTGCATACTGATGCAAAAACGACGTCGTTTTGGCGTCTAACTTAAAAAAAAATAATAATTCAGAATTGCATAACTACACATCCATAATTTCATAACTATATATCCAGAATTGCATAACTACACTTCCAGAATTGCATAACTACACATCTATAACTTCATAACTACACATCCAGAATTGCATAACTACACTTCCAGAATTTCATAACTAAAAAATTCAAAATGAATGAACTAAAAATGAATAACATAATGTTGTTGCTGGGAATCGAAACTGATTTTTTTTTTTTAAGTAGGGCGCGCGTTTTATGCAAAACGACGTCGTTTTTGCATCCGTATGCACCATGCAGAGTGCATACGGATGCACAACATAATATTTCTATTATTTTATATTTTATATAACTAATGAATTTTATTATTTTATTATGTGTAGGTAATTTAAATTTTATTTTTTGAAAAAATAATAATAAGATTATAAGTGGTGGGTACCCGTAGTAGACACCTGCACCCGATGGGGGTGGGGGTGGGTTCTGAAAAAGTCCACCCAATGCGGGTTAGGGTTGGGGAGTGGGTGGAGAAAATATAAGGTGGGTCAGGTGATGGATGTAGCCCTCCCCGACCTACACTCGACCCATTGTCATCCCTAATTTTGAGTATAATATACTTTAATTTGATTTATAGTAACGATTGCAACAAATACTGGATTATTATACTATGGACAGTGGTCCACTTTTAAGATAAACTAACTAATTTTTTTCAACTTATGTTTAATTTTTTTTAATACAAATAAAATTAATATATGTATCATTAAAACGTTCTGACACTTATATATATTGATATTTTTATTTTACTATTTTAAATTATTATACGATTATATTAAATCACTATATTATATTATTTTTAATATACTATTGGTTTATTTTCAAAATGTTGTAGGTTGTTTTTTTTTTTTTTTTTTTACAAAACCATTAAAGCAACAATGCCACTTCAACGCTTCTTTAAAATAAAAAAGATTTATCAGGTATATTGTACACACCCTCACAAAATGACAACGAAATTTTCTGTCAACCAAAAAATAAAAAATAAAGACAAACATTGTCTGGCACTGCAGGCGAGGCCAGCACCATATATGAACTAGCAGGAGCAGCATCCAGGAGAAGCGTCGCCGGCGGCCGTGTTTTTCTTGGGAGCCTTCTTTAGCTTTATGGTGTAGCAAATGGCTGCAATAACGTAGTAAACGATATTGATGCTACTTAGAACAGCAAGAACCCAATAGTACTTCTCCAGCTCACAATCACTCACTTCTTTCTGTATCCAGCTTTTCCCACTCACACTCTGGCTGATTTTGGCCACCGCCAAAACCGACACCACACTGCCTATAAATCCCAGGCCCATCACGAAGTTGGTGAACTGGATACTGTACCTTTCCAAGGACTGATCTTTCGAGGCGGGTTTCCCCTCAGATGATTCATAGTTTTGGAAGAAATCATTGACGCTTACTTCCAGGAATGCATCGATGCCGATAACGAAAACGAACTGAGGTACCAGCCAAAATTTGCTATCGTGGTGCAGATACATCTTCATAGTGTCCTTCCGCCTTACATTTTCCACCACCGCGGCCGCCAAGCAACATAGTACGGCGTTGAGCATCGCCATTCCGATGCCGAACAACGCCGCCATCTTCTTTGTACCGGCGTTAACTCCATTGAAGTATTTTGTTGTTATGGTATCGCACCATTCGAAGAAGTTTTTCATCAATTTGTAGATAAAACCATAGCATTGTTTGAGGATGAACTTGGCGGCCTTGGCTAGGAGTAAAAGGACGCCGAGAGGGACAGTGTAAACCCCGGCGGTGGGCTTCATTCTGTCGGCCTGCTCCACGAATAAGGTGTTTCCGATGGAGGAAACCACCCCACACATTATGAACGATGGCCACACCATGGCGGTTTGGTTGAACATTTCACAGAAATTTATTTTATCGTCACTCTTTGCTGGTGGTGTCTCATTAAAAACTACAAACCATTTTGCGATCGCCAATGCGATCGTGGCCGCAAATCCATACATCGCAACAATCCCAAACCGACCACTCCAATGTTGCGGCAGAAGCCAACTGGACACTCCGGAGATCACCGCTCTCATTAAATTGTTAGCCAGACTTCTTCTCGTCCAAAAACCCTTCTCTTTATCCTCGTTCACACCTTGTTCGTCCAGGAATGGATCAAGAGAAACGGCGTGGCCTGCCATGCCCACGCCTGTTAGCACCAATGATATGTAGAACGTAGCCTTTTGCGCTGGGCCGTAGCATTCCGGCCGGTCCTCGCCGCAGTTACCGGCCATGTTTTCCAGCACCGGTGGCGTTGACATGTATAGAAACGCCATACCCTGCCCATAGTATTTAATTTGTGAATGGCCTGGTTTAGGTCTACCATGCATTGTTGACCCAGGTCTAAAATAACTTTTAGATTATGTGTTTGCAGTTGACATATTCTGTAACTGTAACTATAATTATGTGCCTCCACATCACATGTTAACTGCATACACATATAATATGTTAACAATATATTATTATGTGTATGCTATTAACTTATTATATATCTATAGTTATCATTTTATATGTCTATAGTTAACATGTGGTGTGTTTTCAATTTATTTACATGCACATTGCACATAAACAATTAACTGCAGATACTAGAGATGCATAATTTTTAAGCTAGAATTCACAATACAAGATAGATCCTGGTCTATTGTATTACAAAAAAAGTAAAAATAAATATTGTACTTACAATGCTGTATACTATAGTGGAGTAGAGGAGCATCCAGTAGTTACCAATTTTGTCCGCAATGAAAGCACCGCATAAGCACAAAAGTTTACTTAAGCCAGTCCAAATGTTTATAATTCCAGCAGCATATGCGAAGCCTAGTCCCCACGCATCGGTCAAGTAAGCCATCAGCAGAAACAATGCGTACTCTGCAGCTATATTAAGCCATTTCACATGTGATGCTGCATGCCATATACAACATTAAGTGAACATGATTAGTTGCATGTGTTAATACTTGTATCAAATGTTATGTTATACCATGGAACAAGTCCAACTTGCATTGTTGATGTTGATCCAAAACGACTTGCAGTTAATTAATATGTTATGCATCTTCCATTAATAAATTATGTATGTATTATGATAAGTGCTTATTTGTTTATATTTTTCTCCCATTTCTCTAAGCCATTTTGCATATAGATCATTCCAAATTTCATGAGATTGGGACTAAATTGTGTTATTTTGCAAGGGTTTGGTTTTGAAAGCATTGGAATCAAAGATGAGTAATATCATGCATTTTGGTGGATATTGGAGTCAAGTGGAGCATTATGGATACATTTAGAGTCCATGGTAGCCAAGGAGAAGCTAAGTTGATGGGCAAAACACTTCCAAGGAAACATAAGAGTGGTGTATTCAATGGTCTTAGTCATTTGGGCAAACCAAAACAAAAGAGGAGCAAAAGATCAAGACATTGTAATTTTCACCCATTTCGGACACTGTTCGGTGTTTTGACCATATCTCGGCCTAGGAATGTCCAAATGGGGTGATTCTTGCACCATTGGAAAGCCAACTTAAATGGGTACAACTTTGTTGAAGACCATAAGTGCCAATAAAATGGTTTTAGAGGAGGAAAATAGCCTAGAAGTCAAGACAAGTGCACAGAATTCTGTTTCCAGGAGCCTCGTACTGCCTCGCGTACGCCCATCCCTCATCCCATTCGAGATCTGAAAAAGGAACCAGGTGGCGTACGCCCTGCCGTACGCCCGTACGCATGCCAGTACGACCATTCCAGTGTTCACTGGAAATGCACCAAAAATGGGACGCCCTTGCGTACGCCCATCCATCAGCTCAAGAATGAAGCAGGTGGCGTACCCCCTGGCGTACGCCCATCCCTGAGGGCGTCCCTACCTGCTCTGCCCCTATTTAAGCTCGAATTGAGCTCTTTTTCCATGGTTTTGGACCTTGTTCCAACCCTAGACATTTCCTTTCACTTCCTTTCATATTTTTAGGTTAGATTAGGCTTAGATTTAGGTTTCTTAACATATTTCAAGCTTGTAATCTTAGATTTGAAGCTTGGATTCCAACATTTCAAGATTCCACCATCCATTTTCAATAGAGAAGTTTTCCTTCCTTTTATCTCTTTCTTTTGCAAGATTCATGTTTGTTACTTATGCTTTTGTGTTCTTTATGCTATTTAATCATGAGTAGTTAGTTTATGGACTTGAGTTAGGGTTGTATTATCTATCTTGATGCTTGATTTGTGATTATTGCAAAAAGGGGGAAGAACTCCAACTTAGGGTTCATGTGTTTGTGAAGGTTTTGTATTTATATCTTGTTAATGTTTGATGTACACATTCATTAGCTTGTTTTTGGAGGATTCCTTGCCTCAACGAGAGTTGGGTGATGAATCCAAGCCACCCCTTGCATAGACCCGATTTCTTCCTACGAAAATAGGGGAAATTGGGGGCTTTAGATGCTTTGTGTGCTTGATGGACTTGGAATTGATTCACCACGAAAGTGGGGCAATTCCTTGTTCTAATCCTTGTTTATTAATCATGAGAATGGTTCGTAGACTAGGATACCTACGTGCATTCCCGCTTGTTTCCTTGGTTACTTGTTCTCCCTAATCCCTTAGGTTGTTAAAGCATCTAGATGATAATGCTCCCTAGCTTGAGTCCTATTTCTTATTTTGGGTTTATCTTTGTGTATATGTGTTAGTTTTATCATTTCCTTAAACTTGTAGTTTGCTTAGCTTCTTGTTGATTTCCTTATGCTAGTGCCTAGTTTCTTGTGATTGCATATTGCGTGCTATAACCCCCAATCCCCTGAGGACGACATTACACACCCGAGCTCACATCTTATTTTTGATGATGTTGATCCAAAACGACTTGCAGTTAATTAATATGTTATGCATCTTCCATTAATAAATTATGTATGTATTACAATTACCATACCTTCAGTTTATTTACAAGTAACTGAATGCTCATAATATATTAATAACATGTACATGCAAGCTAAGGTGGACCATGCTGCATGGTATAATTTGCCTAACCCAATTAGTGGTTACCTATCCAATTGCATATTATTACTCCCCCATCCCATTTTATGTCACTGAAGTTATTTTTAATTCAATTTTTCACAATATGAATTTTAATAATATAAAAGTATTAGTAAACACACAAAATAAATATAAAAATAATTAAAAATAACTACAGAAAAAATTGGTTTGACTAATGAATAAATAAAATGAGACAGAATATAATCAATTATAGACTGCCTAGCCCCAAGCACACCCAAACCCAACTTGTTTACTATAGTAGTTGTTATACCATAGACCAGGGTCCACTTTGCAAGGTGGACCCTAATAGTAAATTGTGTATTTTTAGTATTGAAATTATGAACATCTAGAATATGAATTATGTTTCCAAGTTTTGAGAATTATTTGTGAATACAATACATGACCATCACAAATTGTGATTTAAAAAAAAAAAAAGTAAATTGTGAATGTTTAGTATGTAAATTATGTATTTTTGGACCCGAGTCCATAAAATAATTTGCCTTACTAGACTAGAGTTGAATTGGCCTATATTAATAACATTACTTACCATTTTTAGGAAATTAAAATAAGTATAGTTATAACAATACATGAAAATTAAAATTGAAATTGAAATTACCCATAGTCCACAATATCAAAGTCCTCGGGCAGTTGGAAGATTTACTTTGCCCCATCACTTTGTCAGCTGGTTCTTCACCCCCGGCCTGCATGCAACCAAACAAAATCACACATGAAAAATCCTAACAATTTGCAGGGAATTAATTATTGTGTGTGTGGAATGAGAAATATAAGCGAACAAATTAAAAATATATATCAACCTTAAAGAGATCGAGTCTCTATCTCAACCTACAGAAACCTGAGAAGCTCGATCATATCAGTGGAGATTGCATCCACAATGCTGGAATATAAAAGTAAAGTGGCATATATGTGGAAGATGACATGTTTAAAAGCAATACTTCATTGGATGGGGGAACATATTTCTACAACCTTAAACTTTTTAAAAGTGAAATAAAACAATGGCAGAAGCCAAGTAAAGAACAAAAAGTTGCTAGCAACTCAAGTAAGAGATCATACTATATACGTGAAAAACATGTTTCATTAACTTGATGTACAAGCTAAAACGGAAATCATGTTTATATACTTAAAGAATATTTAGGCTGTGTTTGGTTCACACATAGGAATTGAAATCGGAATGGGTTTCAAATACTTGGTAATGGTAATGAGTTTTGGTGAAAGAATTTAGCATGTTTGGTAATAGTGTGGAATAGGAATGATTAGGATAAGGATGAATAGTGGGATGCAATTCTTATAAAATAAGGGAATGAGTTTTTTCATTAATGGGGTATTCCAAACCCGTGTTTTAAAAACCAGTCAACCAAATAATAATAATCACTTTCATACCCATATTTGAGTGTTAAACTTGCCAACCAAACACACCCTTAGTGTTGACCATAAATTTGACGGTATATATTAGCATGTGGTAAATTATTGTATTATTCGGAAAAATAACATTTTTGGTCCCTATATTTATACAAATTAACAATTTCAGTCCAATTATGGTTGTAAGCAATATTAACCCTCCAAATTAAATTTTCATGATGTGGTGACTGTTGTCGTCCATCTTTTCATGAGGTAGTGATTTTGATGATTTTAATTCATTAGCATATTAACAGAAACTTTAATGGTTTATAATTACAAATTGAATTTTTATTTTTATACTCCATATTATTTACAAACAAAAACTCAAAAAGTGTTCCTCACCTTGGGGCCTCACACTTTGTCCCGATATACTTCATCCGTCACTTTTAAGTATTAACACAAGTTCATAAGTACTCTAATGATAAAATAATAATAATAATAATAATAATAATAATAATAATAATAATAATAATAATAATGTGTAATAATGTATTATGTAATTAATTGTCAATCTAATCAAAGAGATCAGACGCTATATATGATTTAATAATAAATTAATTACAACATGTCAACCCAATCATAATTTTTATAGCTTAATAATAGAATAATTCTATCATTTTCAATTTTTACTGGTAAATTATATCAATAGAACCAATGTACAAATTCTCATAGCGCAGCCCTTTACGATAATCCAAGAATCCTCGGCCAATCCGCACAAAAATGCTAATTAGCATTCAAAAAAAAAATGGCGACAATTATGTCCAATTTCTTCTCCCAAAAGATTGAATCTCCCAACTTCAATGGCTCCTCACATCCCGATCTGAGAGAGCACGTATGAGGATATAAATTACTGTAACTCAGTGGCTTCACAGATAGGGTCAAATGCCGATGCGCATAAGGGATTTGTCCACTTTGAGCATTAATCCCACATTGTCATTATCGAGTTTCAAATATTGGTCAATTCTCCCAAATACTGTCTACTGAGTGCGGGCAATTATAACCAATTTGGTTAAGATAAATTGAGAGTTCAAAACTCCTTATCTCTTATGAAAAAATCAATATGACTAGTACTTTATCCTTTAATTGGCACGACCGGATGCATCTTATAGTTAGGGCCTAATCTTACTAAAAAAATGGGATGATTATACTAGTTACTCTCTATGTAATTATTAATTGATTGTAATTATTATTGACCCACCGTTGACGGAGCGTTATGCTGTGCATCCGTATGCACCATGCATGGTGCATACGGATGCAAAAACGACGTCGTTTTGGCGTCTAACTTAAAAAAAAAAAAAAAAAAATCAGAATTGCAAAACTACTCATACATAATTTCACTACACTTCCATAATTTCATAACTATACATCCATAATTGCATAAGTACACTTCCAGAATTGCATAACTACACTTCCAGAATTGCATAACTATAATTTCAGAATTGCATAACTACACATCCATAACTTCATAACTACACATCCATAATTGCATAACTACACTTCCAGAATTGCATAACTATAATTCCATAATTGCATAACTACACATCCATAACTTCATAACTACACATCCATAATTGCATAACTACACTTCCAGAATTGCATAACTACACTTCCGGCATTTCATAACTAAAAATCCAAAATGAATGAACTAAAAATGAATAACATAATGTTGTTGCTGAGAATCGAAACTGATTTTTTTTAAAAGTAGAGCGCGCGTTTTATGCAAAGCGACGTCGTTTTTGCATCCGTATGCACCATGCAGGGTGTATATGGATGCACAGCATAATTTGCCACCGTTGACGGCATCTAGTCATAAAACCAACATCAGGTGCTTTCCCTAAATTAGGAAACTCAATTCTTTGAATTGTGAACATTAATTATAAGTTAATATTCTAAAACATAAAGAATTAAAGAAAACAATTTCCTAAGTTATAAATAAAATAATTTCCTGAAACCAAATTAGAATCTCTCAGTTGTACGGTAATTGTGCACCCGGGGTTGTGTGCATTGTGGCCCAAAACGACGTTTTTTTTTTTTTTTTTTTTTTTTTTTTTACACTCTGTTTTCTGTATCTGCTTTTAACTTTTAAAAAGAGTTCTATATTTCAAATGTACATAATTGTATAATAGAATGTACATAAATCCCTAACATAATACACATAATGTTTTTTGAAAGGACGGTGCGGCGGCTACGAAATTAGTGCATACGTTTCTTGGATTTCTTTCCCAATTATGAAGTTTAAATATATGGTGACAAACAGATATTACATTGTAACAGAGTCTAGCATTCAAAAAAAATATAAGTGACAATTATAACCAATTTCTTCTTCCGAACCGTTTAACCCCGACCCAAGCAGGAGCACGGAACGTAGGGGAGCCTAAACTCGAGGTATATTCCCCATCAAGCATAATCCCCACACTGTCATTATATTGGCGCGACGGACATCGTTCCGTCTGTTGCAGTTTTTTCTGACACTTGTATTTATGTGTATTACGTTAAGAGTTTATGTGTATTATGTTAAGAGTTTATGTGTATTATGTATTATGTATTATGTTATATTATGTGAACTATGTTAGGATTTTAGGTGTATTCTACTATACAATTCTGTACATACGAAACAGAGAATTTTTATTATTTTTAGAAGTTAACCACAAAAACAAAAAACGAAATCCCCCCCCCCCCCCCCCCCCCCTCACCCCCCACCAAAAAAAAAAAACGAAATACAAAACGACATCATTTTGGGTCAGGACACACAATAATACACAATATAATTTACCCAAAATGCCACAGATTTGTTAAATACATACAGTATTTATTTTAAAAAAAAAAACACCAACAGCATCAAGTCAACTAGCAGCAGCATGTGGTAGGGGTAGAGGTAGGATCGGCGGCGGGCTTAGATTTGAAACGTGGTTTGAATTTCACGTAATAAACCACTGCAACTATAACGTACCAAATCAAATTGACGCCACTCAAAGCAGTGAGAACCCAATAATACTTATCCAACCGACTTTCGTTTACCTCTTTCTTGAACCATTTCTTGCACACTGCCACCGACACAACACTGCCCACTTGTCCTAGACCGCGCACAAACCTCAAAAGGTGGACGGCGTACTTTTTCAAGGTCGGAACCTCATGATCCTCGAAGAAATCCTCCACGGCTTCTTCAAACAACGTATCCAAGACCGTAAGGAAATAGAACTGAGGTATCAGCCAGAATATACTCATCGGACTATCAATATTCTTCCTCCTCCTACTCTCCACCACGGCGGCGCTCAGGCAACATAGCACGGCGTTGAGCATCGCGGTTGCGATGCTGACCAGTGCGACGATCAAACTGCAGCCGCAGCAGCCAAGGCACTTTCTCAGGCATCTGTACTCATATTTGTTATTGAATTCTAGGAGGTATTTTGCGCCGTTGGATAGGAGGAGGAGGATGGTGGGATGGACCTGCCATTTTCCGATGCCCCGGTTCATTTGGTCGGCCTGCCCCACGAAGAAGGTGTTGCCGGTAGAAGAAACCAGCCCACATATTATGAAGGATGTCCATAAAATGGCGGTCTGAAGGCAAATTTTGGTTTCTTCCACTTCTCCCACAGTGCAGAGATTCCATGATAATTTGCTCTCCTCCTCCTTATTCTTCTTCTCTTCTCCTTCATCCACTCTCCCACTCTTTCCTTGCGATGCCACGGCTGCCTTGTCTAACCACCTAGATTAATAAATAATTAATATATTTCAAACAATAAAAACAATTATTAGTGGAAGGCATTTGTGTGTGTGTTACTAAACTAATCCTAAATCCTCAGACTCAAGAGTTATTATAGAGGATAAATAATAATTGTCAAGTCAATTTCTACTTCCCAATTCCACACAAAAGCCGTCAAAATGAACTTTGCATGTCGGCACGGGCCCTACCTAAGTAGGGGCAATTGTTATAGGGTGGACCATAGTCGATGCCGTTTCTTTAAATAAAAAACGACAGTCGTTAAATTTCAATAAATTTCGTAACTTTTGTATTTTCAAAACAAAATAAAATTACACTGTATCTAAAATTAAATTGAATAATTTGTCTGGTATATTTGATTTTCATCCACCCTGCCCGTATTGATGGCTCAAACAGTCTACTAATTTAAAAGTGTTTGTGTATTGGTGTTGGATTAAAAAAATAAATATATATATATATATATATATATATATATATATATATATATATATATATATATTTCAAACAATAAAAACAATTTTTAGTGGGAAGCATTTTCATATGTGAAAAAAATAATTTAATTTTTTCCAACTCAAACGTAAAGAAATACTGTGAAAAGTGAGAGGTGCCTAACTGCCTACTACTACTATTATTATTATTATTATGTGATTTCCAGTAGTGTCATAATCTTTAATAAGTGATATTTAGAGTCATAAATCATAAATATCACTTATTAAAGATTATGGTTTATGACTCTAAGAGCATCCTTATCCTTTGGGGTTATTTCTTAATTATTTGTGGGTCCCAGCATCCACCTCATCCTCCACTATTTCACTCAATCACAATAAACTCTTATCCACATCAGATTTGAGTTATTTCTTAGTTTTTATAGACCCACCATTTAATAAAAATAAACAAATTAAATGTTAAAAACCTTGGGAAGAGAAATATCTCAACCCCTTGCAGGAGGATTCTTTTTGAATTATTCAATTCCCACATCAGCTTTGATCTTCACTTGGGAGAATTAATTCTGACATTAACTCCCAAATCTTCTCTATAGTGGATGCTCTTATCACTTATTAAAGATTATGGTTACTTTTGGTATTTTAAAAAAATTTTGTTGCTATTTCCGACCACCTCAAAGGTTGTCGGAAATAGCATCCAATTTTGTAAAGTGATCGTAAAAATCAGTTACTAGAAAGATTGTCGGAAATTCCCAACTCAGTTTTAAAACAAAATTTTTTTTGGACCACCTTTACTTTGTGGTGGATAGTTCCGACCACTAAGTAAAGGTGGTCGGGAATTCCGACCTATTTCCCTACCATAATTCTTCGAGGAAAAATTAAAAAAATGTCACTTTTCTATCATTTTTTTAGGTGGTCAGAAAAGTGATCGGAAAATCAAAGATTTCTAGCAGTGTGGTGCGGCATAAATAATTTGGAATGGTTCATGGTGTGTGGATGACACTTTAACCTATATAGTAATGTATAATGGTTATTAATTAAATGGTGGAATAGTTTGGTGATAATAAGTATCTTATTATTCTACGAGATAATTAAAGGGGATGAATCTTACCAAATATTGAGTTTTTGCCCGCCCTAGCCCGTATTGATGTCTCAAACAATTTACTATTTTAAAAGTGTTTGTATATTGGTATTGGAAAAAATAAATTAGACACATAAAATGTTACCTGCATCGATTAGTATGGGCCAATTGCTTAGCAAAGTCGTGGTCGTTGCCATGTCGTTGGTAAAGGTCATTAGAGTTGGCAGGGAGTTGATGAGATCTTTTGCGCGTGGCGGCGACAAAGACTCTCAAAACTGTTGTGAGGGCACTCCCATTTGGATCATCGTCGTCCTTGGGAGGGTAAGACCGACGCAGCGTTCCGACGAAGAATATAAGTGTTGCGGCGAAGAAAATTATTCCGGCAACCCCAAATCTAACCTCCCAAGTCTTTAAAAGCGGGAGTGCTAGAGCAGCAATGGCCCCTACTATGAAGTTGAGTTTATTATTTTCACTGTCATGGTGTTGAAGGAATGTATCCAAAGAAACCGAGTTACCCGCCATGCCCACGCACATTAACACCAATGACGTGAAGAAGAGCACCGGCGGCGCCGATGACATGGATAGAAACGCCAAACCCTATTCATTATATATATTATTAATGTTGAACATATAGGCCATGTTCAGTTCAGTAAATGGCTGATAGCTGTTAGGTGATTGAGTAGTCTATTAGAGGGTATAACTAGTTGATAATATTAGCTGATTGTAGAAAGATGTTTGGTAAATTAGTTATTTGGTATAATTGTTTTTTTCTCAAAAAATTAATTGAAAAAGTTGTTTTGAGTAGCTGATAGCATTATATATCATTTAAATATGAGAGAAATAATATTATTGCACTTACAATGCTGGAGGCTAGACCGGAGAGCAAAAGCATTTTAACGTTACCAAGATAAGCATCCATCAGGAAGGCAAAACTTAAGCTCAAAATTTTAGTAAAGCCATAGAAAACGTTTATAGTTCCGGCAGCATGCGCAAATCCTAGTCCCCATGTTTCACTTAAGTAAGTCATCATCTCGAACAATGTGTACTCTTCAATTATATTAGCCCATTTCAAAGATGACACTGCCGTACAGATATAAATTAAACAATAAGAAAATTAAGAATATATATATAGCTGGTAGTTGTCTAGTTGATTATATATATACACACTGCTGGAAATTATGGAATTTCCGACCACCTGAAAGTGATCTTAAATCAAGTCCAAAGTCTTGTTCTGACCATTTTTGGTATTCGGAAAAACTTTTATTATTATTTCCGATCACTTTTTGCTTTCGACTTGATTTCCAGTAGTGATAATAACGTGAAAATGAAAATGATTACGTATAATCCACCGCCGAATGATAGCCACAATGCGTTCACTGCAGCATGCCATCGGATCGGTTTGCAGGTTCACTCACTCTCTGCATATATGCAACCAGATATGAATAAATTGGAACTAAATAATAAATAATAAATAATAAATAATAAATGAAACAAATCAAAGTTGAGAGAGTTAGTTTCTGAATAAATTAAAAGAATTGAGCTTACTTTAATTAGAAACCTGAGAAGAAGCTCTGTGATATGCATGGCAGTGCAAATAAATAGTGAGAAAAAGAGATGGGCGGATGAGGTAGCTGAGGTGGCGTGGCCAAGGAGACATATATCTCCAAAAGTAGCAAGCTAAGAACTTCTGTACATCTATCTCAACTTTAAAGCAATTCCAAGAATCAATTATAAAATCTAAGTAAAGAATAAATTACTGTTCAATTCTCAACTCAAGTAAGAGATATATAGTATGTGAAAAACATGTTCCTCCAACTTGTGAAACAAACTAAGGTGGTGAGGTGATGACTGATGAGTGATAAAAGAGTATTCCATTTATGTTTATTTTACTTTTCCGTGCATGCTTTTAGTATTTGTAATTCTTCAATTTTCCCAGTTTTCTATTTATTATACTGATTTTTTTTAATCCAAAAGTGATAATTTTGAATATTACAATTAAAAAGCTTATAATTAAATTAATTTGGTTCTTGACAGTTTTTTTTTCTTTAATTTGTCACTTGTTGACATGTTTCCCTGGTCCTACATCAATATTCAAAGACGAACAGTCAATGGATAATCTATGGCTTTGTTTGGCAGAGCCTTATAGCTTATTTTAAGTTACTAATAAGTTATAAGCTCTGTTTGGTAATGTTCCCAAAATAAGCTCTTAGCTTAACATAAGAGCTTATTTGGAATGCTCTTATTTAGATAGCGTTTCAAAATAAGCTCCTAGCTTCCTAACTTTTTTTTTTTCTTCATCTTTATCCTTATTATTTTAAATAAATGACATAATTTACCATTTCCAATTAAAATATTTTTCTCTTTTCCTTTATCCGCAACTTTCAACGCAAATATTATTATTATTATTATTATTATTATTATTATTGTTGTTGTTGTTGTTGTTGTTGTTGTTGTTGTTATTATTATTATTATTATTATTATTATGAGATTTGCAACAATATTGTCACTTCATTATCAGATGTTAGATCATGATTATGCTAATAGTTTTATTTCAATTCAAAATGTTAACTTTTTTTAAAGACAAAATGCTAAATTTTAATATGTAAATAAATTAATTTAAATTTTATGAAAATATCATTTTTAGTTTTTTTACATATCAGCTTATCAAAAAGCTAATTTTATTAAACACTTTCAATCAATTAGCTTCACAACTCTTCGGTTTTCAACTCCGAGCTTATAGTTTTTTAGCTAAGTTTGCCAAACAGAGTCATATGCCTATACAAAACAACGCTTTTGGGCAAAAAGGTCAAGTAGTTTACTAATCATGATTGTTCATCTGACACCATGGGCAAAAATATGGTTCATCTAGATCAACAGTTATACCCTCTATTTCCTATGGAAGGACCACTGCGTTGCTGCCGCCAACGGCCAAAAATAACAATTGCGTAACTTGATCTCTGATACCATTTTTGTTTTATTATAAGAGAATGTGGATATTCACCAGGCTTGAACCCATCACCTCCCACATAAGGGAGTATAGAATTAACAGAATATAGAATATTGCATGAACAATTAAGATTTCATGGTAAAAGGAAACCACAGAGAAAAATTTCATTAATATGGATGTGTTCTGAAAAACTAACTTTACAAGAGAGATACAGACTATATATATATATATATATATATATAACCAAATAGAAGCATGCAGAACGTACTCTAGCTAACAACTAATAAATCAAATCATATTAGCTGCGCTGCTGAACTGAATTGTTGATTGGACTTGTTGATCAGCAATATTATTGGGCGGTGGTGGATTAGCAGATTGTTTGCGGGGTTCCCAATAGAGCACCATAGCTAGAAAGTAGCAAGTAAGAGTGACGGCAGAGAGAGCTGTAAGAGTCCAATAATACTTATCCAACCGGCTCTGATCAACATCATTGTTGAACCATTTTTTGCAGGCTAAAACCGAGACAAGACTGAGGGCTTGTCCTATACCCCACACAAACTGGGTAAGGTGTACCGCGTACTTCTTCATCGTCGGAGCAGCGTTATCCTTGAAGAATATTTTCATGGGTTCTTGGAAAAACGTATCCACAATAATAAGAAACAAGAACTGAGGTATGAGCCAAAATATGCTAATCACATTATTACTATTAATATGCCTCCTCCTCTTATTTTCCACCAGGGCAGCGGTGAAACAACATACTACCGCCTAAAGCATCGCACTTCCCGGGCCGAGCTCCCTCATTTCTTCTCGACGCCGCCCGCCTTCCCCTAGTTCGTCTTTCACGCCGAGTTTGAAACAGGCGGTGGTGCCGTACTTTGCGGCGTTGGATAGGAGTAGGAGAATGGTGGGAGGGACTTGCCATTTCCCCAGGTTGTGGCTCATCTTGCCCGCCTGCACCACGAAGAAGGTGCTTCCGATTGAAGAAACCAAGCCGCATATTATGATTGGTGGCCACACCATAGCCGTCTGAACACTTAGTTTGGTTTCTTCTACTTCTCTCACATTGCACAGTTTCCATCTGCTCTCTTCCTTTGGCAATGGGATGGCTGCCTTGTCAAGCCACCTATATATAACAATTTACACTACTGGAAATTATGGAATTTTCGATCACTTGAAAGTGATCTTAAATCAAGTCGAAAGTCTTGTTCCGACCACTTTTGGTATCTGAAAAAACTTTTGTTGCTATTTCCGACCACTTTTTGATATCAAGATCACTTTCAGATGGTCGAAAATTCTATAATTTCTAGTAGTGTTAGGAGCTAAAAATGGGCCGGTATTCCTCTTTGAAATTAAAATTGATCTTATTGATCGAGTAGCACGTAAAATTAAAGTTTGGTAAGTTACCAGCATCCATTAGTATGGGACAATTTGTGGTTGGCGTCGTGTGCTTGGTAAAGCTCATCAGAATTGGCAGGGAGTTTACGACAACTTTTGCACGTGGCGGCAACAAAGACTCTCAGAAGAGTAGTAAGGGCACTCCCTTTAGGCTTATCACCGTAGTTACTGTAAAACCCAAGCGCCTTCCCGGCGAAGAATACAAGTGTTGCGGTGAAAAAAAATATGGCCGGAACCGCAAACTTAATCTCCCAAGGCCCTATATTCGAAAGCGCTAGAGCAGCAACGCCGGAGATTAGTATTACCAGTAAATTGTTTACGCTCCAAAATTCATCTTCTTTTTCTTCTTCTTCATCAGCTTGTTGGTTAAGATGATCATCATGACAGGGGGTTTGGTGGTGGCGGAGGAATGCATCCAGAGAAACCGCGTGACCCGCCATGCCTACGCCCATTAACACCAATGACGTGAAAAAGAATGCCTTTTGTACGGGGCCAACGCACTCCGCCTCGTATCTGTTGCAATTTCCGGCAAAGTTGGAGAGCACAGGCGGCGTTGACATTGTTAGAAACGCCAAACCCTGTTCATTATATATGTTGGAAAATTAGAATAACAACTTTCTGGCATAGCTTTGATTAGATTTTTTCTCTTCCAAAAGGTTGAACCCACCCCACAGAGACTAGACATTTGCTTACGGCGCACAAGTATAGGAGTCCCCTCATCACTGTCGCTGATAAGACTCAATCCTAAGTCATTCTTCCAAACTTTCATTTCTATGACCAGTTAAGGTGCCCATGCTTCCTGATTAGAGTTTTTTTTTTTTTTTTTTTTTTTTTTTTTTCTGATTTGGGCTTGGTGAAAGTTAATTTGAGTTCTCTTAAATTTAATTTGATATATAATACACTCAAAATCTATAATAAGTAAATCTAAAATTAAATTTCACATATACCCATTTCAGCCGGGAAAAAATAGGGTTGGATAGGCTTTGAAGGAACCATTATATATCCCACATTTGAAAATGAGAGTGAGTTACGTTTACACTAATATACAATTCACTTTATCTCGACTTGAATCACAAGTGAAGCCCATCCAAAATTATGCTTAAAAATAATCATTTTAACTCATTTTCCAACCCATTACACAACATACTAGCTTATAACCGTAGTATGTATTTTAATACAACTCTTGATAGACCATTGAAAAATATTATATTGTGAGGGAGGGAGGAAAGTTGTACTTACAATGCTGTAGAGTAGACTGGAGAGCAAAAGCGCTTTAAAAGTGCCAAGACAAGCATCCGCCACGAAAGCAAAACATATCTCCAAAATTTTAGTGATGCCAAAGAAAAGATTTATAATTCCGGCAGCGTTTGCAAAGCCTAGCCCCCAAGTGTTAGTTAAGTAATTTATGAGCAAGAACAATGCGTATTCTGCAATGATATGACCCCATTTCAAACCTGACACTGCAAAAACAACAACATTACTTTATATAGGCTATGTTTGGCAACCTATCTGAAAAGGTAGCTGAAAGTTTAAAAGGAGCTGAAAGTTGAAAAATTATAAGTTAGGAGCTGAAAACTGAAGAGCTGTTATGCTTTAAAATGTTTGGTAAAATTAGTTTTTTGATAAGCTAATAAATGTAAAAAGACATTTTCATAAAATTTAAATTAGTTTGTTTACATATTAAAATTTAACATTTTGTCTTCAAAAAATTTAACATTTTGAAATAAAAATATTAGCATAATAATGATCTAGTATCCCATAATGAAGTAGCAATACTGTTGCGAATCTCCTTCATCTAATAATAATAATAATAATAATAATAATAATAATAATAATAATAATAATAATAATAATAAGGCACAAGTGTCAAATAGGCCCATCTACTATTGTGAAGTGCTCAATTCCCACCACGAACTAAATTAAGTGTCAAATAGACCCATTTACCAGCTAAATTTGTTCAATTAGCTTTTTTTACAGGTTACCAACAGGTTACCTATTTATTAATTATTAATAAATAAATAAATAAAATAATTTAAATTAAAAAAAAAAAAAAAAAGATAATAGCCACCGGCTGTCCGGCGAGGACAGCCGGTGGCTGCCCATTCACAGACAGCCATCCAACTGAGGTCCAGATCTGGGAATCGAACTCCAATTAAAATATATTTGTAGAAGAACTGAGTTAATCAAAAGGAGAAAACATGGTAGGAAACAGTTGATTTGAATGAAAACCATCAAACAAGTGTGAAGTTGAACTAATGAGAAATATCTGCTGCAGTCACTGGAAATCTTGGAGAACATTAAAACGAAGAAGTTTGTTTTGATACATGGAGAGGGATTGGAGCTTGGTGTTGGTACAAAACTGTTGCTTTACCGGTGGCTATTATCTTTTTTTTTTTAATTATTTTATTTTATTTTATTTATTTATATATTTATTAATAATTAATAAATAGGTAACCTGTAAAAAAAGCTAATTGAACAAATTTAACTGGTAAATGGACCTATTTGACACTTAATTTAGTTCGTGGTGGGAATTGAGCACTTCGTAGTAGTAAATGAGCCTATTTGACACTTGTGCCTAATAATAATTGCAGTGAAAGTTTCAGATAAAGGAGAAAGAGAAAATGATTTTAATTGGGAAGAGTAAAGGAGGTCATTTCTTTAAAATAATAAGGACAAAGATGAAAAAAAAAAGTTAGGAAGCTAGTAACTTATTTTGAAATGTTACCTAAGGTAGCATTTTAAAATAAGCTCTTATTTTAGGAATATTACCAAACAGGACTTATATCTTATTAATAGTTTAAAATAAGCTATAAGCGTGCTCGCACACACACACTCTTATATATATAACGTGAATTTTAAATTATATTAAAATTACTTAATTACCCATAGTACACGCAATAGTGCATTCCCCACGAAGCTTAATGCACGCCATCAGTTTACAGCTTCACTCTCGATCTGCATGCATATAAGCAACCAAATGAATAAATGATGCAATTAAATTAAACCAATCTTTTTTGGGCAGCGGTAAGTACGTAACGGGTCAAATTCAGCAACTAGTAGCAAAAAATAGTTGGGCAGAAATAGTGAAGAGTTAAGTCTAGCATTCTACCTCTAAAAAATGTGATTATATTATAGACCATGATTCATCTTAAAAATATGGACCAATTGCATAAGATTTAATTTTAGTATATCAAAGGTTCATACATGATACGAGTGTATGTATGCAGCCGTCCTCAAACACATACAAACAAGAGATAATCGCGAAATAAAGGAAATGAGACTCAAGTTATATATGGAGCACAATCTAATAAATGAAAGAAAAGAAAAAAAAAAAAAAAAAAAAAGCTATAACATTAGGGAAAAACACATATGAGGAGATGCACGTAATAAGAATCTAGTCTAAAGATCAGTCTTGTGATAATCTAAGCAAGAATTTAGTTTCTGAATAAATTAAAATAATTGAGCTTACTTTAATTAGAAACCTGAGAATTGAAGCTCTGTGATATGCATGCATGCATGTATCCACGCATGGCGGCAGTGCAAATAAATAGTGAGAAAAAGAGATGGGCGGATGAGCTGAGGTGGCGTGGCCAAGGAGACATATATATCTCCAAAAGTAGCAAGCTAAGAACTTCTGTACATCTATCTCAACTTTAAAGCAAGAATCAATCATAAAATTAGTAAAGAATAAATTACTGTTCTCAACTCAAGTAAGAGATATATAGCTAGAAGTATCTATATGTGAAAAACATGTTCCTCCAACTTGTGAAACAAACTAAGGTGGTGAGGTACTGAGGTTAGTGGTAAAGAGTATTCATTTATGTTTGTTTTACTTTTCCATTGTTTTAGTATTTGTAACTCTTCAATTTTCCTTGTTTTATATTTAAACAGATTTTGTTTTGAATACAATTAAAAAGCTTCTAATTAATTTGAGTATGGTACCGGCCTCTTACAGTTAAAACTTGCTCAGGACACCACATGATTTGACCCAAAAAAAAAAAAAAAAAAAAAAAAAAAAAAAAAAAGAGAAGAAGAAGCTTATGATTAAGTTAATTTGGTTCTAGACCGTTTTCTTTCTTTTAATTTGTCACTTGTTGGCATGTTTCCCTTGTCCTGCATCAATATTCAAAAACGAACAATTAATGGATAATCTATGCTCCATACAAAACAACGGTTTGGGCAAAATGGTGAAATAGATAGGCCGAAGTACTATCTGACACCATAGACTAAAATATGGTTCATCTAGATCAACACTTAGCTTATACTTTCAATTTTATTTTTTTTCACCTAGCATTTTTAACCCGTTCCCATTGATAGGTCATGTAATTTGTTGAAATGGAAAAATAAATTAATAATGGAATGTTGACATGTTATATACATGGACCTATTGGACGATTTTGGTTGCAAATAGCCTTAATTCTTCATCATTATCTTCTTCCCAAACATAAGTCTTCATTTCTAATTTCCATTGCCAGATTTTAAATCTTCTTCATTATTGTCAAAATGTCTTCTGTTCATCTAATGTGCGAAAAAACTTAGACCACAAGCCTCCATTATATTATATTATATTGTAGATGTGGGTTGAAGTCTCCAATTTGCACAACAAGAGATTCATGCAAGAAATCTGTAAGTGTACGTCAAAAATGGACAATGAGAATTGTTTTCTGTAAACAAATGTTGAATTTGTGTGATATTTTCAATATTTTAAACTTAATTTTTGTTGTAAATTTCGTATATTATGTGGGTTGATTTTGTTTTATTATAATTATTTTCCAAATTTCATATATTTTGTTGATAGAAATTGGTTCAGGATGGATATGAGTGTGGTTTCTTGTTTTGTAAAGATCAAAATTATACAATCACGAATGAACCTCCTAATGTGAATAAACCGATAAGGAATATGATATATGGATTGCAATCTGAATTGTATGTTGTTCAAGAATTACTAGAAGCTGAATTAAAGGAGAAAAAAAAAAAAAATCGGAGAAGTAATTATACAAGAGAATTGGAATTGATCTAATCAAGTAGTACGTAATATTTAGTTGGTTAATTAAGTTACCCGCAAGCTAAGCATCAGTATGGGGCAATTGCTCATCATCTTCTTGTTGGTTATTAAGATCGTTTGAATTATCATCACGGCGGGTTTGGTAGTGGCGCGGCGGATCGGAGATATGCATCCAGAGAAACCGCGTGACCCGCCATGCCTACGCCCATTAACACCAATGATGTGAAGAAGAATGCTTTTTGTGTGGGGCAAACGCACTCCGCCTCGTATCTGCTGCAGTTTCCGGCAAAGTTGGAGAGCACCGGTGGCGTCGACATTGTTAGAAATGCCAAACCCTGTATATGTGTGTGTGTCCAAATCAATTCAAGTTAACAATTAAGTACGTACTTTATCACTTCATCTCAATTTAAGCTAACCAGGATCAATCAATTCAATGATAAAAGCCAAGTAAAGAATAAATTATTATTAGCAACTCAAGTAAGACATCGAAAGGTGCCGCCCGTACTATACGGTACGGTATGTGAAACATTTTATTAATTTGTTCCTCAAACTTGTGAAACAAACTATTGGTTTTTTTTTTTTTTTTTTTTTTTTAATGTTTCAAGAGTTCCAAAATTAAAAATATAATTTTAAGCATTTCAAAGATTATTTAAAAAGTTCAGGTTCTGAAACACTTTATGTTCAGATGGCACCTAAGTTGGACTTCTATATGAGAGGTTGTGAGTTCAAGCTCATACTACATTCTAATAGAGTCAGTAGCATTCCACAGCTTGATTAACCGAATGCACACTCCTATTAAATATTTTGCAATTCATATCAAACAAATTACGATTACACTTCAAAATTTAAAATATGAACTATAGTTAATTATCTAATTAAAATTATTAGCAGAAAAGAGTTAATATTAAGTTAAAAGGCACGAGTGTCAAATAGACGCATCTACTACTGCGAAGTGCTCAATTGTGTCAAATAGGTATATCTACCAGCTAAACTGTTCGATTGGCATTTTTAACAGGTTGCCTATCTAATTATTAAAAATAAATAAATAGAATAAAAAAATTAAAAAAAAAGTTTTAAAAAAAAAAATATCAGCCACCGGCTGTCCGGCGAGGATAGCCGGTGGCTGATATTCTTCTTTTTTTTTTTAATTTTTTTTTTAATTTTTAATTTTTTATTCTATTTATTTATTTATTTTTAATAATTAAATAGGCAACCTGCTAGTAACCTGTAAAAAATGCCAATTGAACAAATTTAGCTAGTAGATGGACCTATTTGGCACTTAATTTAGTTCGTGGTGGGAATTGAGCACTTCGCAGTAGTAGATGGGTCTATTTGACACTTGTGCCTATTAAGTTTAGTTCTCGATTTTTGTATTTTTTTTTTTTTTTTTTGGATTTAGTTCTTGCTAAATTAAAGGAAAAAAATTGTGTAAGAGCGTCTCAAATATCCTTGTTCGTAAGACGGATCGGGTTGTAGACAATTGAGTATGAAATTGTTATAATTTTAATTATAAGTATTACAATCTTTGTTATTAGTGATGGAACAAAGTCATTCAATGTATACGGTGTGTGTATAGAAATGTATAAGAGGATAGCAAATGAGAGAAATTGGCCTAAAAGACCTTTATTATTCAATATTGTAGAGAGAGAGAGAGTAAAGGAGAAGAGAGAGCCCCCTTTGTGTTGAATGGCCTCCCCTTATATAGGTGGAGGCCCGACCCTTTCAAGAACAAAATAATTCATAAAGGGCACTTGACCCCCAACCCTATACGTATGTGCGCATGTTCAGTGTTCGGATCTTGTGGCCATTATAATTTACGGACCATTGATTTTCCGACCTAGTGGTCGTCTTGACCTTGTGATCATTATGGTCTAGTGACCATTGATTTTCCAATCTAATGGCCGTTTCGACCTTGTGGTCGCTATGGTCTAGGGACCATAGTATTTTTCGACTTCATGGTTGTTACCGACTCTTGGGTTGGGTTCCGGGCTTGGCCGGTCAAAATTGTCTACTTCATAGGACTTATGTTGAGATCTGATCATAGACTTAGAGTGTCGGTGGTGGAATACCAACCTAATCGGGCTTAGAACATTTAATTTTGCTATTACTATTCTAAATACATGATTGTGTACAATTTACAAAGCAAATAAATAAATTGATTTAAAGCGGCAAGATCCGGATATTTTGATCAATTTTCTTTTATTCCAGTGTTTGGTTTGCAGGAATAAAATTACTGAGAATTTCAATTCCAATGTTTGGTATACATGAGAATTGAAAGGGAATTAAGTAGTATAAAGTCCAAAATGCACATATTTATTATTATTATTATTATTATTATTATTATTATTATTATTATTATTATAAATCCTAAATGATCAAATTCAAATTTTGCTTTTGAAATTTTATGTAACTAAATAAACTCTAGAATTACATAACAAAAGCAATAAAATAGATAAGAGAGTTTTGAAAAAACATATTTGATTGAGGTTGGACTACTAATTGACATTCTGTGTTGAAATAGAAGAAAAAAGACACGTTATAATCGAAAAAAATACGTCAAACATCAATTTTATGTTTTAAAAAAATATACGAGGGGGGGGGGGGGGGGGGGGGAGGCATGGAATTCTAATTCATTTAAAATTATGAATTTTTTTTTAGTACAAAGGAATGAAGATACCCACATATACGATCTACACCTACTACGAGACTCGAACTCCAAACCTCCCACATAAGGGACCAACCAGATACTAGTGGACCACAAACCGATAAAATTATGAAATTTTAATTCTATGAAATTACAATTATTTCCAACCAAATGAATGGATTTGCTTGCCTTTAGAATTATGTTAAAATTAAGTGGAAATTAAATTGTAACTCCTTCCAACCAAAAGTCTTGTTCACTCACGGCAAAAGTTTTGCCGTTTTAGCGTTTTGGTTGGGGCAAATTATTGTGTTGATTGGAGGTTAATTACGCACTTTTTTTTTCCCAATATACCCGTTTATCGGGTTTGTTGGAACATCAAACTGGAATGATCTCAAATATAAAACTTGGCAAAAAGAATTATTCTAGAAAATTAACAATTCTATTCTAAATTCCCAAGTAACTGAGTAAACAATGAAACAGAGGCGAAAGTAAATCAACAACAATCATCAGGAGAGGCCTTTGCAATCGCACCACCAATTTTAATACATAATTGCATTTCCAAAATCATGGACAGCATAATCCAATTCAATATTCCAATGATTGAGAGAGATGCCTGATAAGCTACTTTTATCAGTACAATCTGGTAGTCATTTTCAAACAATCTTGGAAATGTTCACTTTTGAGGAATAAGCAGAGCAGGTTTAAAGGCTGCAACAGCAGGCCAGTATTGAACCATTCCATGAGGTTGATAAAAGGAAAGGCGGAAGAAAGCTGCAGCCTTCTTGAATAGATTAATCTTTGACAAAACTTGGAACATTGGTGAACAAATGATCAAAGAATCTCGATCAGCAGCTAGTACTCTACCTCCCTGTGCATTGTTCTTGATTGGTGAACATGATAACATTTTCTCAATGATCAAACAATCCCAGATTCCCAGCACTATACATTCAAGAAACCATGACTGCACCAGAAAAATGGGAACTTTGCCAGACCTCAATCCCCTCAGTATTTTCTCTTGTAACAAATAGCCTATCTCCACCACCTTCAATCTTCTTGATTGTCCCTCTTTCTGAATCATCCACTTTATCCACATAGTTTCTCCTGTACATTCCTTCTGACAAATCCCCTTCATTCTGGGCTTCTTCGATTCTTGACCATACCTCCAACTCCCCCTCTCTCCCCACAAACACCTGTTTTCTGTAACAATGGATTAAGAAACTACTCAAACTATCACAATTTCCTGTATACCTCATACTGGGATTCTTCTCCTTCAAATAAACCCACGGGTCATCGCTTAATTTCCGAAGGTCTGCCACTGCCAAGTCGCCGGACTTGGAGCAGATCTTGAACAGAGTCAAATCCTCTGGGTCCACCCCCACGTCGGCAAATGGGTCTCCGAACCTGCTGCTACGGCCCGAGCCTGGCTCGTTCGTCTCCCAAACCACCTCCGCGGATCTCGGGTCCCATAACCGCACGTATCCGGAATACCCAAACGCCCCGGCGGATATGGAACTTCCGAACAATGCACCGATCTCCGGCACGTACGTCATCTTTCCGATGACGGTCGTTTTGGCTGAGTTACTGGATTGTCTTCCCAACTCTGAGCTCACTTTCATGGTGGACTTGTCGATCACGAGAATGCAATTCTCTCTGTGTTGGCACTGAAACGAAGCGAAAACAGAGTCGTCGGAGTCGGCGATGGCGTTGACCCGCGCCTTGTAAATTCTAGGGTCCGATGGATCAGTCCACTCCGTCGACCCGATTCGCCGCCCGTTGGCCAAGTTATAGAAATGAAGTCCGGAATCAAATTCCGAGCCTATCGCCGCAATATCCGGCCGGACCGTTCGAATCGAACTAATATAATCCAGATGTGTCCGTACAGTTCCGGAATGACTCAAACTCCAATCATAGATCGATACCTGACCACCGTGAGCAATCCAAACTGATCCATCGGAGTCGATGGCGTTGAAGTCCGATACGACACCGTCGGAGGAGGGTTTAATGGTGGTAAACAGTGAAGCGTCAATTCCGCTGAGTTGAATCGGAGCGAGAGCAGATCTGAGTTGCGACTCGATGCCGTAATAGAGCGCCTCGTCGATGAGCTCCTGATTCGAGAACCGTCTGGCGGTGGACGGGAGGCGGTTGGTCCGGAGGAGAGAGAGGAGGGCGGAGAAGATTTCCGGGTCGCGGTCTATGAAAAGCTCGTCATGGGAAGGCCGGTTCGATAACGCCGATAAAAGAGAGTCGGAACCACCGGACTGGAGCGTAGAGACGGTGGTCTCGAAGAGCTTGCCGCCGACGTTGAGTTTGACCCGGTCACCGGGCTGGGCATTTTGGGGATTTCCTTCCTCCATGAATCAGCGATAAGTTAGGCGTAGAGAACTGAAAGGCCGAAGTAATACGAGAGTTGTGGGGGCAGCAATCTACGATTCTAGGAGAAGTCATTTTTGTCAACGAGTTAAAACTACTTTTACTCCCTAGTTTGGGAAATATATTGTACTACTATTTAACATTTTAACCCCACTTTGAGAATACACTTATTATTTTTGTTCTACTACGGAGTATTTTTTTTTTTTTCAAAACATAGTTCAATTTTTGTATTTAGTTTCTTTTCATTTGGATTAGGGGTAAGAATAGGTCAAACCCTTCGTAGGGGCTTAAGGCCCGGTCTATTTAAGGCCTACATATGTCAGACTTGTTTAGTAAAAATTAGGCTTTGACTTATTTTGAAGCCTATTAAATTAAACAAATTCAGGTCTATTTATACCAAATCGGCCTACCGGCCTAGCCTATTTACACACATATATATAATTTATTTGTAATATTAAGTTAGTATATATTCTACTTTATACCTAATATATTTTTATATTTACAAAGTTTGGATGATATGATAATAAACTTTCTTAGAAAGTAATGGTTGATTATGATGGAGATTGGAGCACTTTTTAGTTTTGTGACAAAAGAAAAAATGTAACTATTACTTGAAGGTGAGCACTAAGCATGGATGAGTGTATTGGATCTCTATAACATTGCATGCTTTATTTTCATTGGCAAGTACCCAAAAATGGGTGAGTGAAGTTGAACACTAATGGTGGCTATCAAGGCTATGAGAGAAAATTAGGATATGGTGGTTTACTTTGTGATTCTTCATGTGGTTAGATTACACAAGATTTATTCACAATAATTAATTTGGATATGTAGTGAAGATGAGGCGAAAATGTGGGTAGTGGTAAAGGACCTTCATGTCGCTTGGGCTGTCATTCCACATCTTGCCCCTTAATAGGCACTTCACAATCGTTATATCGTGCACCATGGCGCGCGTAGCACTGTGCGTCCGCGCCTCTCAAAACAACGTCGTTTTGCGAGGCGCGGAAGGGGATTGACATGATTATGTGTATTTGTTTATATAATTATGTGTATTTTTTTTATACAGATATGTGTGTTTATTTTTACAGTTATGTATATTTGTTTATACAATTATGTGTATTTTTTTATACAGTAATATAAGACGCCGTTGTTTTGCATCAGGACGCACAATGCAATGTGCGCCCTGGTGCACGATATAAATTGCGGGCACTTCAGGTTGGATGGAAAGACCCCAGTTTTTGGGCTACTCAGCCCGGTTTACAAATGCAAATGCCACATTTTCACTTGGATCCAACCCAAAAATGTTGGTCCAAAGTTTTTAATTTTGATCCACATTCAAAGACTTAAAACTAGGCAACACCCTTTTGATTTTTGAAGCTAACATCTTCTGATCTTCTTCAGTTTTTTGAGTCACGTGTTCATATATTTAGAGCTATCAAAACAGAATGTGCATATCGGCTCGGCCTACCTGGCTACCTATGGCAAATTATATCGTGCACCGCGGTGCATAATGCACCGCGCATCAAAACAATTTCGTTTTGTTTAATGAAAAGAAACGGCATCCGTTTTCCATCGTTCCGCACTCTTCCGCAAAAAGTAACTCTTTTATTCAGTTTCATTTTGTATACACTGCAGTTTCAGCTCAACACAACTATAATTTTATTTTGATATAATTACAGTTTCACTCGATATTTATAGACTCAAATATGTGAAAATATAATTTAATTTAATTTTATATACACTATAGTTTTATTAAAACACAACTACATGATCATTTTGATATAATTACAGCTTCATTGTACAATATACACTCAAATATGTGAAATGTTATTCAGTTTCATTTTATATACACAGCAGTTTCATTTCACCACAACTACAGTATCATTTTGATATAATTGCGGTTTCATTTAATAATATAAGAATAATATGTGAGACAGTGTTGTTTTAGATATACTATAGTGTCAATTAGTAATTAACATACAAAAAAATGCGCGCTCTGTTAATACTAACGGCGCGCCGTTTCTTTACTTAAAGAAACGACGTCATTTTGATCGCGGTGCATGTGCACCACAGTCCACGATATAACGACCCGCTATCTATTAAGGTAAGATTGGGTTTGAACATTATAGATTCATCAAATAGAATGCCTCAAGCTTTGGCAAGTCCTGCTCCGCTAGTTCATCTTGACAATCTAACTCTGACAAATTATATTGTGCACCCTAGGGTGCCTTACAAGGTGATTATACGTATTCATTTTTAATATTCCGTAAGTTCACTTTTGATGAATTTATTAAATTTGTATACAGGTTCATTTTTAGTGTATTACAAGTCAATTGTATACTAAGCTAAAAATGAATTAGCAGTACGTATTCTAGAAATAAATATGTATCAAGAGTTTATCTCGCTCCCTAAACTCTAGTCCATCGTATAAGCATTTGGGCATCTTTATATAGACGTCTATGTTGTCCATCCTAAACCATCTGAATTATCAATCACAACGGGCTAGTTTATGTGGTCAACTACCTTACTTAAACTCAGCAGTGTAGTAGTAGGGTAAGAGTTTTACTCCCACCAACATCCTAGAAGTAAGATTTCCCAAATTAAAGTTTGGACCCTTGAGCTCCTTAAATTGACGGAAGCATGGACATGGATCCCTCAGTAACTCCCCAGGAGAGGGATCTGACTGAAAAAAAAAAAAAAAAAAAAAAAAAAACTATGATACATGCCACGCCCTGTAGGCCTGTATTAACATACATGCAAAGTTCCTCCTGTCGCCAAACACACTGTTTTAGTTTGTACCAAGGGTTATCCATTTGTCCTGAAGATAAGAGGAAACACTGGTTGCCCGCATGGGTAGCTCAACTGGTCATAGGGTTGAAGTTTGAGAAGAATAATCACGGTTCAGTTAATTATCGAGTAAACTTGTGAGCAGTGTGTTGCAAAAATTGGGCCTAGGCGCCGATTAATCGGCGCCTAGCTCTATGCGCCCTAGGCGGTCCCCACTAGCGATTTTTTCAACCTTGCTTGTGAGAGATAACATTTGTGTTACGCAATTTAAATTCTCTTAAAAATGAATTTGTATTTATATTAGTGCAAACTCATTTCTCATTTTCAATGTGGAACAAAGGCTTATTCGTTCTAAATATTTCCATTGCACCTTCATTTCCAACTCAAATATATAGATCTACTTTGAGATTCAATTTCACATCCATTTATTATCCATTTTGAATGTATAATATATCAATTTTTTCATCCCACTTAAAAGAACCCGAATTCGCACTCTAGAACAACTTAAATCAGAAGCTAACCCCATTGATACTTGTATCACAATATAAACACTTTCGTGATGAGATGTTATGTTTTGGTTCAAATTTATATATATCCAACTATTTACTTCAAATACGGCAGTTATAGCCGTTAATAAGTTAATTCCACATGCAGGTGGTAATTAATTAATTAAATCCAAATTAAACACTTGGCACATTTGTAATCACACACTACATAGTTTAGTTTAAACATTTTTTTTTTATTCTATCTGGACTGAAAAAGTTTAAACATCTAAGACAGTAATATATACATACGCACACAAATCAGTGCTATCTACACTGTCATGTGCTCATATTATTTCTGCATCTTACATCGATGAAATTTAAATTAATTTATTTATCTCATATGGTTTCACCTATATTATTTTGTCTGCAAATTCGCAAAACCCTCCCAACATGTCTCACATGCCACTGCGTCCACAAACCCAACCATCATCTCTGACATCCATTCACCCATTATATTGCCTTCATTTCCACTTTTCTCTCTTCAATCCACACAAATTTAGTGATGCTCTACTTAAATGATTAAAACAAAAAACCAAAAAAAAAAAAAAAAAAAAACTAAAAAATAAGATTATCATTAAGCAAATAATATATAAATAACAAATGTGTAGTTTAATAATTGGTTTAGTTTTTTAATTAGGACAAAATACATTCTTTAATTTAGTATTATTAGAAGTGAACATATGAGAAAGGTCATAGAAAATTAGATCGTTTTAATCACAACATCTTTTTCATCTGAACTTTACCCTATGATAAACTACTATAATAAGGAAAAAATGCGACTTTGACCTTTCAATGGTTAGCTTTTTCCTTTCTTTTATATATATGGCTTGCGTTCAAGTGACACTGCTGGAAATTATGAAATTTCCGACCACCTGAAAGTGATCTTAAATCAAGTCGAAAGTCTTGTTCAGATTACTTTTGGTATCCGGAAAAACCTTTGTTGCTATTTCTGGCCACTTTTTGCTTTCGACTTGATTTAAGATCACTTTCAAGTGGTTGGAAATTCCATAATTTCCAGTAGTGTGAGAACCACCCATTAGGCAAGAACAGCGAACTACTACCTAAATGCACACCGTTTACTATATGAATGCTCACAATGTAATATTTCAGCCACAAAATGCACACAATTTACTACATGAATGCACACAATATAATATTTCAGTCACAAAATGCACACCATCTATCTTAGAGTAGACTGTGTGCATTTGTGTTGTAGATTTCATGCATTCAAGTTTATTTGATTTTATATATAGTTGTTCTTATTTGATTATATATATATATATATATATATATATTATCACTCTAATTAAACCGCCAAGGTTGAAGCTATTGGCCACTTTATTCAATGTTGACTGCACAAAATGCGTAAAGTGAGGACAAACAAGACGCCCTTTTGATGTTATTATATTGCAGTGTAGTAAGCAAGCAAAGATGATATATAATAGGAAAGCTAGTTTACACAATTACTGCAAGAACAACCCATTGATTAATTAATGGACAGTTCAAATTATTTAAGCATGCATGCCATTATATTATACAGTACTGGGAATATATATGTAGCCAAGTTTTGTCTGGTGAAAAAACATGGCCCACCAATATGTTTGGTTTCAATTATCATCAGCACATATTATGCAGCCCTGCTATAATAGTGTTCAATTTGAACAGCACCACAAAAGCCCTACAAACTCCCCAAAGTTTCATGAGCTTGGAATGCCATTATGCATACA